GCAAATTCCTTTTCCAGCACTGCCAATGAATCCATGGCTGACATCTTCTTTGCTGCTGTGGGAGTCATCAGCCTTTCTGTCCAGCACTTTTGGTGTCCCGATACTTACATTCTTCTTCCAACTTCGCAAGGGCTTCCGCATCGTCGACCTCTTCACCGCGCTCGGCTGCGTCATCTTCGTCGAGCAGCTGGTCATCGACGCCGCCCTCAGTGGCAGCCTCGCCCGACGCACCCAGTTCCGAGTCCTCATCTAGATCGCGAACTCTCCTTGCTTTTCGTTTCCCCTTCTTGGCCTTTTTGCTTTTGGGGGCCACCACCGGCAGTTCATCTTCCATTGTATCCTCCACTGGTGTTTCGCCCTCATTCACTTTGGATAGGGTTTCGGCCGGGTCCGGGGAGAGAGGTATTTCATCCAAATCGGCGAGAGGCTCACTCAGGTCACTCTTCACCGAGGCACGACGCTTCTTCAGGGGTTCTTCTTCATCCGGATCGGTTTCGGTATCTTCTCCCGGCTCCAGTCGCTTGCGCTTCTTGCGAAGAAGCTCGGAAAGATTTGAATCATCGTGCGGGTCTTCAGTAGACTCCACCACGTCATCGTTCTTCGATGACCGGCGAAGTTTGCTCGGCGAGTCATCTACAGCCTGTTCGTCGTCCTCATCGACATCGTCATAGGTGGTAGACTGTGCCAGTTTGCTTGGGCTAGCGCCGTAGCCACCGGCGCTCACAATGATGTCTTTTCTCGGCCGAAGCTTATTTGGGGAGTCTTCGATTCGTTCAGTCTCGGCTTCCGAGTCATTTTCGGGTGGTTCTGAGGTTGGCTTGTCTAGCTGCACAGGCTCGTAATCCGACGGCTCATCATCCGAGACGTCGTCGATTTCGCTAAGACTGCTAGATCGTCCATCATCCAATAAGGAATCGTCCAGCAGAATATCGTGATGACTGCCATTGGCAATCGTAGCACCCGCACCTGTGGACGACCCCATGGGAGCGGACTCTCTGCCTTCTGCGACCTCCATATACGATTTTTCAACAATATGCGAGGGAGACTTGTAGCGGAGGAGAGGCGAGGAAGGGAAACCCAGTCGAGTGTTATCCCCGCAGACCGAGGGTGGCGGCCGAAAAACGAGACGAAGAGGTGAAAATCGGGCTGAATTGATTACTAGCAAAAGGTCAAGTCAATTGCGGTTCCAAAGCAAACAAAAAACAACGGTGAAAAGCGATCCTGGAAAAATGGTTGCGTGGGAGGTTGCCAGCAGTCTCAGAAGGCGGTGCGGAGATTGATCACCACTGCCGGGAACACCCTCACCACCACAGCGACAAGCCGATCGCGTTGGGCGGAAAGGAAGACCGGCAACGCGATGGATGCTCACTCGATGGTCCAGTGTTGGCAGATGCAACGCTCATCCCAAAGAAAGCAGTCACAGGGTGATTTTCTGCGGTTGTTGACCACAAGGAACGTACCGGTCCAGCAATGCGCCAAACAGCTAGCTGCCCGCGACGAGGTCTGCTTCCACACAGGAACCGGGTCCCCAACAGGTATGAGAACTGCAACAATAGGCTGGCGAGCCTCTCAGCAGCTTGTACTTCCCGATCGGCACTGACGATATTCTTCCGGGTGTCGCGCAGGCGAGAGCGTATGAGGGGGGTTTGCTGGTGGGCTTAGGAAGCGGGCATGACCACAGGGCACAGGCGCAGCAGAATAGACGTCGGCATGGAAGGGGAGCTGTAGCAAGCGGGGGCAAAGTCCGAGGTGAATCAATCCAGCAAGAAGCTTGAAGGCACGAGCCGGGGGGGAAACGGTCTGGGAGAGTCTGCGAGGGTGCGCAGGAGAGCGAGAGGAGAAAGCGTCGCAGGCGGTGGGACTGGGGGCGGCAGACGCATCCAGGGTCGGCTTCACTCAGTGCACTTTTGGCTGCTGCTGCCATCTTTTTCTGCCCGGCACAACTCACCGCCTGGCTAGGCCAGATTCGGTTGACGTCGTCATTTGCAGTCTCAACAAGAGTGACGGAGTAGGGAGTCTACGAGAGGACAACAGAGGCTACGGAACAGATAAAATGGTGTAGGTATGTAGGTACCTAGGGTTGAAACAGTGAGTCTAGGAGGTCTATGGAAAAAAAAGGTTTCGAGAGGCGATAAGTTGGTTAGAGACTGTGTTTATGGAAAGACAAGCTGTTAGGTATGCATCGGGGCTTCCTCATTTCAGACTTTGGAAAAGGCCTTGAGAAGCAAATCAGTGGCATTACCCAATCCGAAATACCAGGAACAGCATGTTGTACATCTAAGATGTACCAAGCAGTACGCAGTACCTGAGCCACTGGCTTTGTGCTAGGCAAGCCAGCGCAGACAAAGATAATTCGGATTGCCTATCTTCACGTGACTGATAACAGGTTGCCAAGACTCGAGATTGTCTCTGAACTGCCAGAGAAGAAAAAAAGTTCGGCCTGGTCTGGAGGAGTTGCTCGACGCCCACTTCACCACGCAGCGATTGGATTCTTGGTTGCTTGGGTTTTATCTTGAAGAGTAAGGCCTACAGGATTATCTACAATGGGCAAGAAGACAAAGTCCCAGTCCGACAAGGCCGTGAAGGCCAAGGACTCCAAGAAGTCGGAGACGACGACATCGAATGCACTTCCCTTTTTGAGTGGGAAAAGTGGTGTTGATCCGACTTTAGCTTCACTGTTTGAGACAAGCGTGCGTATTCAATGGCTACTTAATCCCTGTGAGGAAAGTTACTTGTTTTCAGACCGTGCTGATGGAATCTATTTACTTGATAGGCTGGCCCAGTCAAAGCACCGACAGTACCGGCTAACCCGAAACCAGTCTCGAAGGACCAGGAATCAGATGATGCCGACGACGTCGAGGAAGTATCTGACTTGGTAGTCGCATCGGGGGACGAAGATGAAGACATGGAAGATGTGAGCGACGAGCAGGCTGCAACTATACTAGAGACATCAAATTCTGAGGCCCCCAGTCGCAAGCGAAAGAGAGGAACTGCAAATGATAACCTTGAAGATGCATACATGCATCGTGTTGCAAAGGAGGAAGAGAAGGAGGCAGAGAAACGTCGGGCCGAGAAACAGTCCAAGAGACAGAAGACCGACGAGGAAGACAGCGAGGACAAAGCTGAGGAATCTGCCGACGACTCCAACGAAGAAGATGGCGATTCTGATGTCTCTGACGACGTTCCCGACGTGCCCAAGCACGAGAGCGTAGCGGGGACGGATGCGCAAAGCAGAGAGGTCGAGAAATCCAAGCGCACCGTGTTCTTAGGCAATGTCTCAACGCAGGCCATCAAGTCCAAGTCTGCCAAGAAAACCCTCCTCCGGCACCTTGCCTCTTTCCTCGCTACGCTGCCTGAATCCACCGGTCCTCACAAGGTCGAGTCCATCCGGTTCCGTTCGACGGCCTTTGCAAGCGGAGGCGGAGTCCCCAAGCGGGCTTCCTTTGCCCGCAAAGAGCTTCTGGACGAGACCACACCCAGCACAAACGCATACGCAGTCTACACCAGTATTCAGGCCGCCCGTAAGGCGCCTGCTGCCCTCAACGGGACCGTGGTTCTTGATCGCCATCTGCGCGTTGACAGCATTGCCCACCCGTCTGAGATCGACCACAAACGCTGTGTATTCGTTGGCAACCTGGATTTTGTGGACCTGGAATCCGCTGACCCCCAGGATGACAAGAAAAGGAAGAAACAAGCTGCCCCTGCAGACATCGAAGAAGGTCTCTGGCGGACCTTCAACGCGAACACTTCTACTGGAGGCTCCAAGGAGGACGCGGCCTCTTCTTCTTCTGGAAAAGGCCATGTCGAGTCCGTCCGTGTGGTGCGCGACCGCGGAACCCGCGTCGGCAAAGGCTTCGCCTACGTCCAGTTCTACGACGAGAACTGCGTCGAGAGCGCCCTCCTACTGGACGGCAAGAAGTTCCCGCCCATGCTCCCTCGTAAACTGCGGGTGACTCGCGCAAAGAAGATGCGCCGGGACAACAACAACAATAACACCGGCAGCGGTCCCGGTCCGAGACAAAAGGTTCTGGGAGTCGGAACCGCCCACAAGACGCTACAGGGTCGCGCCACAAAACTGTTTGGCCGTGCCGGTGCCGCCCAGATGAAGCGTGGGGACGCGCCAGGCTCGACTTCCTTCGTGTTTGAAGGTCACCGGGCCTCGGAGGGGAGCTCGCGGATCAAGGCTAAGACGAAGAGCCGTGGGTCCAGGGGCAAGCCGAAGAATCGCAGCAGTCAACGTGCGGCGGCGTACAAGGCAGCGGGGGGGAAGAAGACGAAGAGCACATAGGAGGCGTTCATATTGTATATTTTTTTTTCCCCAGGCTATAGTCAAAAAGAATCCATTTCACGTCATTCAAATCTCTTGCAATTCAGTCCTCTCAAGCTAGACGTGTTACTGTGTTAGGGCTTAGATGATCAGGTGACTAGACTGATTCAATTTGAAAAAAACAATCTTGCAAAATGATACCATTTACAGGCAACATAACTAGTAGTAACTCTTGTATGACAGTCAAAGAGGCACCTACCTTGGTATCACTGGAAGCCGGCCTGTCAGACAAGTTTGCCAGGGCCAGCGGCAGGTCTTCTGAGTTAATGGCATACTCTTCATTCTCATCAGTTTTGGAAGACTCTTCTCCGATAATATAATCTCTCGATTCCGAGCAGCAATCCACAGTATATTCTATATGAGCTATAGCTTTAGATATCAGCTTCCAAGGCACGGTACCAGTTCAAAGATGCAAGTCACAGGGAGATTCATGGTTCTTGTAATGACCCTTTCGCCACCATTGTCGAATTCAAAATTCCTGGGAATAATCATGAGACCATTTAGTTCCCTGATGCTTTTGATTGAACCGAGTCAACCGAGATAAAGAACAGGCAAACGAAGCGTTCAATCCATTCCGATGTTGTCAATTTGACAGTTCTAGTCTCCTGAAGGCTGTCGGAGTCGGACAACGTGTGGCACGTGCAAGGCTGACGTCATACGACGACGGAACAATCAAGTCGTCCAACGCGAGCTCACGTTCGAGAGAAAAAAGAAGGCCTCCTTTTTGCGTCACCTGTTCTGCCTCCCATTGCATGCAAGGATTTGCCTCTCTGTCCTACTTATGCTCATACCTGCCAAATGCCAGAGAAACATGACCGGTTGTTGTGGCGGACAGGAATGTTGAGTTGAGAATACATTAAGAAACTCAAAGCCCAGGCCAGCCTCGCCTCCCCCCCTCCTCAGATAAGGAGACTGCATCTCGCCTCGCGTTCAATCACCTGCTTGCCAGTTGCTACACAGATGAGCCACCACCGTCGAGTGCTGATTACTATCGGGTCGTGCATCTGATTGAGCAAATTACGGTTGTTTGACGTCCGCCTCTTGCTTGGAAGTGCATTCGTCTGCTGCCTGGAAAGTACACTGTGATAGGTTCAGCAAGAGATAGCTTTTTGTCTATCTGACGGTCTTTAACCCCCTCCCCCCTACAGCTCCAGCTCCAGCTCCAGTTCGATTCCAGCTTTGTGCTATTCTTTCAAGCTGGATTTTTCGACCGTCATCTCTTTACTACTGTGCGTTGTCATGATGATGCAAGCGTTGCAGTACTATGCGCCGCGATTCCGGCACCCGGGTTTCCGTCGCCATACGGCACCACCACATCGGCTGACGCGCAGAGAAGAGCGACAGAAACCGCAGCCAGTCCCCGGAGATGAAATATACTACCCGAGTGTCGTCGATGTGCTGAAGGTGCGGCATATGCTGCGGTGGAAGATCGGCCCGGGAGGGTTCCCCGTCGAGATTGTCGATATGATCATCGATGCAGCCGAGTACTGGCCATCGGTCGAAAAGCGGATGAAGAAACCCGTCATCATTCCCCAGGATCTTGATCGCGAGCTGGTGAGGTCGGTACCGCTGTGTTATGATGAAAGTGTAAGCATTTCTCCACGAGAGAGAGAGAGAGAGAGGGAGAGAGCCCCCCCGCATTATTCACTACTTGACTAGTGATGTAGTACCATACATGGTTTATGCATGACTCTCTTTTCTTTTTCTTTTTTTTTTTTTGACTAATCCGGTTTTTATTTTTAGACACTGGGATCTCCATCGAATACCCCACGAACCCTCCCCCACCGGACGATTCATCCCTGCCGCAAGATCGAGTTCCGCATCTCCTCGCACGACCAAGGGTTTGGTGATGGATCGACGGGTCACGACCGGTTCGAACACTCGTGGACATGGTTCGACGCGGAGACCGTGCATGCCGCACACTCGCCGGAGAGGTACCAGCAGGAACCGCCGCAGCCGCAGCCGCAGCACCATGAACAGCAACGACGACATTTTGGGCCCGACGATCCGCTACTCCTGCCGCGGGCAAACAAGCTACAGTCGAACGCTCGGTCGGCGGGGACGCTGCAGCACTTCACCGTGACATGGCACTATCTCGATAACGTCGCGGCCGATTCAGACGAGGCCGAGACGGTCGAGAAGCTACAGGGGCGAGGCCGGGCCACGCTCGACGGCAGGACCGTCCGCGAGCTCGAGATCGGCGACTCGATCGCCGTGTTTGGCCGCGCAAGGTTCCGGGCTTGGTCGAACCATGTCGAGCGCATGTCTGTCCGTGTGTTTTGGGCCGTCTAATGTATATGTAGATAATATGTAGTAATGAATTTCATTGATCTATGTAGTAGTTCTACGGAGTATACGGAGTAGGTAGTAAACTATACCCCACTATCTCCACTTTCTACCCCATAAACAGAGCACATTCAGTAAGAACTCTTCTACGGAGTACTAGGACTTATTACTCTACTTGATACTTTATTGTACTAGCTAAATGTACTTTGTACTTGTACTACTACATACAATACTACCTAACAGCTTGTATCATCCAATCTATTCTTCGTACGATCACGCAATCGCCAAGCCTCGCCGACCCGCAGCTCCGACGAAAGAATATAAAAGCCCCTGTCCACAAGGAAGCCCTCGCCTCGATTCCCATCCGCAAATTTGCCTCTACCGTGCCTAGAAGCCATGCCCGACTGGACAAACCTACTCGCCAGGGCCATTTGATGGCCTCTCCTTCTCTCCCAGAAATCAAACTGCGAGGCTCTTTGCCCATCGGACGAGTCCAGAGCGGTAACTATGTGGGGCCGATCTCGGGGCTGCCGTTACGTCCTATCGCCGATTGAAACCACTACTGATGAATGCCCATTGGCCGGTTGGTGTCCGGGGATTGAACAATATGCAATCGGCGATTGATACCGGACAGACCTGCGCAGTTTTGGTGTACCTGAGTACGTGAGTACTGCTTTAACCAAGAGTTGATTTGCAAGATCTGGTGTCAGATTCGCAAGATGGTGGCCAGATAGCGACTCTCTCATGCAGTTTGCCAATCAATCTCCGGGTTGGGTCCCCTCCCCCCCTCCCTCCCTCTCGGCGATATTCTCGGGGTGGTCTTTGATATAACTCCACGTCTTGTTCTTGTTCCCTTCTCCTTTCTTGAGCTCTTTTCTTTTTACACGCATTCTTCTACGACTAGATAGAATACAGTGATATTCCAAATACAACATATTCTGGTTCTGCCACTCCCGTTCTTTTTTTTTTTCGTTCGTCCCTCTTATCTAGTCTGCTATGGCATTGCCTCAGCGGTGTGCAGCGGTGGTGGTGGGCGCCGGCCCAGCAGGTCTGGCTGTTGTTGGCAACCTGCTGGAGAGACAGGTCGGGCGGATTGCCTGGGTTGATCCGTGTTTCGAGGCCGGGCGTGTGAACAAGAAATACCGAGAAGTTCCTAGGTAAGAAGCCGATGCTCAGTTTTTTTTTTTAAGTTGTGAGAAGGGTCTAATGGTGTAGTAATACGAAAGTGTCGTTCTTTCAAGCCTACGCAACAGCGGTCCAGCCCTTTCGGACGGTGATCAGCTCGACGCCCATCCCGAACGCGTTCCTGACCATCTCGAAACTCGACCAGAACAAGACGTGTACGCTGGACCATGCAGCGGACATGGTTCGCGCTCTTACAGATGGGATTGTGGGGATGGACGAGGTGGACCAATGCGTAGGGACAGTCACGGCCGCAACATTAGAAAATGTAAGCAATCTTTATATACTTGGTATTATATTATATGTGGGATGTTTCTAATGGTTTTCTGAACAGTCTCGATGGACGGTCTCTATCCGACAAACAAGCGGCGATATTGAAATCGAAACAACACGGCTGATCATGTGCACGGGGTCGTCGCCGACCAACCTGCCCATCCCACTCAGCACGATGAACCGGCTGGACCTGGACGTTGTGCTGAAACCGAGCGAGCTGGCCACCCGTCTCGACCGACACACGCCGCAGACTGTTGCCGTAGTGGGGGCCTCGCACTCTGCGATCCTCGCCCTGCTGAACCTGGTGCAGCTGGCGCGCAGCTCGCACGGCGATCTCCGCATCAAATGGTTTACGCGCCACCCGCTCCGTTACGCAGAGTTCATGGACGGCTGGATCCTACGCGACAACACCGGGCTGAAAGGGTTGGCGGCCGAGTTTGCGCGCCAGCAGCTTGAAGACGACCGGCTCCCCAAATCAGAGGCCGGGCGGTTCATCACCAAGATCGACTGTGGCGATGGGCAGGAAGCGGCTCAGTTCGATGCCCATTTTCCTTCCTGCGATCATATCGTCCACGCCGTAGGCTACACGCGGGATCCTTTACCGCAACTCACCCTGCGAGAAGCCGGTAAGGCTGAGCCGGAGACCCTCCTTCAGCCGGACTTTGACCATGAGACGGGCGGGTTTTACGATCAGCACGGCCGTGTGATTCCGGGCCTGTACGGGGCTGGCATTGCCTTCCCGGCGAAGGTGGTCGATCCGCTCGGGAACGTCGAATACGCCGTTGGATTCTGGAAGTTCATGGTGTTTCTCAAGCGGGTTATTCCGGGGTGGTAAATCATTCTTCATTAACGTTTCTTATTCCATTTAATTACTAGAATGGCTGTCTAGCTCATATTTAAGACCAATAATAACGATCCCAAAACCACGATATACGCCCAGTTCTGTAAACTCAGAGAAACCCCCCCACTCTTGGAAGTAGTAGAAGCACCAGCACCGGCACCAGCAGCACCGGCAGTGCCCGTCGTGGTGCTCGTGCCCGTCTCCGCCGCCGGCGCAGCAGTGATGGCCTGGTTCTTGTTATTATACGCCGACGCGGTCACGGTATAGCTGACGGTGCTCTGATGCCAGGACATGACACTCCCGCTCGGAGGCGCCGTCACCGCTCCCCCGACGTTAGACAGCGAGTGGGTGCCGTTGGCAGGGAAATCGCCCGGTTGGTAGAAGGTGGTGGAATTCTCGGACGGCGCCTTGAAGCCCAGATCGGCCATGCAGTTGAATTCGTCCATCGAGGTGCCGCAGGAGGACCAGTCGGTGGCGTAGCCGTATCCCGTGGCGATGCTGAGCCATTCGTTTGCGCCGGCGAGAGCGGGGATCGTATCGGGGCAGATTTCATAGATCCTACCAATTAGCTTGATATATATATATATATATATAGTCGGGAGAGAAGGAAGAAGTACGCTGATAATCCTCCACTGACGGCGCAGCAGTTACAGGCCAGATCCTCCTCTGATGCCTTCTCGGGGTCCGTCAAGTCCAGCGAAGTGGCATTGCTGAGGCAGTCGGTTTCCTCGGCGACGAATCCCAAGGCAGTCTCGTAGATGAGTCCTAGGTTGCAGGAGCAGCGGTTGGGGGCGTCGTTCGGGGCCGGCCAGAAGGGGATGGGGACCGTAGCCAAGTCGCAATAATCAAAGTATTCTGTGATAAATTTCTGATATTCGCATGTATACACCTGTAGAGTTAAGCATTACTGTATTAATATATATATATATATAAAAAGAGAGACAGAGTTAAGAATTCATGATTTGCATTGCTGTATTGAAAAATAGTTACCTACCTGATTCCAACACGTTGACGCCATGCAGTTGATGTATTCCTGGTACATCACACATCCACAGGCGAGAACACAGATATCATAGTCATCGCAGGCATCAATACATGTCGCTGCCTGGGTAGCCACATCGCCGTTGCAGGTGGTATACGCCGTCGGGTCTGCGCACACGTCGGCTGTGATGTTGGTCTGCGCGTGGGCCTGCCAGGCCAGTGCCGAGATGGTCAGAAATGTAGCGAACAACATTGAGGTGAGTGTAGTCGTACGACTTTGTACTTGACAAAATAGTCAGTACAAGTAGTGCTTAGGCTGACACTCAACTTATAGAGCCCAGACCCTAGGGCCTTGGACCCTGAGACTTGAGACCCTGGGACCTTAGACCCTGGGAACTGAGACCCTGAGACTCAGCCTCAACCCCATAGCCTACTCCATACCTACTCCATAGCGTACTTCATAGCCTACTGAGTAGTACGGATAGGAAGAAGTGTAGGTACCTAACCAGTTAGTCAATAGGTTGCTAACCACCTAGGTACTCTCCGCAGAGCCTATCAATATCTTACCAAAGCCACCCGCCCAATAATACCCAGCGAGGGTAGAACGCTCCGTGCTCCTGCTCGTATCGCAGCATCGCCAAGGTCGCCGGTCGAACGCTTGCAGTTATAAGTCCGCTTAAATTGTCTTTTCTGGGAATCGCGGTGCGCCACACCGGGATTACGCGCTTGGACTGAAGTGCGAGAGCAAAGGTTGGGAATATTCTCTCGCTGCAGAAAAGAAAAGGTGAAGGATTCTCTGGTGTAGAATATCTGGGCAGGTACTAAGTAAAAGTGACTATACCTTATTCCCGGCTTGGAGGTAAAAATACCGTATTTATATTGTGCAATGGAGGTGTTGTGGTAGGTACCTAGGAGGTACTAGGTACTATATAGTTAAGCTGGTACTGCTGATGGGTTAGTGCACTAATTCCAGCCTATGATTTGGGTGCCGTACTGCTAAGGACTGATTGGGTATATAGTACTCTGTATTTGAGGATTGAGTAGGTATCTAGGATGTAGTTAGTTGGTTGGTTACTCTGTACTAGGTAGTACTATCTCGCGATAGACAAAAGATCATAATGTCTCAAGGAAATGCACACCATAACTACGAGCTATGTACCTGATTTTGTATGTACTATGAGTACGTTGCCGTCTGCAAGGTTCCAAGGAATAAAATAATACTCGTACTCCGTGTAAACTAGTTAATACGATTGATTACATAGACATGAGACATACACTGACAGTGTGATTGAATAGTTCGATACCATCCAGAAAAAAAAAAAAAAAGAATAACCCATCGAATGGCTGTACGGCCGCCAAAAGGCAAAATAGTGAACAAGAAGAGAAAAATAATTAAGAGAGAAAGCACATCTCCCAAACCCAGAAGGAACAACGAAGATGACGTGAGTCATCATCTCGGCAATCAAAAGAGAGCGGCCACGGCAAGAGCGAGGGCCAGCAGACCACCAGAGACCCGGGTGGCCATGCCTCCGTTGACGTCGGGGACGGTGGTGGACGAGGCGCTGGCAGAGCCGGAGGTAGCAGCAGTGCTAGCGGCCGCAGCGGTGGTGGAAGCAGCGGTAGCGGTAGCGACCGACGAAGTCTTAGCAGAGACAGGTCCAGTGGACGAGACCGTGGCGGTCGAGTTGGCCGAGGCGGTCGTGGTGATCAGGGTGTTAGTAGAAGAGGAAGAGGAAGTAGAGGCCGAAGAGGTAGACTTGGTCGAAGAAGCGGTCGAGGTCGCGGTGGTCGACACGGTGCCGGTGACTCCGGCAATGGTGAACCGGGGCATGTAGTCGGTCAGAGAGGTGTCGGCATCGTCAATGATCTCAATCGAGTAGTCGGACTCGACCGGGATATCGGCAGAGGGAGTCCAGACGTAGGATCCCGAGTTGGAGATTCCAGCTGGTCCATGATTAGCATACATTGGCATACCATACCGAGAATCGGAAAGCTATAAACGACATCGAGGTTACTACTCACAAGCAAGAGTGATGCCCTCCTCGACCTCGAGGACATCGCCCCACTCCAGAATCAGCGAGATGGTACCGCTGGTGGTCGGCTCCCAGGTGATGGTAGTCGGGGTGCCAGCGGTGAAGCTGTAGCCACCAGAAGGGACATTGAAGGGATTCGACGCATCGGAAGTCGCAGCGACAACCGTGGCGAGGGTGCTCACAGCGACGGAGATGATGTTGGCACGCATTTTGTGAGTAGAGTGAGGTTTGGAATAGTTTGAGAAATAAGAGGCGGCTGAGCAGACCAGATAACCGGGAGTGTAATTAAACGGGGTATAGAGGCAAATTAGCCAAAAAGAGTGACGGTGAATATGCTAAAGCGAAAGAATGGACTGTCTCGTGGACAAAAGAGGAATGAATACGAAGGAAAGTCGTGATGGGAGAGAGGGAGAAGAGAAAAGGACAAGGGAAGAAGAGGGCAGGCGCGAGAGGCGAAGACACAGGTAGGCCATAATTACTCCGTACCACCTTACCACTTTACCACTTTACCACCTGAGTACCTACCTACTATGTAAGGTACTCCGTCCTTCGTACCTGCCTCAGCACAGGCAAATCCGGCCGAGAGAGGACAAGCGCAACGCCCCGAGGCCGGCACTATTTGCGTTTTGGGCTTCGTTGGGTGGTTCAGGGCCAGCGCTGCTCGGGCTGATTGGCAGCGCCGGGAAATCAAATCAAGACCCTGTGGCCCTGTGGCCCTGATTAGTGGCTGACTGCAGGCCTAATCTCCGGGGGCCAACCAGCACTCGGCAGAATTGACAGATATATGCCTGTTGCCTAGGTACTACTAACCTTACTAGGTAGGTACCTGGGTACCTAAGGTGCTGTAGTACAATTGCTGTCCATGGTTGAGTCTGTGTTTAACTGGGTACCTTCCTATTTTAAGAGGAATTCCCTATACCGAACCCGAGGTTTTCTATTCTACCTAGGTACCTACTAGGTACCTTGTATCTATCTAGTAGTTCTACCCGTAGCTACGGAGTACGGCTCTCACTGGTTATTATAGGCTAATCTTACCCTGATGCTGCATGGTAATATATATATGTCTTACCTATATATTACTTGCATATTACACGAAATTTAGCTTCCACTGTCTCTGCTCTATATTTTGATTTTCTCCATAATTAGCGACTCAAATATGCGACACACTTTCTCAGTGTCAGCGCCTACCAAGCTTTGCTAAGCGGGGCTTCCTTTAACTAGCCATTAATTGTAGGAGTGTACTACTACTACTACTACTACTACTACTACTACTACTACACTACTACTACTACACTACTCCTACTACTAAATCCTTCATCTAATTTCCCATGGCTCTTAGTGTTGCTAGTACAGTGGTTATTTACCTTATGAGATAATTAACAGTCCAAGTACTATTATTCCTGTTCTCTCTAGTATATCTATAATGTAATCTATACTATCTAGCGCTCTAGGAACTATGGAGTATGTAGTACACAGTGACTACTCTATGTCATCTCATCTCATCAGACCCATAAATGAGATCAACGCATTGGCGGAAACTAGAACTACTTTGTATAGCGTTGCTACTAGTGGCATCAACTAGTAGTACCTAATCATAGTAACAAATAGAACGACTATACGGAGTAAGAATTCATGAGTAGTTACCACATAGACTACGGAGTACGGAGTACGGAATATGTAGGATGTGGTTAGAGGCTGAGAAATGAGCATAGAAAATCGAATCATAATCCAGGCAACTGGCTGGACGCTGTCGACAGAAAAAGTCCACCAGGAATCGAACTCAACCGAGACTACATATCCCATTCGTACTAGGGACTTTCAAGCGAGTCAGCTCTCCAAAGTTAGACACAAGCAAGTTATCGAGCATATATACTTCTATCCCCTCCGTCCTCAGGACCCTATCTGATTATAGCAGAATTGCCAATCAAGATCATCTCACCACCGCAGCAGGACACAAACAGATCTTCGGAACAGATGGCCGGCTTTTTCCTATCCAGTTCTCATGTGGTCAAAAGATCTACCGTTGAATAGCTGGTTCTGTTCATCAAGGCCGTCTTTTCATTCGGATGCCCCGTTTCTACACGATCAATATCCAGCGTGCTACCTTAAAACTGAAAATGAATGAAGATATCCGTATATAAAATTTGAAAACTGAGCTTGGCTAATGAAGCCATATATAGACAATATCTATCTCCTAGTCTAAGCGTATGCGTCACTAGACATCGCTCTAAAGAATCTAGATCAATTCGGTTTCTCAACGGGCGCTGTCTGGCTATTATCCGGCTCAACGGTCGACTGCACAGGCGGATGGGTAGAAGAAGAAGTTTCCGGCTCGTCCAGAACGCCATTCTCGCCAAGCCACATGATCGCCTGCATCACCTTTCGGTCTTCGTCTTGTTTCTGGCGGTCAAGGAGCTTGTAGAATGTCAGCAGGATTCAGTAAATGAAACCCGGTTCAAGTGAGTTAGTTAGCTAGCTTACCGCTTGCAATAACCCCTTCCTCCCTTTCTTCTCTGTGGCCTTGGCCTTGGCGTTGCTTCGGTCCGGCATCTCGTGCGAGAATCTGCAGTTGTCGCCACGCGTGCAACGGCCGTTGCGTGCAAAATGGCGGCAGGGTCTCTTCTTGATCTCACCACGCTGCGGAGGTGGGACCCGCTCAGGCTGCTGCCGGCGCGAAGACGCTTCCTCCGGCGCAGCGTCTTCCTCGCTGTCCTCTGACTCGGAGGACGAAGATAAATCCGAGCCACTGGAGGATGTCCAGTCACCGTTATCCGAAGTATCGGAGGAGGCAAGAGACGGTATGATTTCCTCGGTGACTGCTAGGCTGGGAAGTGGAATGGACGGACCGGCAACAGGCTCTTCTCGAAGTTGGTCTTCTACAACCGGAGTGCCGACAATATTCTCTGCCGCAGGCACAGTCGGCGTGTCGTCAGTAGTCTGACCATGTTCGCCGGTCTCATCTTGAGCTGCACCGTCCGGCCCTTCGGTGGATTCTTTCTGCAAGGCTTCGACCTTCTGCCGAGCCCGCTCGGCGTCTGCCTCCGCCTTGGCCAGTCGTTGCTCCTCTCGCATGAGTTTCCGCCGTAACTTTTCCGCGCGCCGTTTGGCCTTTTCAGCAACGTCTGCCGGATTCGTAGTGTCTGTTTTCTGTTGCGCCTGACGGCTTTGCTTCTCCCGCTCCTGCTGAGCACGAGCCTCTTGTTTGCGTTGATCCTTTTGTCGCAAGGCTTCTTCACGTGCTTTCTTCGCTTCTGCTAGGGCATTCTTCCTCTCTTCGATCTTGGCCTGGGTCGGGAATCGCTTCTTCCGCTCCTCAATCCACGCCGCAATGTCCGAGGGCGACTGCAATGTAGAAGTGCGTCCTTTGTACGTGAACTGGAGAGTAGTGACGGTAGGATTGCCAGCGGCTGCAAATTTAGATTCCTCATCCACGTCATCCTCCTCTTCACTGGACTCGTGTTCTTCAGCCTTGGGTGTCAGTCCAAGCTGGTTGTGCCGCCTCTTCTTCTTCTTTGGTTTCCGCGCGGCATCTACCGACGCAGGTGGCTTGGACGGTAGCGGATTTCCGAAGCTCGGTACTGGAGGTGGAGCGGGAACTCGGGGAGTTGTTGATTGAGGTTTCCCGAAGGCTGAGACATGATCGCGCTTATTCCCTTGTCTGCCAAACTTTTCTCCATGTCCATACGAGCCCGACCCTCGAACTCCATGTCCTTGACCGTGGTGAGCACCAGAGAAAGCTTGTGATTCAAACCCCCAGCGCATCGGAGGCCCCATCATTGGCGGCTGAGCTGACTGCGTCGCGTGTTGCGGTGACGGTGTGATGGACTGGTATAGAGACGACGGCTGTGCCGGGTATGAGGGAGTCGAGTGGACTACATTGCCCGGTGTGCCGTATCCCGTACCATAGCTTGGTTGGGGTTGATAGTGCGGCGTGTGACCCGTCGGCGATTGGGCAAATGGCTGAGCGGATGGTACAAAACCTGGCTGGTTCGAAGGGTACTGTACATTGGACACGTTGGAACCCTGAGCCGTCAGAGGCTGAGCAGTACTGTAGCTATTGTTATAGTTCACTGCCGGGTATGGTGTATTCGCAGTTCCATAGTGCCCACCGCGGCCTCCTCCTCTGTTCCCATAGCCCCGACCCCGACCACGATGGGGCCCGTACGCACCGCGTCCGCCCCGTTGGCTATGATAGTTCTGGCCATACGGTGCGGCGGAGGGATAGGAGTTCTGTGTCTGCTGTGTCTGCGACTGCTGGGGAGGCGGCGGCGGTGGTGGTGGCGGAAACGAAAAGCCCTGCGAACTCATTGTGTTGTTGGACGGATGCGCAGCTCCCTGATGACTGGCAGGGGAACTGCCATGCTCTCACTGCATTCTGTAACCGGACGAGGCTCTGTTTCGTGCCATATCCACAGTTGCTCCTCTCGATCTGGCGTGGCAGCAGCTGTTGTTCCGTTCCGAAAAAGAAAAAGACCCAGAAACGCCAGGTCACGTGCACGTCCAACGAGACTTCCCTTTGCGACTGGCCAAAGCCGCAACGACGACGACGGCAACAACAACGTGGGAAGGCTTCATGGGCCTTGAATGCTCGGAGACTGAGCGTTACTGACCTGCCTGTCGGTCTTGGTTCTCCCGGTCAAGGATGGAAACCATCTGAAAGGGTTTTTATACGAGCCGAGTTGCGATCTCCTCCCCGAAAATTTTACCGGCATTTGTTGAAAGCTGGCGACACCATGTTTATTCTTGTAGGTGCTTTAGTTGACATATATCAAAGCGATCCTGACTGGTTCCGTAGACCACTGTTTCAGATCTGATCCAGATCTCCCCCGAAGACTTCTCAAAGTTCAGTGCGGTGGCCCTGGAGGACAATATCAATGCGAAGTACGCGAATAAAGTACGTATCTGGCGATGTCACTCGCGCTGTATGGTCACTGATCTTTCTTGCTATTCAAGGTCATCCAAAAAGTTGGGCTTTGTATTGGATTCTATGACTTGCTCGAGTCGTCCGACGGTCTCATTGGCCATGGTACAGGTCTAGTCAACGTCAATGGTAGTCAAAGATTCCAACGTTCCTTCTTCTCAGTGAATTCTTCTAATACTATTCCTAGTCAAGTTCCGTCTTATTGTTTTCCGGCCGTTCAAAGGTGAAATTGTGCTTGGAAAAATCACGAGTGCTACGGAAAATGGCATCAAAAGTAAGATCGGGTTGCCTCTGCTGCCAGAGCTACTGCTAAAGGATATCCCTCAGTCGGAGTAGAATTCTTCAACGATATCCTGGTTCCCCCGGACCTGCTCCTGGATGGAGCGAGATTGTGAGTTTACGATTCTACTCTCTAGATGCCCTTGGTAACACTTGCTAACCCACAACAGTGACAGAGCAGACCAGGTATGGATCTGGCAGAATGAAGAGGGGTCCATTTTCTACTTCGATGTTGGCGAGATCGTCCGTTTTCGGGTGGAAATGGAAGAATGGCACGATCAGATCCCCAACGCCCCCCCGCTGGCCGATGGCACGCCGGCGGAGAGAAAGGCTCCATATTCGATCATTGTATGTTGTGATGAAACTCCTACTGCAGTCTGTTTCTGACCGTTTCATAGGGTTCCATGCAAATGGCAGGTCTCGGTCCGACCTCCTGGTGGTCATGACCTGGCTATATCAGGCACTTTCACACGGATCCCCCCCATATTACAGTCCAAATATTCTGATGGACACAATCTCAACAGCCAGCTTGTGAACGGCTGCTACCAAAACGTCATGACCTAGTTGATCTCTGCTCAGGCACTATACAGGCCCTACGTTTGTGAATTTGCTCCGTGAGTTAACTCGGTATGAGTAAGAGAAAACGACCAGGCATGGATCGAGATACACAGGGACTCACCACTTCCTTCTCACTACATCTCTACATGTATATGTCCATTGTATTTAATAATGCCATCTCTGGAGCGGCTACCGCCGGAAATACTCGCAGTTTCTATTAGTTATCGTATCCACAGCGAGTACATTCCTCGATAGTAGGTACGTACCACTGGTAATTTGATAAGCTAATAATAATTTATTAATGGGCCATGAGGAATAAACTTCTAAAATAATAATAAGCATCAAGTAGCGTACGCTAAATGCTAGACATCAACAGCGGACGGCCATTATTATAGACAGGGTACCTGGAAATTCCACGGTGTTCCGGCGGAATAGGAGCCCAGCATCTCCAATTGTCCCATATGTAACTAGAATTGCGTTTGAGCCAAGCCGACAAATGACTGGAACTTCGAATGCTTACTGTGTGACTCTGCTTACAATTCAGATTTCGCCTCGAATCGGCTTTGAACCGCGTGTAGCCTGCGGTTGATAATAAGTTTTCTCCACACTTTGGAACTGCGCAGAGGCAGCATTACTTCTACAGTTTCTATTCTTTTCAACTTTCCCCAAAAACCTTTCAAAGAAGAGAGGTCTCTTACTATTTAATCTATACTTGGTTTTCGTCCCCTCTTACTACCGGACGTTCAACTATCGACGTCAAGATGACTGGCCAAGATCTACCCCTCCAAAACGGCACCGTGCCCCTGGTTGAAAAGCGCGGGTTTGGCACGCTGGCCGTCCACGCTGGATCGCCTCATGATCCGGTCACTGGCGCTGTTATCGAGCCGGTAAGTGATCGCACTGGAAAGAGAGGGAGGGGGACCTCCTCTTATCAAGGGAGCCACTATCGCTGACTCCTCTTCCTGCGCGCGTAGATCTCCCTCTCCACTACCTTCGCCCAGACTAGTGTCGGAAGCCCTGTCGGCCTCTATGAATACACGCGGAGTTCGAATCCCAACCGGTTAGTTGGAGTTAGAGTCTTCCGAGTATTGTGTGTGGGATGGAAACGTCTGACTGGTGTATAGGGATAATTTCGAGCAGGCCATCGCCGCCCTTGAGCACGCCAAATATGCCCTTGCCTTCTCTTCTGGCTCTGCCACCACCGCCGTGGTTCTTCAGTCGCTAGCAGCGGGCTCGCATGTCGTCTCCGTTTCAGATGTCTATGGTGGTACTCACCGGTATTTCACCAAGGTCGCAGCGGCGCACGGGGTACATGTGACATTCTCGCCGTGCATTGAGCTGAACGTGGAAGAATTGATCCGCCCCAACGAGACCAAGCTGGTGTGGATCGAGACCCCGTCTAACCCGACGCTGGGTCTGGTGGATATTAGCAAAATCGTCGGGGTTGCTCATCGTCATGGCATCTTGGTGGTTGTCGACAACACCTTCATGAGCCCGTATGTCCAGAACCCTCTGGACCACGGAGCGGATATCGTTGTTCACTCGGTGACTAAATACATTAACGGACACTCGGTGGGTTTTCTTCCCTCACCTTTCTTCTGGTTTTATCTTTGTTTCGGTCAAGTTATCCAAGCGAATATTGACAAAAAAAAAAGGATGTATTGATGGGCGTGGCAGCGTTCAACTCCGATGCTCTCAAGGAACGCCTCACCTTCCTTCAGAATGCCATTGGAGCGGTCCCATCGCCGTTTGACTGCTGGCTTGCTCACCGTGGTCTCAAGACCCTGCACCTGCGCGCTCGCGAGGCGACCAAGAACGCAACCGCCGTTGCACATACGCTCGAGGCCTCGGAGCATGTCATCTCAGTAAACTACCCCGGCATCGACTCCCACCCGCAGCGTGCCATCGCCGTCAAGCAGCACCGTGACGGGATGGGCGGAGGCATGCTCAGTTTTCGCATCAAGGGAGGCCAGGAGGCCGCCCACTTGTTCTGCAAATACACCAAGATCTTCACTTTGGCTGAGAGCTTAGGTGGGGTCGAGAGTCTATGCGAGGTCCCTTCCAGCATGACCCATGCAGGTATCCCGAAGGACCAGCGTGAGGCTGCCGGTGTGTTTGACGATCTGGTGCGCATGAGCTGCGGTGTCGAGGACGCTGAGGACCTCAAGGCGGACGTGCTCCAAGCGCTGAAACTGGCTGTTCTTCCTGCAGTTTCCAATGGAACTAATGGAAGTGCATAGACTATTATTCAGTTTGTGGGTTCGCTTTTCAATGTTCTTATGATATAGACTTGATCTTGTGTTTGCATCCTGGCTTTTATGACCAGCGTCAGTTTCTTGCAAGACATACATATGAAGAATACATAAATACACATCATATTTGTTAATACAGAATAATATCTTCAATTCGCAATTATTTCTCCAACTTCTTACTATTACTCCAGCGTTGATAGACACCATTGCTTAGTCATATTTTTTTTTTTACGCCCAACTAGTTTTTTGCATGTGACTCTACCTAGACTGTTCAGTGTTAGATAAAACTTCAAATATATCTACAGGAGTAAGTAAACAATGCCATAGTTATAAACTTCACACTAATATCCTGTCCAGCTTGCTATATTGTGTGACACCTTTTTGTCCAGAATCTTGGACATCTGTTGTAGTTTCTATACTACCAAACTAGCCATCAAGAATAAATCATAATGTCTGGGTTCAGCTTCGGCTTCTCAGGCGAGGATATTGATGTAGATGAAGCCGACGCTAGCAATTATAATGGGCTGGAGGCACCTTCAACGGCCCAGGACGTCAGTTCTCTTCCTGCGTTGGTGCAGGCGGAGGTACATGATATGAGAGATTGGGTATGTTCGAGTCTATCTGTTTGAGTTGTTGTCAAAGAATCGAACATGGCCTTTGCTGACCTTCAGTTCAGCTATCTTCATTACCCTCTCAAATATCATACAGCACCATACCGATCAAGAGGGCAGAGGGAGATCCTCTACTCCTTGGTCGGCGCGAGATTTTCGACATCCGCGCCCAGCTGATGGCCGAGGACAGCATCGACCAAGACAATGCCACGCTCATCGCTCATCTGGAAGAAGGCGATATCACACCGAACTTCTACGAAGGTGGTTTCAAGACCTGGGAGTGCGCATTGGACCTCGCCAAGCTACTTGCCGATGAGAACCAGTTCCAGGTATCAAGATCAAGCGACGCGGAGAGAAATTCTCATGTCGTCGAGGTATGTATAACGTACATCCCCCTTTAGGCACTAAATAAATGATCTAGGCGCTGATTTTATTCTGACGAACAGCTCGGTTCTGGAACCGCCATGCCGTCACTCGCTCTGTTTGCGAAAAAGCTTTCTGAGCCCAAGACTGAGCTATCATCTCACCAGGGGAAAACATATCTGACATTTGCAGACTACAATGCTGCAGTGCTTCGCCTCGTCACTTTACCTAACATCCTGCTCACATGGAGCGCATGTACTTCTCAACCGGCCGCGACTACATCAGACAACAAAGACGATGACATGTTACTCGACATCACGCCCGAACTTGTGGAGGCATTCCAAACCGACCTCGCACAACGCGGGATCATCATCAACTTCATTTCCGGTGCGTGGTCTCCTGCATTTGTGGACCTTGCGTTCTCTCCAGTAGCGCAGTCGCCTATGATGACGCTAGTCCTCGCCAGCGAAACCATTTACTCGCCCGCTTCTCTTCAGGCGTTCACGGATACTCTCGTCGAGCTTCTCCGTCGATCGGGGACGATGGAGGCGTCGACGAGTAAGGCGTACATTGCGGCGAAGAGGGTTTACTTCGGTGTGGGCGGGGGGGTAGATGAGTTCCTGGAGGTGCTTAAGGGGTCCACCGGGGGAGAACTGGCTGTCTCGGAAAAGGTAGATATCAAGTCTGAGGGTGTGGGCCGAGTAATACTTGAGATAAGCAGTAAATAATGCCAAGAGAAAGAAATAAAAGAGACAGGGTTGAGATAATTTCAGCAACAAGTGCCAATAGTTCAGTTTTCATATATATGTACAATAATACACCCCTAGCTACGCATTTTCGATTCACCCAAGCAAAACAGATAGGAGATATGATTTCTAGTCATAGAGAGAAACAACCTTGCCGTCCTGCATACGCCCAACACGCGCCTCCTCTAATTTCTGGTTCTCGCGCTGATAGTGGGCGGCCACGGCGCTGAGGTCGGCAGCCGAGCCAGGAGAGACGTTGATGATAGATCCGCTGTTGAAAATCCTGTTGGCGAAAAAAAGTTAGATATTGAACTCCAAGCACCAATTTCATCAACGCAATGCCATGCTGATCAAAGAAAGACATACTCGGCAGATCGCAACTCGAGGTGAGTACTAGGACCCTGGGATCCGAACAGATGACGATCGTGAGCCGCCTTCTCCATGGCGACGGTGTGGATGGCATTACGCTGCTCAAAGACCTGCTCCGAGGGAGTCCATTTCTCGATGAGACTGGAGATCCACGATTGCGAGCCAGACTCCTGGTTGGACTTGGAGATGCGGTAAAGAATGTACGCAGAGGCAAAGGTACCGATCGTCACATAGAAGCTCCGCTAAACGTAGACCAAATTTCAGTATCGTATCCAGTCAATTGCTACATAGTCGCGACGGGGAGGGGGGGGGGGGGGGAAGGAACATACCCCGAAGCTTTCGTTCACTGGACCGTGGTGGGCATGCTCAGCGTGAGCTGCGTGAGAGTCAAACCGACGAGGCTGCTGGTGTCGCAGCCCCTGACGAAGCAAAGGCACTGACCGCCGAGCGAGAAACATGGTGTGCAATGAGGTAATGGGCGACGCCGGCAGCTGTGCTGATTGTGATGCCAATAGCGAAACGCCGGTTGGAGGTCGAGGCAGCCAAGACTTTCCGGTCACATGATCCCCTATCTAAATGCGGACTAGGGCGTCCCGGCACTCCCCGTGACCCCGTGATCCCGTGTCCCGTGACCTTCTTCCACGCGACTTCCTCAAACGTCCGTCTCGCAGCCTCACACAACGCATCAGCGAGTCAACAACGGTGTCTCTCGGCATAGAGGAGAGTCCGCTACTTCCAGCAACTCGGTCATGTCGTTCTCTGCAGTCACTGTCAGACGGCGGGTCGCTGTGCTGGCTCGCCAATGGTCTACACCGCCCGTTGGGTGAGTGGCGGGAAGAAACGCGCACCAGCGCCTACAGTGCCAGCAGAATGGAACTCCAGTGCACGAACATGATTGCTCGTCGGGGCGCTACGACTGGGCCCTCAGTCATGGCCAATTCATGCAGTGCTTCGAACGTCGGGATCAGGACCGGCCAACGCATCAATCCTTCATTAGTGTGGTCACCACCCCACATTTCCGCCTGAAGGTTCTTTCTCTCCTATCCGGCCACCTCGATGGGCCTCGCCGTTGATGCCCAATACCCTGCGAGCGTTGGGTTCTCGGAGTGTGGTCTTTGTTCTGGTTGGCCGTTGACGCCTCGCTTCTTGGTACTTTCGCTCTTTTGCGCCAGAAGGAAATGGGGGGTTTCAGTATTGTCCTATTTTGGTGTGACGTGGGAGACCAAAATCACAATGGGTATCAACACCTAAGGTTCGGTCCGCATTCTGTTTAGTCCAGCCTCCCCAGGGCTGGATGGAATCGATCGATCTATTACAGCTTCGGGCTCGTGTGCAGTAACTTGGAAACAGGTTATTAGTTGGCGTTTCCTTGTGGTGATTGTGGTTTTTTTTTTCTATCCTTGGCTATCATTAATTCCAGACATCAAAATCCAGATCATGACTCTTATGACTTCCCTTTCCTGAACTGTCTGCCTGCCTGAGTCTGGCAGCTTTGCTTCCGTGTATTACCATTATTTGCGCCCACTCGCCCTACCCATCCATTTTTAGAATCCTTCCAGTCCCTCAATGCCTAAAGTGTGATTCACACATGCTGATCGAGTGACCATCGAGAATCCTTGTCTGTCAACTTCTATTGTTCGGAATATATCTTTAACATATCCGGGCACACCTGCAAATGTACTGTGCTGGATGAGCAAATCCCCAATTGTTTTTCTGCCAGTATCACCATCCAATATTTGATTCCCACATTTCTCCCACTGGAAACACGTCTGTCAGCATCAGGTGTACTTGGGCACACAGCAGTGAAAACACTCCACCATGGCGAAGTCAAAAGCCAAAGGCAAAGATAAAGGAAATGCGAAGGCCGGTAAGAAGGGCAAGAAGGGCAACAACAGCAACAACAACCAAGAACCATCGGAGAATCAAACTGCCCCTCCAACCACAGCCGACACTCCCGTCGACGATCTTGATACCACCACGCCTCCTCCTGAGACTGAAGAGCCATCCTCACCAACTATCGACCTTGACAACCAAACAGACAACGCCACTCCTCGCCCATCCAGCCCCGACCCAGCCCTGGCTCAACCACCTGCTGTGAATGATGTTGAGGACCAAGAAGCACAGACTGGCACGGAGGAACAAGCAATCCTAGACCAGCCTTCAGATCCTATAGAGCCTGCAAGTGGCTTAGAGTCTGCTAATCCCGAAGACCCTTTCGAAACTGCAGAGACTGCAGATACCACAGAGCCTACACAACTTCCAGAGTCGATCGACCCTGTCGAGCCCATGCCTGTTGACCCTGCAGAGCCCGAGTCTGTCGACGCTGCCGAGTCCGAATTTGTCGACTCACTCGAGACTATCGAGCCCACCGAATCTATAAATCCTTTTGAAGCCGCAGAGTCTACTGAGCCAGTCGAGCCCACTGAGCCGGTCGAGTCCACTGAGCCTGTTGAGCCAACTGAGCCAACTGAGCCAACTGAGCCTGTTGAACCCGTCGAGGAGCCTGTTGAGCCCACTGAGCCTGTCGAACCTGTTGAGCCCACTGAGCTTGTCGAAGAACCCATCGAGCCTGTCGAGGAAGCCGTCGAGCCTGTCGAAGAACCCATCGAGCCTGTCGAAGAACCTATCGAGCCTGTAGAAGAACCTACCGAGCCTGTCGAGGAAGCCACTGAGCCTGTCGAGCCTGTCGAAGAACCTACTGAGCCCGTCGAGCCCGTCGAGTCCACAGAGCCTGTCGAAGAAACCACTGAGCCTGTCGAAGAAACCACTGAGCCTGTCGAAGAAACCACTGAGCCTGTCGAGCCTGTTGAATCCTTCGAGGGTGCAGAGTTTGTCGAGCCTTCAGAGACTGTTGAGCCTGTCGAGCCCGCTGAGCCTATTGAACCTGTCGAGCCCGCTGAGCCTATTGAACCTGTCGAGTCTCTGGAGCCCGTCGAACCTGTTGAGGCTATTGAGCCTGTCGAGTCTGTCGAACCCGTTGAACCTACTGAGCCCGTCGAACCTGTCGAGGAAGTCACTGAGCCTGTCGAGTTCGTCGAACCCGTCGAGAGTACAGAGGCTGTCGAGAGCACAGACTCAGCTGAGAAAACAGATTATCTTGACGCTGCTCAACCGGCCGAGGACCCAGAACCTACCAGGGCCATCGAAGTAGAAGAAACACCAAAGGCTCCCGAAACCCCTGCAGCTGTTGAAGCCGTTGACTCAATAGGTGATACTGAGTCGAAGAAGAAGCGGTCGAAGAAATCGAAGAAGGGTCGCCAGTCAGAGCCAGCGCCATCTCCAGCTGCTCGAACCCAATCCACTGAACGGTCATCAACACCTACTCCGAGAAACCACTCCTTCTCACGGTCTTCCGCTGCCCCTGTGCCCTCTCAATCTGTCCCAGAAGGTCGGTACATCACAAGTCCTCCCCCTGAGGCTTATATCTCCTATCCATCTTCCCCAGCATATCACGCCTACGCATCCCCTACATACGCTTCACCCGTACCGAAAGCCAGAAGCCCTCTGGCGCGTCCTTACATTTCACCAATGATGTCTCCACATGCAACACCACCGGCTCAGCCGGTAATGCCTCATGCTCCTCCATCAACAGCTCCCAGCTATACAACTGCTCTTCACTCACCTGTTATGAGCTCTGCAGGAATGATCCCGCCGTACGCCCCCTACCCGCCGCCTCCCCAAGGTATGGCGACAGCACATCGAGGCTACATGGATCCGTACTATGCTTCTTCCCTTCAAGCTATGCAGACCATGGGCCTTGCGAGTGGTCTTGCTGGTGGCTTGGTGAACGGCCAAGCGCGTGAAAACGGCACGATTTCCCCACCAGACCACGGAGACGAGCATATCGAGCTTCTCGCACGCATTCAAAACGCAATTCCCGATCTCAGCAAATTGTTGAACGGCTTCAAAGACACTCAAAGCAAGCTGACGACAAGGGAGGCTGAATTCCAACAGATCCAAAATCAGCATGAGCAGGCTCTGATGCACAAGGACTTTTATATCGAGGCCCTTCAGGCTCAGATGAGGAAGACTGCCAGCGAGAGCGCAGAGGAGAGTACAAAACTCAAAAACACCATCAACGAACTACGCCTTGAGCTGGGAAATCTCCAAGAGAGGCAACGGGATGTCGAAGAGAGCCTTAGCAACTCAGAAAAGTCAAATGAGCAACTGCTGGAAAATAAGGTTAAGCTGGAGCAACAAATCACCAAACTGAACGCCACCTTCGAGGAAGCACGCGTTGCTCACGAGAGGGAGATTGAGCACCGCAAACAGCAAGAAGCAGCGGCTCTTGTGGCTCAGAAGCTCGAGTTGACCGAACTGTTCGAAGAGATCAAAGCCGAAGACGAGAAGCTCGCTGCCGAAGCTTTGGAGGCTCGAGAGAAGGAGCTGCTGGATCAGCAAGAATCTCTGCAAGCCGAATGGGACCAGGTGAAACAGAAATTGCAAGAATCGGAAGATGCCCTGAAGGCCGAGTTGGAGTCAACGGGGTCGGAGTTGGATTCTACCAAATCCGAGCTGGAAGCGAAGATCTCCGAGTTGGAGACGAAGAAGGGCGAGCTGGAGTCGGCCATGACGGACCTGGAGTCCCATCGAGCCGAGATTGAGACGAAGCACGCCGAACTGGAGTCCACACGTGCGGACGTGGCCGCCAAACACCAGGAGCTGGAGGACGCCCATGAGAGCCACGCGAGGGCGCTAGACGACCTCCATACCTCCCACTCGAGCGAGCTCGACAGTCTTCGCGGTACGCACGAAGAGCAACTCGCGGCGGCAGCCAAGGAGCTGGAGGAGCAGCAGCAGCAGTGGTTCGAAGAACGAACCAGGCTGGAACAAGAACTCTCCGAGAAGAAAGAAGAACTTGCGAGCACCGAGCGGGAGAAAGATAAGCTCGAAGAACAGTGCATTGCAAAGGAACAGCAGCTCCAGCACGCCGTGGAGGAAATGCGCCTCACCATCGACCACCTGGATGGCGATCGCGAGAGATTAAGAAAGACTTTGCACAGCTTGGGAGAGGCCACTGATCTCAAGAGCACCAAAGGTGACTCATTCTTGTAAGTGACCACCGTGTGAGAATATTTTTTCTCGATATATTCGACGATCATTCTCTATATTTTTCGTTTCAAATTTCTTGTCCATACATATGTGACGCCCAGTCTACTCTCATTTGTTTATTTTCTATGGATATTTTTTCTTCTTCTCCTTCTTCTTCTTCTTCTCTCGATTCTCCCCGTCGAGTTTCCAACGGGTAACATTCATTTCACACCTTTTCCTTTTATTTTCGTTGTTTATTTTCGTTTTTTTTTATGTCTGATAGTGTCATGAGCCATATATGATGAGAAACGTATAGAAATGTACCTGTTCTGATAAGACGATGAACTCTAGTGTGGACTGCTTCGATCAACTCTCGCATCTTATTGTCGACCTGTCCAAAGAACACTTCTCGTACCTCCCTATTGATCCGCCCAAAGACATTCTGTCCAAGATTCCTCCTGAGCTGCCATCTTTCCTAGACAACACCACCGCCTCGCGCGAATTGCGATCCGCCTACATCCAGCATGTCATTTCGAAGACGCTGACGTTCCGGATCTTCCAGCCGTTCCTGTTCACCCTGGGACGGCGGTATGACAAGGCCGACACCTTCTTCCAGATGCTCTCGATGGACATCCGCCGCAAGTCTGTGCGACGGGAGGCCTTCTGGCGGCAGCAGACACTCAAGGCGGCATACACGACGTCGGACGCCAAGCAGTCGATCAACGTGGTAGCCGCCGTCATTGTGGACGAGATCGTCGACCACATCAAGCACTTCACCGACCCCAAGACGCTCGACACGCTGATCACGGCGGTGCGCAAGATCGTCAAGCTGGCCGCCGAGACCTGGCGCCATGCTCGCGTCGAACGCGAGCTGGTGCTGGCCACCCTACCGGCGCCCGATGCCGAAGTCGCGGTCAACGAGGAGTGGGAGGAGTACGGCACCACCAAAGAGCGGGATTATTACACGCCAAACAGCGATCCTACCCGCCATGTGGTGCTCCGCACCTTCCCTCGCATCATGCGAGAGGCAGCCCACGAGGACTTTGCCGACGACAAGGAAAAGGCCACTTCATGTGTGTACTCGTACGGCACTGTCCTCTATTCCGACTCGCCGATCGTGATTAGCCGGCTGCAAGAGCTCGCGAGGCGATCCACCGAGTCTCTCGGTAATACAAACGGACATACCAGCAGCTAAAAAGGCCTGCTGTTGATACCTAGCCTCTAACTCCTCCAGTCACTCTCTAAGCCTCTCTCCTGAAGCTTTTAACCTTTCCTTTGTTTTTTCTTCTTCTTTTTCTTCTCTTCTGGAACATTCCATTCTGTCATATTGTCTTGTTATATCTTTGTCTCGGTATATTCGGTATATTGACTCGGTATATTGGCTCCCTCGATGGGTATTTTCTTCTACATATTGTTCTTTTTTTCCCCCTGTCCATTCTACTTTGTATCTTTGATATGTTTCTTTCTTCTTTTTCTTCTTTTCCTCTCAGCATCTTTTCAGCGTTCTTGTTTTCTCCTATTCTCATTCCTCTTACTCATGTACTGTAAGTGGACATGCCGACTTGGGTATGTTTACGAAATGTTTAAAATGTAAACAAGACAATAGATAACTACCTACATAGGTATATTGATATCTAGTATGGATTATAGGATCTCCTCGATGATGTCACCTGTACAGCCACACCTACTAGAGCCTCCATCGTACTTTGTGGATGACGGCTGTGAGCCATGGATGAGCCATGTCTCCATCAGATGGTAACTAACCAGTCAGATCCCAACCGTCTACTAGGTAATATTATCCTGTAGGCTGATTGAAAGGCTCCTGCTTTGCTTTCCTGCACAGCCTCGCCGTGTTCCAGACATGGGCCTGCGCCACATATGCCTGGGGCTTGAGCCTTGTTGTAACTTACCGGGTTTACGTATCAGCTTGTATTATTACCGTATCTCTGTCTACTGAAGTTAAGAGAATGGACTCGAGAATGGACTCTTCAAGTCCATTCTCTCCCTCTATCAGTCTCCCTACATTCATTTATATTAATACCAAAATCTTCTACCTAGGTATATATCCTCCACGATGGGCTGTTTCGCCCCCGTCGGGCGCGTCGTGACTGGCCCTGGATGCGCCCAGTTCGACGCCGGCGGCTGTTCTGTCGCTGGCTATCAGCCGCATCCCAGTAATCGGTCGGGAGGCAGACTGGCAGCTCCTGGAGAACGCCTCATTTCACTGGTAGGTACTAGGTACCTAGTATACTTACTTGCTACCTGGTAGTATACTCCTTACTGGGTAGTATACTACTTACTAGGTAACTACCTCTGTCTGTTCGACAACCCCTCCCTAGTCGTGTTTGCCCGCATATGTAGTAAGGCGTCCTTTGGTCCCCCTCGCCCTTCTTCAGCCTGGACGGACTGGCTTCCTTCCTTCCTCCTCTCTCCACTCTCTCTCCTCTCCTCTAGTTTTGTTCTGACGGCGTTGATCCAGGTCTCTCGGTGGGTAGAGCTGCCTTGTCGGCCAACACGTCATTTTCTCACTGTTGCTTTATTATCTTGGACTCTGTCTCTCTCCGTACGATCTTGAGTCAGCCTGTGCTTTTGTGGTTTCCCTTCAGCACTCCCCCCCCCCAACAAGTCGAGGAGTGTTCCCCCCCCCCTCCTCTCGACTATTTAATTAAAAGCTTGTGCATGGTGGCTTCTGTGGCGTCGAGAATGGCACTTTAGCAGTGCCCTTGTGTTGTATTTGATTGAGTATACGAGCGCTGCTTTCTTCCCCCAGAACCGTGCTTGCTTCAACGGTGGATCGACACAACGTGCATCCGACAAGATGTCGAGCGGGTCGGCTCGCCTTCTGAATACCCTCTCCCCGTCTGTCGAGTCGAGTTTCCAGGACCCTTACCTGTCAGCACCCTCCGACCCCGAGGAGGAGTCGTTTAGATCGGCAGGCATCAGACTCACTCCCGCCGCCAACGATGCTCCGACAACTGCTCGCTTGGGGAGCGGTAGAGAATCGCCCGTCAACGCTGCAGCGGGCCAGGTAGACTCGCTGGCGGTCCAACCGACCTACTTCCAAGACTTCCTCAGCCCCGCCGAGGAACTCTACAGCGAAGTCAGCGGCCACACTTCCCCCGACGAGGAGCTGTTCCTCGGGAGCTTCGAGACAGAACTTCGGACAGAACAATCGCAGACATGGTGGCCGACTGTCGAGGTCTCTCCGCAGCAGGAAGGACTGCGCCCCCCTACTGCTGCATATCACCCGTCGGGGCCGTCACTACAGCTACTGACTCCGGACCCAACAAACCACTCGACCCCGTCGGCATCTGGATCTCTCCAGCCCCAGGGCGTATCCCTGCAGAGTCGTTTGCTTCAGATGCCTATGTTGATCACCAACCATTCCAATAAGGACAACACTCTCAATGTAGCCGTGACCCCAGACTCAGCCACCAGCCGCAGCCCCAAAATTAAGATCGAGAGATACTCGCGTGGCGATTCGCCCGAGCGCGAAATTCTCCCTGCGAACCGTCGCCATAGCCAATCCATCCATCATCTGTCGCCTGGCGGCATGAACTCGGCGAGTGAACCGGATGACGAAGAAGAAGAGGAGGAGAAGGAGGAGGAAGACATGAATGACGGCCGCTCTCCAGCCAAGCAACCCGTCTCTCGTGCGAGCGATGGTTCCTGGATGCCTGGTATTGTCACCGGCCAGGGAGGGTTGGACCCCTCCTCTAGAGGAAATGATTATGTTCCCAGCCCGAACGAAATGGGGAACAAGCGTCAGCTGGAAGAAAAGAACGAAGATATCCGATCGTGGTCGAAATCCGTCAGCGCGGCAAACAGCGATGCCGAGGACAGTGGTCGCCGCCGGTCCCGAGGCCGTAAAGTCTTTCCCGGGGTCAGACCCAGAGCAAAGAGCGCAGGGGACCGCCAGGACTATTTCAACTTGAAAATAATCCCAGGTCCCGGGATTCTCATTGACGAGAGTAGCGGAGATGACTACAGCGATCGGGACTCTGATTCCGGTTCGACGTTAAGTTCGCCGCAGTCTCCGCCAGTGAGCGCCACCCACAAAATATGGGAGAATGCCGATGATTTCAGACCGTCAGAGCTCGAGAACTACAGCTTCCCCGCGAGACAGCCCTTTGACGTCCATCCGTGGCGAGACGGACCCACGGATGAAACCCCAAGAGCTGAAAAGTTGCAACCAGACAGTTCGAATGCCGCCATAATGGAGTACGAACGGCGCGCCAAAGAGATGGACAACATCTCCCGGGCGGCGACCTGGGGTACCCGGAATCTAAGCGATATTGACCTAGCAAGCCTCATGGATAAAAGTGGTTCAATCCGTCCGAAAGACTCTGCAGCAAGCCCTACCACTAGCAAACCCAGCAGACGCGGCAGCCTCCTGGAGAAGTTGAGGCATCAACTATCCAACAAGTCGACAAGCCAGGCAACAACCATCGAGACAACCAACCAGAAACATGAGCCAGTGGATGCTAGGAAATATGAGGTCTCAAGACCATCAATTACCCGGAAATTCAGCATTGGGCGACCAACATCCCCATCTCTCAGCACCAGCAGCGCGCTTGTCGCGATGACAGGGCAGATGGCTGCAATCGGTGGCACGGGCGCTGTGTCCCAAAACATGACTGGAAGATCCCAGTGCAACCTGAAGCGCGGGCGAGCCAGAAGTGATTTACCAATACCATCGAGTCCAGGTTTACTAAGTCTCATCAAGAGCCACGGCGGACCTCCAGTAGGGAACATTGCGCTTTCGCCTCTGCTTGCTGGCGGGGCTTCAAAGGTAAAACTCGGCCGGGGAGAAGTTGAGAGTAATCTTTGTGATGATGAGGACGACGATAACGACGATGACGACGACGAAGAAATGGGAAATGAACCCGGCTTGACGATGGACTTTCCTATCCCCCAACAACTCCCCTTGCCGACGTATGAGGGGTTCAAAACCCAGATCTTCAGGCTTAATCCTCGGTTGGAGCCAGCATTGCTCCATCGGCTTGCCCACGAACAGGTCCGCCGGTACAAGGCTCTTGTGGAAACGAATCGGAAGCACCGTCAGGCTGTCATCCAAGGAAAATGCACTGCGGGTTCGTCATGTTTTGCCCAGGGCGGCAAAGCCAAGCTGGGCTCCCGGAATTCCGACTCGACATATGCTCAATTTCAAGTCTCGGGACACCACGAAGATGGCCATAACCCCGCCACCCTCCCCGAGGAGAACGCCATCCCTCGGGCGCAGTTCCCACCCGGTGTACCTTTACCCCCGGTCGAACGGCTGCCGGCCGAATTTGAGTGCCCTCTATGTTTCAAGGTGAAGAAGTTTCAGAAGCCATCCGATTGGACGAAACACGTTCACGAAGATATTCAGCCGTTCACCTGCACCTTCCCTGACTGCAACGAGCCCAAATCCTTCAAGCGCAAAGCTGACTGGGTTCGACACGAGGGTGAGAAACATCGGCAACTCGAGTGGTGGGCATGCGAGTTCCCCGAATGCAACCACAAGTGCCACCGCAAGGACAACTTTGTGCAGCATCTGACCCGGGAGCACAAAATGCCCGAGGTCAAGATCAGGAAGTCCAAGGGCCGTGATTCCATGGCCAAGTCTGGGGGCGCCGATGAAGCCAGGCGTGAGAGAGAGCTCCGGGAGCTGTGGCATATGGTAGATCGGTGCCGCCACGAATCACCCAAGAATCCTCGAAACGAACCGTGCAGGTTCTGTGGCAACGTGTGCAGCTCCTGGAAGAAGTTGACCGTGCATCTTGCGAAGCACATGGAACAAATCGCCATGCCGGTCTTGCGGATGGTTGAGGAGCGCCCCTCGGCTCTGCCCACGGGGGCGAGTCCGATGGATAGACGCCCGCCGCTGGTAACAGCCTCACCACAGCCCATCTCCCCTGAGGATAAGGCCGGTGTGGGCCAGGCGGAATATTCGGAGACCCCGGTTAACAAATCCGCTTCCGAAATAGCGTCCGATTTTTCGAACATGCACTGTTCTCCTACTACTGTCGCGGTTCAGAGCAACGAATTACTTCCCATGTCGGCGGCTTACCACGCTTCTGCATCCTATCCAGCGCCCTTTCACAGACCCCAGCCTACTACAATCGTACCAGGTAATGCACCGGGCGGCATACCCTCTTCCTCTTATTCGCAGCTGGGTGTTCTGAATCCCCAGGTCGGTACGCAGCTGGCGACATCCATGTCCTATGTCCCCAAACACCAGAACTCGGCCTCTTATCCGCCACCGTTTAACGCGATTCCTAACCTCAATATCCCTGTGTCGCGCAGTCCCTACGATCTTTCAGTCAACACGGCCGATATAACCTCCCTCTTTGACGCCCAGAATTCGCTCCACGCCTCGCCCATCGCGTCGAGTAATCTGGTGCCCCCGGTGGCGTACGAGACCGACTATCAGGGTGTTGTCGACATGAGCACCATGGATTCGGCGTCGTACAGCACGCAGTACTACCAGTATACAAATGTGGACCATCAGTATTCTGCGGCATGATAGTTCTTTTGTATATCACCCGCTCATTCGAAACTCTCGAGGCTCAATCAACATGAACAGATACCCTATTGCCCTTTTTTCTTTCCTTCTTTTTTTTAGGAAATTCCTTTTTCTTTGCTTTTGGCACTTGCCTTAGTATTGGAGACATTAGCTTTTGAAGCGGTTCTATATTCTACCGGGAATGTGACGATTTGGATATCTTTTTTGGCTTCGTTTCTGATGATCGAACATACTATCATTACCATGTACAGACCAGAGTACCTTCATTACGTCCTGGAATACGTATGTCAGCCTCGATCTGCAATTGCAATTCCTCTAGTATGACGGATGCATACACCATACTACATGCCTAATGCTATACTTCGTACCGGGGGGGGGGGTACTCTGTACTCCGTACTGGGCACTCACTAGTCATAGCACCCAGTCTATCTATCGAGGTACCCGGGTGAATCACCCAGGCTAGACACTTGGCTGCAGCAGAACGAACGAGAGACGACAGCGCAAAGAGTGACACAAATCGAGGATGACAGAGTCGTCGTCGGTTCACATTCTTTGGTATCCATGCCGGTGAGAGGGTCCAGATTGTCGGTCTGCAGGGCTGCCTGTCCCATCACTGATGATTCGAGTCAAAACTGAACGAGTACCGGGTGAAACCCCGCGGATACGCAAACAATAGGCAGTGATTGTTGAACAGGAATACAGGGAAATGAGACAAGAGAAAATGAACAAAGAAGATCATGAATGAAATAAATTTTTGGAAGAAAAAGAAAATAAAAAAATTGACTCGTCAAATGTCAATAAGCACTGCGGTTTTTTTTTTTTTTTTTTTTTTTCTCTCTCTGCTGCGCCCGTGGCATGCACACTTGCCCCCCCTCCCAAGCTGCTGCGCCCTCAGTTCACCTGCCCCTCCCCAGACGGGCGAGACGGATTTCTGCTGGTGTGTAGGGAGCGATTAGCCATCTCTTTTGCTAGCTGGGTGTCGCTACTTTGAGCCCCCGAACACGTTATTGTTGTTGTTGTTGTTGTTGTTGTTGGGGCCGTCGAGAGCAGACAGAGACAGCGGTGCTGGGGTGTGGCTCTTGTAAGAATCACAGTGAGAGGTGTGTTGCTCTAGAATACCCGAGAGAAACATGGATTTATTCTTTTTATCGTTATGGTTCTGTGTTTGTTAGAATTCTCTCCTGCCCATATTGATCGACAGTCAGACAGCCTTCGATATACGGAGTATCGGACCCTTCCATACGGTGATCGAGAATGAGTAATGTGAGCCGGCCATAGAACCTTTTCTTTCCTTTTTTCTTTCTATATATTGGTCATCTGGACCTTTGGTTGAATTCCTCTGTTCTGACGTTCCACTCTACAGGTTCGATCTAGCAAAAATGCCTGGGACAATCCCCGAGAGACGGTGCTTCAGGGCATCACGGCCGTGGACATGGAGGCCCGTCCCCTCCTCGACCCCCCTACAGGCTCGGAGCCCGATTTCGCACTGGAAGACTCGTCGTCGCTGCTTGGGCTGCCGCTCGGGCTGTCGCTCGGGTCGGATTCTGCCTTTCTCGCCCACTTGGGTCCATGGCCGCAGTATCAACAGAACAACCTATCGCTCTCCCAGGGGTCGTCAAACCACCACCCGCTCTCACGTCTGACGCAGAAGCAGGAAGTTTGGTGTCCACTGCAGGTGACCGGGGTCCCGGTGCTGGCTCCTCCATCTGCGCTTGGAGTGCAGCAGCCACCATCAACAAACGGGTTGGGCGACACGCCGAATCCCAGCTACCCTCACCAGTATGATTATCGCAGTCCGTGTTCGGAAGCGGATAGCCATTACACGGGCTTCGCGCATTCTGACTCCGGATATGGTAGCCGGAGCTGTGCGACGCGCTCGGTCGTGACGGTCCCTTATGCGGTCGATTGCACCTCTAGCCCCTCGTGGGCATGTCCCGAGAACGAAGAGGGAGAGATCTCTGTCGACCGAGCGGCTTCTCACATTCCCCAATCTGTGACAGACGCTACGGACCGGCTTGAGTCCTCACCGCCGTACGTCGGACACTTCGTCATTACTTGTGGGTATCCTAGCTGTTCTTGGACAGGCAAGTGCAAATCGGATCTGAAGTATGCTAGACGGAAACCCTAACCCTGAGTTCTGGAAGAGAAGAGCCAGTCTACTGACAACGCGCGCAGGAAGCATGAAGCCAGACATAAGAAGCCCTTCAAGTGCGATGAGCCGGGCTGTAGCCGGAAAGAAGGCTTCGGGACGATCAACGATCTGGCACGGCACAAGAAATGTGTTCACAAGCAAGAGCCAGAGCGCGGCCCAAAGTGCATGTTCAAATGCTTTGGAGATAGTTGCCCGCGGCGTGACAAGCAGTGGCCGCGGTTGGATAACTTTAAGCAACACCTCGCCCGGATGCATGATACGGAAGACGCCACCGAGCTCGTTCGAAGGTAGGTGATTTTGTGCCATCATCCATGCCTATCGATATAATGCCTATTTCATCGTTAGGTCGAATGAATGGTATGACGGCCTGATCAAACCCCCGTCGCCTTATTCTGTCGCCAATTGTCTCGGTCAAGAAGATGCCACCACCACCACCACCACCACCACCACCACCACCACACCGCGGTGCGCCTCGTATCAAGAATCCAATTATACAGCCTTTACGAACCAAGACATGGGTTGTCTCTCTACTTCTAATATTCCTGCTCATACCACCACTGTTCTATCTGAGAATCCCGCCCAAGATCCACTCCATACCTTGCTTTCCGATTCGAGTGAGGAATACACGATACTTCAGGAGCCAGCTGCCATTGCTACTTCTCAACAAGTTGAGCTGTCGGTGCTCGGTACGCTCGAGCTGCCTTCGTCTATGGAGCACGGGAAGCCCGTCGTCGTAGAACGGACTCGACATCCGCATCAGAATCCACGTCCATATCACCAGGTGGACGACAGCAAAAAGGTCAAAGATCCGATAGCCGGATTAGCGACGAATGTGATTGAAGCGTTGGGCAAGAGCATAGGCGGGAATCTTCGAGGGAAACTTCCACACGCAGATAATGACGAAGCTAGTGCAGACAACAGCTCGGAGTTAACTGGCAAGAAGAGGGAGCTGCTTCGGAGGATTCTGTCCGCAGCTTTGGAACAACTGTCAGAGATCGTTGAACCTGGCCCGTCGATACTGGAGGGCGAGTCTGTCAAAACCGACTGGGTCAAAAAGGATTGGTTGCAATGCGAGTATTGCTCGAAACGGATCCGCCGGCATTGTGAGATGAAGTATGTGACCTCTTGACTATCACCAAGGGAAAAAATTGTTCAATCTGACTGATTCTGAAATAGGAAACACAGGAAACGACACGAACGGCCGTACGGATGTACGTTTCCACACTGTGACAAGGAATTCGGCAGCAAAGCCGACTGGAAACGACACGAGAGCTCGCAGCATTCCCACGAACTAACATGGCCGTGCACGCTGCCTGGCCCAATCGAGGAAACAATGCAATGGGGGGAAGCCTTCGATCGGCCGGAGGCCAAGAACAATGGGCAGTCGCAGTACTGGTGCGGCTTCTGCCGCCAGACCATCATGCTGGAGAGCAACGACTTGAACGAGCGATTCGATCATATCGAGATCGAGCATTTCCGGAAGGGCCAACGGATTCGCGAGTGGGTGCATAAGCATGGGAGCGACGGCGCAGTGAACCAGACCCGGAACCGTGACGAGGCCGATGTCGACGTCGACGTCGACGTCGACGACCGGCATAGTGGATCCCCATTTGAGAGCGGTCCGTCGGGACCTGACGAGGATGCTTGCCCGGTGAGAAAGCGCAAGCCCGACCCGTCGCAGGTGCAAGAGGGATGTTATCCGGACAACAAGCGGCGGCGGGGGGATGAGACAAGCTACACCAATCTCCCGGAATCCATTTATGCCGTCTGTCGGGGCTGTGAGCGAGACGTCGACGAAGCAATGGGCGGGATGGAATGATAGCCATAGTCTCTCTTGATATGATTAATGATTACTACCAGTAGTGTTCTACAGCCTGGTATGGAGTCAAGTGTTGTTTTAATGTAGTATACAAAGTGGTATGGAGTGAGCTAGGTATCTAAGATTATTTCTTGATCCCAGCCAACTCCCTCGCCTTTGCCTCCAGGATCTCCACCTCTTCTATAGCATGTTAGACGGTGTTTTCAAGTCAAACAGAGGCAAGCAACGTACTATTTTTCTCCACCTTGGACTCGTCCATCTCCAACTTCAACCACGTCCAGTAGATGACCTGGTACGTGAAGATCGCGCCGAGGAAGACCTTTGCAAAGGGCCTTACGAAGGGTTTATACCCATTCATCTAAAAAGTCAGAATCTATATACTCATATATACATATATATATATATATATATACAAATATATGTGTATACTTACACCCTGACGAAAAGAAGAAGGCTGGTCCGCCGCATTGAGACGGGAAAAGGATGAAAAAGAAAGAGAATTGCGCGGGATGTGTGAGACAGGATAGAGGAGCGGACGATGCATTGTTTGGTTGCTGGGTAGCTCAGCTCCCTGGGTAGTTGCCTAATGCCTGATCTGATACCTGGAGACAAACGATGGAAAGTTGAGGATGGGCGGGAGGAGAGGAAGGAGGTGCTTAGTCATTTCTGAGTCATGCGGGTTGGATGTCCGTTTATTAGAGGTAGTACCTCAGGAAGTTTCTACGGACTGATAGATATCTGTACGACCTACATGGTGTTTTGTTATTATGGACAATATACTTGTGTAGGTTATAGTAAATGATAAATGATAATTATAAATAGTCTGTCTAGTCTGGCTTATCTTTCTATACTCAAACCACTACTGATGATAGTACGGACTACGGAGTATATATACTGTAACAGGTGTATCCATTCAGCCTCTTATTTTAATATTATAATACACTATTGATTCTCATCCCTAGTAGAGACACCAAAAGACTACCTAGTACTGCTGTTGAATAGCTGGACAGTACTATGTTATACCGAATAGAGCAGCAGCTGACTCAGCACCGGGGAGGAGCCAAAGGCCGATAAGCTTATGGGGTCTTTCGATCCTGTCCACGCTAGTCGGTGCCTGAGAATGATGCAAGGAAGCATGGGCAAGATCATGGAAGACGGCCAGAGGAGCAGGAAAAGGAGTTTAATCTGGGAAGCAGATGAGGGGTGGAGGGGAGTGGAACCCCCTCCCTCTAAGAGAAAAGCAGACGTCTCCATCTCCATTGAATTCATGTATTGTACAAGACACACATTCACCAGGTGGTAAGAGAGTGAATAAGTACCTAGTATTGTTGAGAGTGGCTTTCATTCACAAGAGGTAATTGGGAAGATGGCGCTGGGCCAGGCTCTGATTGGCGAAAGCGGTGAATGCTGCACGTGCACACCGCCTTGGGTCAGTGGCTCAGCGTGTGGCTGGTGCCTCAGGCCCAGGGACTGTGGCTGGGGCAGGCCCGTAAGTTAACGCGAGTCCTTCCGCTTCACCTGCTGCTTTGCGCTTGTCTCTTGTGTTTGGCGCCTGGGAATCTCTCTCCTGTCTTCTTCCCACGTTCGCTGATTCCTTCACGCTCCCCTGGCTGTCTCACCTGCTCAGCTCTGCCCTGCCCAAACAGACACCCTTCTCTCCGTCTGTGTCTTATCGCCTCGAGTCGAACCTGGTCGTGGACGCGTCTCAAGTCTCGGCCGGCTCCCGTTGATCGACCCCCCCGACGGGCTGGTAGCGCTTGCACGCTTTGTACACGACTGGTTGATTGTTGATCAAGTCATATCTATTTATCATTTTTTTTAAAGAAAGAAATTTTTACTTAACGGGCGTCAAGGGGGAAATTGGGTCGATGAAGTTGTGAGAGGCTGCTTGGGGGGTCTATACCTGTTTTGACTCGTTTTGTTCAGGGTTCAAGGGCAACTGTGAGTACCGATTACCTCACCGGATTGAACAGTGGCCTTTTGTCGATTTTCTCGGACTGACTTTCTATTGTTCCCATTTAGGAGTCGATATGGCCCGCTTCAAACGGACCCTCGAAGAGGTAGCCAACAAGTCCGACTCCGATGACGACGATTACGATGACCGCGCCGCGCGCTCCGCCCGACACACTGCCTCCAAATCCAAGTCGAAGAAGACTAAGCAGCCGGCCAAGAAGCGCAGGCGTCACGATTCTGACGATGATGATATCGTGTCCGACGACGACGACCTGCTGAGTGAGGATGATGACTTTCTCCAGGACTCGGAATTCGAAGATGAAAACGCAGAGAGGAATGCACGGGGGACTGTCCGTCGACGCGCCGCTACCAATATACCGATCTACAACGATGGTGATTCCAGCAACGTGGAAGAGGAACCTAGCAACGACGACGATGGGGATGAGTTACGAGAGGATGTCTCGCCAAGGAAGAGGCAGAGCACCGTGATTAAACTGAAGATCGGTCACGGCCTGGGACGCCAGCCTCCCGCCTCCAGTCCGTCTGAAGCTGCCCGCCCCGGCCGTCGCATGACTCGGCGCACAAGAGACCCTTCGGCAGAGATCTATGCCTTAACAAATTCGGGTCGGCACGTGCAGACGGTTGAAGGAGGAACGCATAGCCCGGAGACTCATGCCAATCGTCGCCTTGGAAGAGGGAGTCGAGATATCAAGACCACGATCGCCGAGACGGAAACAGAGGAGGTGCAGACGAACCTAGACGAGGAGCAGGCGATGGAGATTACCACAGAGATAAAGGCTTCGCAGCTGGAGATCCTGGAGAGCGCACAGGGCAGTTTCGACGACAGCGGTGTCATCGCCGAGATGAACAAACTGGACGCCGACATGTTAGATCCAGCAGGGTTCATTCCGGAATCCGAAAACGGCGATGTGAAAGAAGACGCAGAAGAAGAAGAAGAAGACGATGATGATGACGATGATGAAGCACCCATATCTAGGAGAAGAGGCAGGGCTACTCGAAATCAGCTAGATGCCGAGGAGGCCGAAGAGGCGGGAGAGCAAGAGATAGAAAAACCGGATGGCGAGGAGGTAGAAGAGGAAGAAGGGGAAGATGGCGTATCCCGTCTGCGCCGCTCCAGCCGCAAACAACCGCCCAAAAGTTCCCAGCGCAAAGGAAAAGACGACGAGGACTTTGAACCGGAAGAAGAGGAATCCAACGACGACGATCTATCTGTATCCGATAAGTCCAACGCCTCCCCTCGGAAAGACAGCCATTCGCGTGATGAAGAGGAAGACAGCACGTCCGGGCGACGTCCTGGCCTCCGTAAACGCAAGTCTCAGTCCCGTGGACAGTCAGAAGCTCGAGTAGATATTGCAGACGAACTGGCCGAGGAGCTGGAAGACTTGAGGTCAGACCGGCCTCGCCGGCGTGTGCAGCCGGAAATCATCTACGAGAAACCTCGTCGCAGCCGCAAGGACGTCGATTATAGAATCCTTCGCCCGGATCTCATGTTTCCAATCGAGGAAGCGGAGAACGAGGTTGCCGAGTCGCCCTCGCGTCGCGGTAGAGGAGGTGGAGGCGGCGGTGGTGTTTGGCAACGCACCTTATTTCCAACATCTGGCCCCTTTGGCGGCGGCGGTCCTGCAGCGATTCTGGCCCCTCCTGGCGCACACATGACAACTGGGGGTGTGGATAGTGATAGCAGTGATGATGAGGGCATGCAGCACCCCAAGGCACACGGAGCAGGGCTTGTATCTGGCCCCGGTCTCTCGGTAGCAGGCCAAACCCACAATGCCGATCCTGTCCAGGGTCTCTCGGGGACCCCGGCCAACCTGGGCAAGATCAAAGACCGCCAGGCGCTTGCCGATGCGGACCCGTTAGGTGTTGACATGAACGTGAACTTCGACAGTGTCGGAGGGTTACAGGGTCATATCGACCAACTCAAGGAAATGGTCTCGCTGCCTCTTCTCTACCCGGAAATCTTTCAGCGTTTCCACATCGTACCACCACGAGGTGTCTTGTTCCATGGCCCTCCTGGAACGGGAAAAACCCTGTTGGCTCGTGCCCTTGCGAACAGTGTTAGCTCCGAGGGCCGCAAAGTGACCTTCTATATGCGAAAGGGCGCCGATGCTCTGAGCAAGTGGGTTGGTGAAGCCGAGAGACAGCTTCGGCTCCTGTTTGAAGAAGCCCGCAAGACACAGCCCAGTATCATCTTTTTTGATGAAATAGACGGTAAGTACTTGTGCATTTACTTCTTTCTTTTTCTTTTTTTTTTTTTTTAAAAAAAAAAAATCGGCTTTCAACTAATCAATGCATCATCATCTATCCAGGCCTCGCACCAGTCCGATCAAGTAAACAGGAGCAGATCCATGCTTCCATCGTGTCAACCTTACTAGCATTGATGGATGGTATGGATGGACGAGGCCAAGTCATTGTCATCGGTGCCACCAACCGACCCGATTCTATCGATCCTGCCCTTCGTCGCCCCGGTCGTTTCGATCGCGAGTTCTACTTCTCATTACCAAATACCGAAGCCCGTCGCGCTATTCTCGACATCCACACCAAGGGCTGGGATCCCCCGCTGCCTGGTGAGATCAAGGATGAGCTGGCGGAGATCACCAAGGGGTATGGAGGTGCCGATCTCCGCGCCCTGTGTACAGAAGCTGCCCTGAATGCCGTTCAAAGGAGGTATCCTCAAATCTACAAGTCGGATAAAAAGCTCCTTATCGACCCCAAAATGATCCACGTCACACCCAAAGACTTTATGCTGGCCATCAAGAAGATGGTACCGTCGTCTGAACGTGCAACCTCTTCTGGCGCTTCTCCGCTGCCTAGCTCTGTGGAGCCCCTGCTCCGTGGACCTTTAGTGGAGATTGAACGACAGCTGTCTGAAATTTTGCCGCGAAGGAAAAGACTAACAGCCCTGGAGGAAGCGCAGTATGAGGAGCCCGAGGGTCATGGTGGCAGCTTCAAGCACGAGCGGATGCAGCAGGACTTTGAGCGGTCAAGGGTCTTTCGCCCGAGGATGCTGATCGAGGGTCAGCAAGGCATGGGCCAGCAGTATCTGGCGGCCGCCCTATTGCATCACTTTGAGGGTCTCCACGTCCAAGCGTTTGACTTACCCACCTTGCTCAGCGATTCGACTCGATCCCCCGAGGCCACTGTCATTCAGCTCTTCGCCGAAGTCAAGAGGCATAAACCCAGCGTCATCTACATTCCCAATATCCACACATGGTTCGAGACGGTGGGCCCGGCCGTGATATCGACTTTCATGGGCTTGCTGCGCTCAGTGCCTCCCACCGACCCGGTACTGCTCTTGGGTGTCTTGGAATCCACAGACGAAGACACGGATACCGGCTTTATCAAGAGCTTGTTCGGGTACTCCAAGAGGAATGTCTACGGCCTGAAGTCGCCGGACGGCACTGCACGCCATGCATTCTTCGCGAAGCTTATTGAATACATCAAGACTTCCCCGGTAGATTTCCCCGACCCGGACAACCGCAAGAAGAGGCAGCTCGAGGCCTTGGAAGTTGCGCCGCCACCCGCCACGAAACCGACTACTCTCACAAAGGAACAGCTGAAAGCCCAGAAGCGGAAGGATCGACAGACACTGAACTTGCTGAAGATTCGGATCCAGCCCATCATGGACCAGATCAAGAAGTACAAGAGGTTCCGTACCGGTGTTGTGGATGAGTCTCAGATCAGGTATCTGTGGGATGACGAAGACCCCAACATCGTGACCAGCGATCTCCCGATTGAGCAGCGGACCACGTTCCGGCCATTCGAGAAGGCATACGATAAACACGGAGTCCTTGGTCTCCGCGAGACGGTGTCCGGAAAGTTCTACTACAACATGGAAATCGTCACCATCGAGAAACGGCTTTCCAATGGCTGGTACAAGAGGCCAAGTGATTTCCTGGCCGACATCAAGCGCCTGGCAAAGGATGCCAAACAGACGGGTGATCAGGAGCGTATCCTGCGTGCAAACGAATTGCTCTCTAACGTTGAAGTCGATATTACCACCATTGAGCAGACAGAGCCGGCGCTGGTTGCGGAATGCGAAAATGTCTATCTTCGAGAACTTGAGCGTGAAAAGGCACTCGCCGAGCGCACGAAACCGGCAGATGACGACGATAACAATACCGTCGGCGCCCCGGCGGGAGGAGGCAACGTCCCTCACGGGAATACAGAATCAGCCGTGACGTCCGGTCCGGTTGTCCTAGGAGAATCGTTCCCTGCGCGGCCAGTGACGCCCTCGCGCGATCGTCCTTCCCAGAGCTTACAGGCAAATGGTTATTATCATGGTCCCGGTGGCGGCTCGGATCTCAACGACCTCAGCACCCATGTTGCGACTAGCAACGGCTCCCATGCCGACGGTGAAGGGGACACGTACATGGCCAACTCCGAAGACATCTCAGGTCTCCGAGACACCCAAAATGACTCGTTCGGACCCTCTGCGCAACCCAAACCCGCCTACTCGCACACCGCGCCCTCACAGCAGATCCGGCGAGAGTCGGGCATTTCGAACCTTTCACAAAAGGGGCCGATGACACCCATGGCTCCCGGATCGCAGCCAAACGACTACACGAATGAGGCCTCGACGACGCAGACCACATCTGACAAAAAATCGTCCGAGAATTCTACCCTGCACTTCCACACCCAGAGTCCCGTGGCGGGTCATGGGCTAAGGAACGAATTCCCCGATCTGACCCAGTATCCCGATCGCGTGTCGCAGGAGGAGCATCTGCCGGATACCCAACAAGGAGGGAGTAGTCAGCCGTCTCCGAAGCTGCGGGACTTTCACCACACGGAACTGCCGTATTCGCAGTCTTCTACTGCCCCGAATGGAGGTGGTGGTAGCCAGTCGCAGGCTAGACCGCAGTCGCAGCCACAACCTCCAGTCCCATTGTTTGATGCTCACTCCACCCACGCGTCTCACTTGCCTGCCAATCTGCAGCCGTTGCTGAATGATGACGAAGATGATGACGAGGGAAGCCTGCCAGAACACAAGCTTGTTGTGGATGCCCAATACATCGAGGACCTTCATGAGCAGCTGACCCGGCGGACGAGTGGATGCACTGTCGAGCAGCTGGAGCAGATCAACACAAGCCTGATGGACTACATCTGGCAGATGCGCAGCGAGTGGAACCGCACGAGCGTCGCCTCTGGCGTCATCGACACCTTCAACGAGGTCTTCGAAGACATGCTCTCTATCCAAGAGGTCGGCCCCATCAGCCAACAAACACAGGAGCAACTACGACGGGCCAATGTGCCCATGCACTCCTTGCTTGAAAGCCGCTAATCGGGGCTATTCTCACCCTTCTCTTTCTTTCTTCTTCTTTTTGTCTTTGTTATTCTTCTCTTTACGTGATAACTGGTTGGGATGGATGTAGGGACATCTTTTTCAAGGCGAATACCGAAAGCTCTTGTAACGAATCGACGGCGGGTTCCTGATATTGGACAGTTCTATTTTCTTCTTCTTCTTCTTCTTCTTCTTCTTCTTTCCCCTCCTTTCCTCCTCGTGTGTTTAGTTTTAAAGACAGCATTTCCTGCAGAGTCCCTCGGAGTGTGGCCGTTTCGTCTTTTGTTGGCATCTTCCTTGTTCTTTTCCCTCTTGATTTTTTTTGATCATGTTCCTGAGCTGTCTTGTTGATGGAGCGATGCATTATAATAATTGATAAATCAAATCTGTCAATAGTCTTGTCTTATTAAATAAGCATTTAGTTGGAGATAATTTGTATTTCTATCTAGTAGGTGAATGTTTATGTACCGAACATGTGACATGTGGATTGATTGTTGGACCTCCAACCTGGCCTTTCCAGAACGTCCGTTCCACCCCCCTTCTTCAGACTGGACATTCTATCTGACTGCCGCTCGTTGACCTGTTTTTTTCTTTCGTAATTTATTCCTTTCACGGAGACCCGTTTCTCTCCTCGATTTTTTCCCTTCCGGTCTGTCAGTGGGGGGTTTATCTTTGACGAGAGAGAGAGAATGCTCTTTGTCCGCAACAACTGAACTTGGGAATTTCCTCCACACGACACATACGGAGTTATTTACACCTACATCTACGCTTACTCCTACACTTTAATAAACACGAATTCTATCGCCATGGTGGACTGGCTGAGTCTCGCCGTTCCGCTCGCCTATCTAGGTGTTCTGATCGGTTCGCTGGCGACCTTTTCGTCTCTGTACCGCAAGCGCAAAGCCCGTACGTTCCCCTTGATTTCAATCAAAAGTGACAGTATATATGTATATGTATATACTAACCAAGCTATTCTGGTTTATAGAAAAATCCCTCTCCCTCGAACCATGGTTCCCCGCACACCTCCAACGCGACGTCTATTTCTCTCTCCTCCACCTGGACCCGGCTGCATCATCGTCGTCAACGAAGGAGAAGAAGGCCCCCGCCGTCCCGGAGACAGTGCTCAAGGCTGCTCTGATGAGGCGCGCCACGGAGGATATCCGCCGGGTCATGGCCCTGCGCACACAGAAGCAGGCCCTGGCGATGCTGTTGCAACGCGGGAGCGTCGGCGATGATCTGTGGCAACGGTTCCAGAGGGCCGAGAAAGAGATGGAGGAGGAGGTTCGCGAGGTTGTTGCCGAGGTGAGTTTGGGATTCCCCTTTCTAGGTGTTTATACTAATTTCTCAGGCCAACACATACACACCCAACTGGGGACAAACAATCTTCCAATCTGCAAATGAGATGTTGAACAACATTGGATTCCGCAAGCGCATGGAGGTGCATCAGATCAAGCTGCAGGAGGAGAAGGACTGGTGGGCCAAGAAGAGAGCGACTGCCCAGGAGGAACTGATGAGGGAATTGGACGATGAAAAGGCCTCTGCTTCCAAACCCGCCGCCGAGTCGAAGCCCGCAGCCACAGCCACAGCCACACCTACGACCACAGAAACAACCACTGACAAAACCGCAACGACTCCTGCCGCACCCATTTCCGTGGCTGGCAGCGACGATGATGCCGTCCTTGTCGAGGCAGAGGAACAACAGCAACAAGCTACGGAAACCGGGTCAGCCCCGGGTACGCCTTCGGGGGGTAAAAAGAAGAAGAAGGGCAAGAAATGAGCAACGCAGATCACCTGTATAACTGTTCCTTTTACGAATCTTGATAGAAATTACAAAATAATCCAGTCTTCACTGAGATTAGGAGCGGTCATTTCTCTTCTAAGATTTCTACATAGCTGTCATACGAGTATTCTAGCTGAGTATTCTAAACGAGCCATCGATTAAGAGAGAGGTAGGTGTATCTATGTAACTATTCACTGGTCTAATATACAGTCACTCAACCCAATAAGCACACTTGTTGCAACGCCATTTACATGCATCTTCCTTTTTATACATAGACCTTACCGATAGAGTAGGGAAAAAGGATATCCCACGAACTTAGCATCAAGGAGTTTTTATAAAAGACCAGCGATATTGCTCGCCGGCAGGTCAACCTTCATCTCCGCCATACTCATCTCAGCGGCAGCCTTGGTGATTTTTCTCTGGACCCGGTCCGGATCGGCGGTAACGCGGGCCATGATGACTCGGACGAGATCGCTCAGGATGCCGAGTTGGTTCTGTTGTTTCTCGGCCGGGTCCAGGTGTTCCACATCCAAACCCTGAGCCTGCAGGGCGGCGGCGCGGCGCTCGCTCAGGAGCTCCATGAGTCTGTTCACCTGCATGATATTCTCTTTGCTCCGCGGAGTGGTCGAGAGGCGCCGCAGCCGTCGTTTGGGGGTGTCGGCGGGGACGCCTGCCATCCGAGCGACTTGTAGGACCACCAGTCGAGCCGTGCTATCGTCCGGGTAGACGCCGAACCGCTCTTTCAAAGCGTGGAGGGCAACTAGCGTGCCCTCGAGATCTTTCGACAGGCAGAAACAGCGGATGATCTGGTCGTAGAGTTCCTTGGAAAATTCCTCGTCGGCAACTGCCCTGTGGCGCGGGGTCAACTGCGAATGCCAATGCATCATCTCAGAGAACAGCGCGCGAGCAGATGGGAACACGGCGTCGAATGCCGTGCGGGAACGGTCGTACTGCAGTTTCGCACAGTCCCACAGACACGCGTAGGTCTCCAAATCCGGTCGGATGGATGTGGACATGGTCTGGAATTTCTGCCATAGAGATCGGATATCCTGCTTTCGGAGTTCGGCGTAGAGAAGATGGTTCATGAAATAGGAGTTGGGTCGAATTCGTGCATCCCCAAGACATTTGGTCAAGTATTTGATCATGTCATCATCACTTCGCCGAGTGTAGTGAAGAAGCAGTATGGAGAAGGTCTCGATATTGGCCGGTGGAACTGTTCTTTGCATGAATTTGGGGATGCGAACCCCATCTTCTGATTGAGAGATAACAGGTTTGACAGGGGGGTTCGAAGTGTCAACGGGAACACCGTCCACCCAGACTATATCAATCCGTTGCTGGACCATAGCCCATCCCAGTCTCTCAGCCTTATCTCGAGCAGAGGCACTTCCCTCACGCAACCAAGCAGCAATGATTCCATTGAGATGCTTCGAATCAGGCCTCACTCCCCGTTCATACATCAATTCGATCACTAGAGCAGCAGAATCTACCTCGCCCATCCCAATCAGTTTCTTTATCCAGCTTGCGTAGAAGAATCTATTTTGGAACCGTCGGGGCAATAGCGTGAGCGCCGACAATGAGACTTTGTTTACCTCCTGCTCATTGATGCTTGAAGCTTGTAGATTTTCCGTCAAACCAAGAGCAGCTTTGTAGAGAGCTGTCGAATCATTTGCTGGGTCTTGGCCCGTGACCATCATGTCTTTGAACACAGCTAATGCGAGATCGAGGCGATTGGCTTTGAGTAACCCGATGCTGAGCGAATCGTAGTCTTTCATCGTCATATCGGCACCAAGAAAGGTCTTTAGCTGTAAGTATAGCGCCCAGGCCTTAACTTCCGCATCTTTGCCGGATTGTCTCCCCCATGCATTGATGACTGGGATGAGGACACGAGATTGGCGAGATTTGTCGTTAGCAAGAAAGGCTAGAGCAATATCTTGGGCACGTTGAGGGTTGTCTTGGGCCGCAAAAAGCTGAACTCCTAGCTTCCAATATCCCTCTAGATCTTCCTTGTTCTGACTCGGCACTGTTTGATACGACTCCCATTGATCAAGAGCTTTGCCACTTTCTCCACCATTATGGAGAGCCAGGATATATGAAAAGATATAAGGCGTCGACAGGACGTGTCCAACGGAGGTTGCGTCCTCGAATAGCGCTTGAAGGTGCGCTGGGCGAGTTGCCTTGGTTGATTCCCCGAGTGCCTGAGAGTCCCATAGAAGAGCGATGGCTTCCTTCGGAATTCTTCGAAGAAAGTCTGGACTCGCTTGCTTGCAACGGCGGTACCATTTCCATAGTTCTTGCCTCAGATCCTCCTTACTGGGATCTCTCACGAATTGTCTCATGAGAGTGTTGAATCTGTCAACATAAGGGTCGGTATCGTAATCCTCCGAAGTAATCTCGTAAGACGGCCTGGCAACTGGCACCTGGGTCTCTTCAGGCTGCTTTCCAGATAGCCACTCCTCCTCTTCTTTTGCAAACCCTTCAAACTCCTTTCTTAGCATCTCATCTAGCTCCTCATCGAACACTGCGTCAAGCTCTACTCCAGAATTCTCGGAGCCTTTTTCCTCATCATACTTTCGTAGAGCCTCCAGTGCAAGGACTCTTTCCTTCTCCGGTAGCGATTTCATAAACGGACTATTCGGACTGAACGGGCCTTCTTTGATCATTTGTAGTTCCTGCTCGAGACTAGAAAGCTTCTCCTCGATCTCTTCGCGATCGAGTCGGTCTTCCGCCTCAGGGTCTACCTTCCTCCGCCTCTTGCTCCCCCGCGTATCCTGTTCAAATATCCGAACCTTGTCATTTGGACCGCCAAAGTGTATGAACCGCGGCAGTGTCGTCACGAACGTCTTGCGGCGAGGGAAAACCGGAATAGAGGCGCTTTTGGAGGCCCCATGTTGACACCATCGAGCTCCTTGAACAACCTGGCGGAGCATCAAGTATGAGGATTTAGAACATCGGTCTCTGGTATCACGATCTCAAGTTCAGAAAGGACACGGCCAAGGATTAACTCGAGGCAAAAATATTCGCGTGGTTAGGAAGCTCCGCGGCGAACTGAAGAAAACCAATACCACCTATTCGGGTTTAGCGGCGAACGCGGTTCCGCCTCCGAGAATCGATCACAATAAAAGAATCAAGAGACGTGTGAGGCGATTGTCATGTTAAACAGTATTGAGGCGCTATGGATACGGATATTCATGAAGGCGAGGGCCTAGAACCCCCAAGGGATGGTCTGAACAACCAGGTCCGTGACCGCAATCTGTTATTCGGGGCTGAGAGCTAATGCCTCGATCTCCAGGGCGTCTACATCTATGCACCTCCGAAGCAGTCTAAAGGCAATGGCGAGCGAGCACCAAAGCGGCGCAAGATACATTCGAATACAGCACACAATACCGTCGAGGGCGTACCGTTTGTACCGCTATTGAATGGAGAAGAGGACGCCGAGTCGGTCAGGTGCAGATACACCACTTACAAACAGTTTTGGTCTCAGCAGGATAGGAAGATTCAGGTTAGCAGAATATATCTTTTCGGGATGTTCTTGGGTGCGAGATGTTTATATTTAACTTTGAATAGGCTATCCTAAAAGAGGTTGACTCCAAGGTTCTTGAAAGCGTTTCGTCTTTCGTACAGACTACTTCTCCCGAGACGTATGACCCTGTTCAATACTGGACTTTCATCCGACATCTGACGCGCTTCTAGCTACAATGATTGCATACCAACCGCGCTGGTTACCGTTGGCTCCAATGTCTCCGCCCTCAGCAGATTGCTTTCCCGACTGAACAGCCGCCTGACTACTTCGGGAGAAGGTGGTGTGGTAGCCATCGAATCCGGAGATGCACACAACCTCAAGACAGCTCTCAAGAATATCATTCGTGGCGCTATTACAAATACGGAAGGGAGTGATGGGTTTCAAAGATTTTTGACTGACAGGGCAGTGAGTTGGAAACCGCAATGAGATAGCCCTTGAATCCGTGCTAAGATGCGATTAGGGCCCTCGGCTTCTAGGGTACGACCTTGAACTTCTCAGTGACTATGTGAACAGGAAGGGAATCAAAAAGCTTGTCTTGGTGCTCAGAGATAGCGAAGCTTTTGATGCGGGGCTTATGATTGATCTTCTTTCACTGTTAAGGTATAGTAAATGATCTAGTACTTCTTGATCATGGAGGCTTATATGGGTTTCTAGCTCCTGGCTCGACCGTATACCGTTTGTATTGCTACTCGGTATTTCCACGTCAGTCGAGATTTTTGAGAGCCGACTACCGCGTTCCAGTGTTGCATTACTCCGAGGCAAACATTTTGAAATCCATGAGATGGGTGATTGTGTTGATCGGATCTACGAGGCAATCCAGGCGGATCAGGATGCAAAACTCTGGGTTGGACACAATGTGACAGCTGCTGTGTTCGAAAGATGGACGGACCATTTCCAAAGTCCCGAGACGTTTATCAACACGCTAAAGGTCGGTATTTAACCAGCTGTCAGATACGATTGACGAAAAGGCGCTTATTGAAACCAGTATTCCTACATGTCGCATTTCTTTGCGAATCCCTTGACCGCGCTTCTGGCGGATTCTGTGCCTGCTAATCCGCCGTCAACCGTCCTTTGCGAGGCTATTAGGAACGTACCTTCATTCCGAAGGTAAGAACTTTGCCTTACTTCAAGTGCCTTTCGTTTGCTGATATCGCGAAGCTATTGTGAAGCTCTTCTCGAAAATAATTCTCATGAAGTGCGCAAACTCCTAGAGGAAGACGCGTACCTTCTTCAAGAGATGCAGCAGCATATCAAAATGGGGCAGACAAAAATGCGCCACATCTCCCAAGCTGTGGTAGTCATACAAATCTTTTCCAAGAAATTGCAGATTTCGAGAAAAAGCAGTGTGTCAGACGTGTCTATCCGTGCTCTTTCGGGAGATTTACAAAATTCCCCTTTGGTTGAAGATCTCCTTGAAGCTATTAAGAAAGCGGACTCCAATCAACTCGATGAACTTCTCTCATCTCTACTAGCGATAATATCTGGGCAACGCCCAGAGTTTCCACGAATAGAGAAGGATCTTAAGGCTCTGCTCGTCACTCACAAAGGTGCGGAGCCACTTCGCAGCGAATACCACATGCGCAATACGGTCATCCAGACAACAGTTGTCAAGAAGCAAATCAAACTCACCAAAAGCAAAGCAAAACTACCTCAAGAAGTTATCCAGTACACTCAGATTGTCGACCGCTTGCATGCAGCCTTTGAATCTTACTTCACTGAAACTCTGATCCAACCTCAGGATTTGGTCATGCATGAGGTCTTCCTGTTTGACTTCAAATATCCATTGAAGGAGGTATTTGCGCCCAGATCGCGGTTCGTCACGGAGCGGGCATTGTCAACACCGTTTGACTATCTGATGTCCACAACATCAGAAGCACCGGGTCGTCAAAGGTCCGCGAAACAACCAGCTACGGCTATTCTATATCAGCTGTACTTGGAGTCCGGGGCGCTGGTAAATGTATACGACCTGTGGAGCGCCTTCTTTGCTGTATTTGAGGCCGACCAGGGCGACGAATACGACGAACGCATGACCATGACGCTCTTTTACAAGGCCTTGTCCGAGCTGAAGGTCCTGGGCCTGGTGAAAACCAGTCGGAAGAAGGTCGATCATATTTCGAAATCTGCTTGGTTAGGTTTATAAGACTTCTTACTTGCCAGGAATTGTACTAGATAAAGTCTGTTTCATTTTCAAGGGGTATCATAAATGTACAATAAGATATCGTTACAAAGGCCGCGTCTTTTGATTTTGTAGACATTCCCATTTGGCTCCTTTCCTGCCTTGGACATACCTTAATTGCTCTGCACTGGTTGTATAATATTGTCGCTTCCCAGCGGGTCTCCTCTGTCTCCAAGCACCATCGCTTCTCTCCGGCGCCGTCTCTGAGCCTGCTCCTCTGCGCTCTCTGAACGGACGCGTCTACCTGCACCTCCCCTAGAGCCAGCAGTATCTTCTCCGTCCACCATCCACACATCACTGTCCATGTCTTCTTCTTCATCTTCATCATCCTGATCATTTTCCTCGATCATGCTGCCCATCAGACCGTATTTGCGTAACTGCTTCGCTCCATCGATATGTGACGAAAGCGTACTCATGATAGAGCTCATGACGGCATCGTCTGACCAGCAGGCCTTCATCAGCAGTACCACATCTTGGCGTCTTGAGGGTTCCGCCAGGGCACATGGAAACGGATATTTGGCAAGCCAGCGGCTGACGATGCCGGCTTCCAGGGCTGCCGAAATGCTTTCTTGGAGTATAATGTTCAATATCTGTAATGCTTTCTTCTCGCCAAGCGGCCTTGTCTTTGGAAGAATCGGTGACTCTGTAGTGCCAGTCGCCTCCACGTGCTCATCGAGGAAATTGCATAGGCAATCGATGAGGGCATTATAGGTCGGCAAATCTTCTAGTCGAGCACATACGGTAGTCCTAGACACTGTGATTTTTGATTAGCTGAGGAATCATTATTCCTAACCCACATGATTCACTGGTGAAGTCACACATGCTCGGTTGGAGACCAAAAAGTGCATTGCCGTCAAAGCTTTGTTTCTTCGCTCCTTGTTCTTGCTGGCAAGGTCTTCTAGAAGTAAATCCCGGGTTGACCCTTTGGTTGATCTTTCAGAAATTATCCGTAAAGCCCTGCTATATATCAGTTCCGAAGCCAACCATCGAAGCAATGATCCTGGACGATGGACGTACGCGGCGCGGAGGTCATGACTGGTACTCTGTGACAACTTCAACAACGTATCGAGTTTGAGAGCTAATTTCAGAGTCAGCTGCAGCCGGGAATCCATCGGACCAAGTCACGGAACCACCTACCATCTTCTGTACCCTCACTAATCATGCGGTCTTCTTTCTCGACCTTTTTGATCTCCGTCAACTCACGGACTCGCCGGAGCTCCGTCACAATCCCGCGCACAGCGTAAAAAAGCGAGACACCTGCAGTCAAAATCTTTGTGAGACAACGGGTACATAATAGCATTGGATATATTTACCTATGCATAGCCATAAGAGCCTATCACTTGATTGAGACGACATCTTAGGCCCTTCACTGCCCCTCAGAATCATCTGGCGCAGTTGGAGTGATGCGGAGAATCCCAAGGTGGGCCCGGCAGTATTTTGTGGCAGAAAAGCGGTGAGAGTACTTTGATGGAGCTTCACCCTAAAAAAAAAATCTCTATCAATTGTAGGGATCAAAGTGCTCTCACCAACACATTCGCCATGCCTCCGTCTCAGCTCAAGCAGCTGAAGGCCTCCCTCCGTGATAGTGGTGTTTTGGGGCCTCAGCAATCAAAGAAACAAAAACGTCAGAACGCTCAATCTGGTGCGAATGTGCAAAATCGAATCAAGAGGAATGCGGCGCTGCAGGCAATCAGAGACCGGTTCAATCCTTTTGAGATCAAGGCACCGGCTTCTCGTGGTAAATTTGATGTGACTACTAGAGACAACAAAGGGGCGACTGCGCCACGGGTGCGCCCCGGTGTCACCAAGTCCCTGGGCGAGGAAAGAGTAAGTTTGGACGACCTGTCTGTATAGGAATGGTTCATTGCTAATCACTATGTTATCCAGAGACGCGCAACTCTCCTTCAAGAGATGAACAAGAAGAATAAAACCGGTGGTATCCTCGATCGTCGTTTTGGTGAAAATGACCCCACCATGACGCCGGAAGAGAGAGCCGCTGAGCGATTCGCCAGAGAAAGCCAGCGGAAGTTGAGGAAAGATTCGATGTTCAACCTGGAGGAAGACGAAGAAGAGTTTCAGTTAACCCACGGAGGCCAATCCCTGACCTTTGATGGTGTGAACTTGGATGATTTTCAGGATCGTGAACTTGAGGAGGACGACGACGAGATGTCAGATGGCGAAATGTCGCGAAAACGAAAGCGCATTTTCAACGAGGACGGCGAGTTGGAAGAGGTCCCTGAGAAGGAAGGGGATGAGCAGCCGGATCGCAAGAAGTCGAAAAACGAGGTCATGAAAGAGCTGATCGCCAAATCGAAATTCTACAAGCATGAACGACAGCAGGCCAAAGAGGATGATGATGACCTGCGCGAGGAACTTGATAAAGAACTACCTGATCTTTTCGCGATGCTGAGGGGCGTACCGGCGCCTGCCAAACCCGCTAACGATAAGAAGGACCTCGAGTCAATGAATCCCGAGCGTGCGGCTTTGATTGAAGGGAACTCGAAGGAACATGCAGACAAGGAATACGACCAACAACTGAAACAGCTTACGTTTGACAAGCGATCAAAGCCAACGGATCGGACCAAGACCGAGGAGGAGAAGGCGGAAGAGGAGGCGCAGCGCTTGAAAACTCTCGAAGAGGAGCGTTTGAGAAGAATGCGTGGAGAAGAGCTAGATGATAGTGATGAGGAACAAGAAGACAAGGAGGAGGAGGAAGAGGAAGAAGATGATGATGACGATGGCTCGGATGATGAGTCGATTCCGGATGATGCTCTTGCCTTTGGTCTGCGCCAAACGACAACCCGTCCCGAACTTGGTGTGGAGGATGAAGATGATTTTATCATTGATGATGATCTTGTGGAAACGAGATCGGATGTCAGTCTCTCATTCATTGAGAGCGATGAAGACATGTCTGGAGAGGAACCTGGGGAGTCTTCAGAAGAAGAGGAGGAGGAGGACGAATTGATCAATGGATTTACCACACCAGCCCAAGGTGACGAAGACGCAAATCCTAGTGGGATTGCTTTCACCTTCCCTTGCCCCGAGGATCACGAATCGTTCCTCCAGATACTGGAAAAGGTTGCTGTAGAGGACCTACCAACAGTCATCCAAAGAATTCGTGCGCTGCACCACCCCCGCCTTCACAGCGACAACAAGGCAAAACTGGGTCGTTTCTCGGCAATCCTCGTCCAGCATGTTGCCTACCTCGCGAATCAACCAGAGCACCCCCCGTTTGCCATCCTCGAGAATATCCTGCGGCACATCCATTCGATGTCCAAGGTCTACCCGGATAAAGTTGCGATGGCGTTCAGGGACCATCTTCGTGAGATGTCTATATCTCGGCCTTTGAACCCTCTGCCGGGTGACCTGATCATCTTGACCGGCGTTTCGACCATCTTTCCGACTTCGGATCATTTCCATGCCGTCGCCACTCCGGCCCATCTCTCTATCGCTCGGTACTTGGAACAAGGCTCCGTTGACACCCTTGCAGATATCTCCATTGGCGCGTATGCTGCAAGTTTGTGCCTTCAGTACCAGATGATTTCGAAGCGCTATATCCCTGAATTCATGAATTACGTGCTGAACGCGCTGTGCAATCTGTCACCCGAGGAGCCATCAAAGAGCCTTGGGTTTTTCCCGTTGAGGAAGCCTCAGGAATCTCTGCGACTGACATCCAAGTCCGCCAAACATCGAAAGATGCAATTCTGGGATATTCTAGGGTCCGAGTCCAAGGAAGAGTTGAAAGTCGCTCTCATCGCGACCTTTGTGAGCCTGCTCAACTCTGCGGCCGAACTCTGGGCTGCAAAGTCCGCGTTTGCAGAGATCTTTACCCCAGCTCTCAGGCTGCTCAAGCATCTCAAGAAATCGAGTAAGGGTAAGCAGCTCCCCTCTGATGTGCAGGATAGCCTGCAGGTCACGCTCGACAAGCTGGAGCAGCTGCTTTCGCAAGCCCGCTCGAATCGCAGGCCCTTGCTTTTGCACAACCACCGGCCGCTAGCGATCAAGACGTCGATCCCCAAGTTCGAGGAAAACTTCAACCCGGACAAGCACTACGATCCGGACCGCGAGCGTGCCGAGTCGAACCGGCTCCGAGCCGAGTACAAGCGCGAGCACAAGGGGGCGATGCGGGAGCTGCGCAAGGACGCCAACTTCATTGCGCGCGAGAAGCTGCGGGAGAAGAAGGAGCGCGATGCCGAGTACGAGAAGAAGTACAAGCGGCTTGTGGCGGAGATCCAGAACGAGGAGGGCCGCGAGGCGAATGCCTACGAGCGGGAGAGAAAGATGCGCAAAGGGAAGCGGTAGTTTTTTTTTTTTTTTTTTTTTTTTTTTCTTTCTCTTCTATTACGGAGTACTCTCTGCATATACACTGTATTGTATATTCTTGCCTATTATTGGCACGCATACCCTCTGCATACTGGCGTCATAAAAAGTCTTGAATTCAGCAGTATCATGCACAACATTCGTTGTATGTAGATATCAAAAAAAATACCAAGTAGCTAGTGTGGTACTGTGCATTATTAACTACTGCCTTAACTGCACCCCAATGCCCGACAAGTAGGCACACCTCTCCCGCTGGGTTGGGGGCACGCTCTCCATTGCCGTAGCATTAGTCTGGAAGTAGATACGACGGTAAGCATCATCGTGGGACCCCCAATCCAACCATTCGGGGGTGCCCTCTGCACGGAGCGGATTTGGATCCAACGAACGAATAAAGCTAGTCCAGTAGCCCTGCATGACGGGGACAATAGCAGCGTTGGAGGTAAAGTAGGAGTCTGGCGGGGCGGCGCTGACATACTGCGGCCCCCAGATGGCGTTGACCTCGACGGTGTGCGGGGTGCCGTACCCTTCCTCGCCCTGGGTCGGGTCCACGACGGCGTAATGGTAGTTCCAGCTCGGGAGGCCTGCGGCGGCGTAGGTGGCCGACAGGAAGATGCCAGGGCAGAGGTAGCGGATGTCGCCGTAGGCGTTGCTGGTGGGGCGCCAGTAGATGCCTGCGTCGGGGAAGGCCTCGGTCTCGTTCGGCTGCAGGTACCAGGCGTTGATCTGGCGGAGCTGGTCGAGGGTGATGCTAGGGAACTGGGTTTGGATGAAGGTGTTGGCTTGTCCCACGCTGCTGGTGTTGGTGGGGACAAAGATGGTGCCTTCGTTGGTGTCGTCGCCGAAGATGACCGGTACATGGACGAACCGCCCCTGCTCGAAGAGTCGGTACGTCACGTCTGGGATCAGGTCACCGTCTACTACGGGGCCGTACATGTACAAGGGCGCGGCCTGCGCGTTGGGAAATGCGGTGTTGATGTTCTGTTGCTGCAGTGTTGAGACATTCAGCCCGCGCAGGCAGGCGAGCGTATCCTCCTCGCCAGCGCAGCCGGTCCGGATCACCAGATTATCGTACTCAAACTGACTTTGGTTGACGGTCAGCATCGTGGCGAAGCTCTGCGACTCGGCCGCCGCCGCGTGGAATAGTCCGTCGTTGCGGCCGCCGTACGCGGACAGCAGGAGGGTGACTGCCCCGGCGCCGGCGCTGTCGCCTCCTAGCACAACGTGGTTGGGATTACCGCCAAACTGGAGAGCGTTAGTTTTTAAGGTTCTGTTGTCTTGATACGAGGGTACAATACCTTTCGAATGTGATGTTGAACCCATTCGAGGGCTTTGAGCATATCCTTGATCCCATTGTTCACGCTAGCTCCCTCCGCTACCTGTGAACCACCAAGGAAACCATACGGGCCTAATCTGTAGTTAAATGTGACGATCACGATGCTCATGTCCGCTGCTTCGATCAGACCGGAGCCATTGTAATTGGTGTTCGAGTCCGAGCTGAAGCCACCCCCGTGGATCCAGAAAAACACGGGCAGATCCGACGTATTCGAGGCGTTACTAGGCGCATAGACGTCGAGGAAGAGACAGTCTTCAGATGTCCCTGACGGGACAGGATACTTCGAGGTAGGAATGCAGAGAGGTCCATGCTAGATAGCATTAGATCAAGCATTCAGATAAGAGGTACAACTACCTACCTGGGTAGCATTTTGGACTCCAACCGTCACCTCGGGGTCTTGAGGGGCAGCAAACCGCAGCGACTCTACCGGAGGAGCCGCGAAGCGCATTCCCAGCCATTGCGTAATGCCGTTTGCTAGGGCGCGGCCGTCGTACACAGAGTAATCGAGATTGACGAGGGTGTCCACGGCAGTGACAGAGGATATCAAAGTCAAGAACACCAACCAAGGGCACAGCATTATGTATATATAGCCTGATCTTGGCTTTGACCAAACGTAGGACACTAGGACAGTCAGACTAGTCAAGAGGCTCGTTCGATGGGCTGCTTTAAATACCCAGGTATGGATCCACGCGCCGGAGCTGAGGCATGCAGGTATTATGAGCCTACTCTCTGCAGTCCATGACTCGATCACTCCATGCCTCCATCCTCCATTCTGTCCTTATGGAAGGGATTTTCATGATCCAAGAGGGTGGGTATGTCTGAAGCCATAGAGAAGCCTCCGGAAACCTGAAACCCCCAGATTTCCCTCGGATTTCTCGATCATCCTGTAGATCCTAAGAGCACCCTGCGGATGATCTGCTAGATCAAACCCTGGGCCAGGTCAAGGCTGGCGATAGATCTTGGAAGCAGCAGCGAGGGGTGATCCAGCATTCCTCATTTCCGTTGGGATCGACAAGGCGGGTTTGAAAGCGATAAACCCCCAGCAATCGCGCTAGATAGGAACGAGTACTTGATGTCGAAGGACTCGAATAAGTTGTTATTTAAGCCAGAGCTCTAGTTAAGACGTCTTTAGCAGCTGCACCGGTGAAAGTCGTACAACAACAGCAACAACTCACCGGTTTCCGTTGTACCACGTACTTTGGTGTAGGAGGGGTACTCTGTAACTCTTCTAGCTCTTCCTTGCATATAGCACGGATTGAAAGAATCGATCAGCGAGAGCAGGAAGTCAGTTTAACGGAGTGAGAATCAGATGCGGAGATCCACCGCCTGTGACGATTTCCCGAGCTCCACCGAAGTTATCCCCGCACCAAATACCACGCCGACTCTTGCACAGCGTTGAATGCCCACTGTCCAGTCTACATCCAGTTTGTACCGCTTTAAGATGGACGCAGAAGACGACTATATGTCGATGGTGATTGAGGAGCCGACGCAGAGGGAGACTTTTGCGCAGAAGAAGCTCCGTAAACAGCGGGAGGTAAGCTTGCTTATCTTTTTATGATTTCTTTTCAATCGATCTAACAAGACAGGCAGAAGCCCGGGCTCGGGTCCCCTCGAAAGCCGAACGCGTCGCCCAAGAGAATGCCCGGCGAGACGCCGCACTGGCGACGAGCACGCTCGATCCGCGCAACAAGGGGTTTCAGATGATGGCGAAGCTTGGGTTCAAAGCAGGCGATACGTTAGGGAAAAGGAAAGAAACAGAAGGCTCGACTACAGACTCGACCACGAATACAAATACAAATACAAATACAAATACAAATACAACAACAAATACACATACACATCGCAGCGAACCGTTGAATCTTGTGTTCAAGGAAGACCGCGGCGGGATCGGACTAGACAGCGAACGGAAGCGCAAGTTCCGTGAAGAAGCAGCAGGCGTGGAGAAGAAAGCCCGCGCCGAGGAAGGCGATTACCGCGAACGCGTGCGGGCTGAGCGGGAGACGCGCCGATGCGAGGCGCAAGTCATTGCCGCACAGAAGGTTGCAGAAAGACTAGACGGGATGAAAGAAGGGAAGGATGATGGTGGCGTGGAGGAGGAGGGCGATGATAGCAAGCCTACCTCGTCTGTTAACGTGTTATATCGAGGTCTTGTGCGGGCACGACAAGAACATGAACGAGAGGTCCTTGCCCGCCACGCGCTGCACACCTCGTTGCCGTCCTCGTTCTTCCCGACCCCACGCTTACCTTCTTCTTCTTCCTTGCATGAGGATCCGGAGGTTGACCGGGACGACCGGTACGCACTGGAAGACGAAGACGAGGCAGTGGCTCGGTTCGAGCAGGAGGATGCCGAGGCGGAAGAAGACGCCGAGCTGGAGGCCTTTGACGCGCTGGAGCCGAGCGAGCGGCTGCATAAGCTGGTGGTCTACCTACGGGACTCGCATTGGTACTGTTTCTGGTGTAAATGCGCGTACGACTCGGCGGAGATGGAGGGGTGTCCTGGGTTTACCGAAGAGGATCATGACTGAGACAACTCACTGTATTAACTGTAGTAACTGTACTGTACTATATACTGTGTATATAACTATCATCTATCTACCTGGTATCCCGAACATATAAACATAAACATAAAAGGAGAAGAAGGGAGTCAAGAAGCAACAAAAGCAGCCAACGAGCGATTCTCACACTTGAGCAGGCCGTCGTAACAAGTCGCACAGACGCGCAGACAACAGAACACACAGCGATGACGGACCTCGCGGTCCTGTTTCAAACAGGTCATGCACGGAACGGCATACCAGACGTTGTTCGAGGGGTGCATTGTGCGGTGCGCGGTAAAGCATTCGAAATGGACTTTACCCAGCGGGGCGGCGATGGGTTCCGGCTGCGGTGGCAGCCAGGCGTCGCCGCCATTGCTGTCGTTCTCGCTCTGTTCGGGCGTGAGCGTGCTGGGTTCGGCGGGGGTTTGGGTGCCTGTGCTGTCGCTCTCTGGATCTGGGATGAAGTCTTCCAACGGGGGTTCTTCGGGGGGTGTAGCGGGCTGCTGCTGTCTGGGGAGAGATCGAGTAGGTCCTGTATAAGAGGCCTGTGTAGGAGGTCCCGCATAAGAAGCCTGTGTAGAATGTCCTGTATAAGAAGCCTGTGTAGGAGCAAAAGGTCTATTCCTATACTCGGGCGGAGAAGGCAATGGCGAAGGCGGCAGTCGCTTCTCTGCCTGGGACGGTCTGCTGGAGATGCGCGGGGGAGGACCAGTCGGCATTATTGACGGGTCTTTGCGTGGGATCGACTGGACAGGGAGAGGGGTTGGAGGCATCTGTTGAGCAGGAGCAGCTTGAACAGGAACAGCAGCTTGACTTGAAGCTGGCTGAACAGGTTGAACAGGCTGAGGAACAGGAACAGAAGCAGTGGCTGCCGGCTTGGTTTTCCTGCCCAGCGAGGGAACGCGCAGTCCTCGCGGCCTCTTGTCTGAATCGAAAAATGCCATGGGATATGTATATGTAGTAGTATGAAGTAAGTATTCAGAGGAAAAGATGAACTCTTGCAGGGTCTTCTCTATCCACCGCAATCTCCGGCGCCAGCAAGCGTCTCGGCTCGCCCGTCTGATTTGTCTGCACGAACCATTCTTCGAGGGGCGGGGGGGGGTTTCTTGGGTTTTTTCTTGTTTTTTGCTTGGGTCAGATTTGTCTGTTCCTGGTCCTGTCGTAATCTCAGCGACCACTTTTGATTCGAGAGGTCGAATCGTAGCTTCGCGCTGTTCATCGTGTCCGGCCCACAGTGGAGTGATTGCTTATACGAATGAACAGAAGATAGTAGATACTAAATAATGTATCGATCGATAGTTCAGCACTAAAATAGTAGATGTGATAGTGATGGATACCACATGTGCCCCTGAGTGTTCGCTACTAGCACTCTTACTCTGTTAGATTAAATCGAGTCGTCGATCGTATCGTGACGTGGCCGTGCATACGATCATAGTAGTACGAGTACATGACTTGATTATTCTTTCAAGTCTATAGTGAGAGTATCAAAATAGTTATAGGTATCAAAATAAGACAAATCAGTACACTGGATAGTATGTAGTCTATTCAGAAAGTACACGGAATAGGAATACTAAGAGATTGAATGAAACACTCTCCCAGCCCCTGTTTCTCTTAATTTCCCCAAGGCTGATAATTGTGGACTCTCTCATTAGTACGAGAACTACTACTGACGGAGTACAAAGATAAGTATACATTGACAATCCTATTGTCATCTACATCACTCAAACTCGCTTCTAACCAGAAAACCACTGCGCCATCTCAGCCGTACGCATCCATCATCCGATCGCCATTGCGTTCGTGGCAGGGAACGACATCACAATTGTAAATAGAAGAAAGAATAAAACAGACAGAGAGAGAGAGAGAGAGAGAGAGAGAGAGAGAGGAGAAAAATCATGAGGTCGCTTCGACATTTGAATTTGGACTGATCTCCACCGATCGCGTCTCGAGCTCTTTGGGCATCATCGGCGTCTCGTCCGACACAGCCACCGATTCCAAAAGTGGTGGTGGCGCAGAAACAACAGACTCGGCTACATCCTCTTGAGAGGCAGAACTCTCGGCACGAGGACTAGTAGGAGTAGTAGTAGTAGTAGTAGTAGTAGTAGTAGTAGTGATAGTAGTAGCGGTGGTGGTCGGTGGCGCCGTGTGCTCGACATGCTCGGCGGACCCATCGTTCTTATCGTCGTCGTTGTCGATCACCGCCGCCAGACTACCAAAGTTGAACATGGGTTCCAGCGATGACGGGTTGCTGCCATCCCCCGCAGCGTGATGGTCGTCTGCGGTGGATTCCACCAGCGAGGAAATGGATGACGAGGCGCTCGAGACGTGCCGCAGGTGTGATCGTCGGACCGGTTCCGCCAGCAGGGGCGGCGGCACGGCGGCGGCGGCGACCGAGGTGGTGGCCGTCGTCGCGTTCGGATCGGCAGCGATAGTGGCGGCATTGGCGCTGCCGACACCTGCCACGGGATTGGGTGATGGATAAGAGGAGCCCGCAGCACTCGAGCTGCCAGCGCTCAGGTCTGTGCCGTTAGGAGCGGCGGCTACGGTGGTGGGAATCGGGGAGACCCGGTCCACCCCTTTACCCTTGCTCGTCGACGAGGTAGAGGCGGCGGACGGGTCTTCGCCGACGACGAGCGACGAGGTGCTGCTGGGGAACCGGCTCAACCGGGGGTCGAGCGAAGAGGTATCGAGGCCGGAAAGGCTTGGGTTGCTACTGTAGAGACCGTTCTTGCGGGCGGCCTTGTCCGCCTTCTTGGCCTCCTTTTCGCGCCGCTTGGCCTCCTTTCTCATCTCTTTATCCTCACGTTTACGGCGCTCCTCTTCGGCCGCGAGACTCAGCCGGATCGCCTCCATCATCATCATCTCCTCCAGGTCATCTAGGCGACTGCGCCGCGAGCTACCACGAGGCGGGGCGATATTGGCATCGGTCCCATCCCCGCCGCCGCCGCCGGCGGAGGGGGAGGAGGCATCGGCGTCCTGCATGGCCTGGCGTCGTTCGGTGAGAAAGGCGAGCGCGTTCAGGGCAGGGGAGCTCGTGCGACCCGGGGCGCTGCTCTGTGTATCGAATCCGCCGCCTGTTCGCCGCATCACCCCGCGTCGCCCAAAGCCAAAGTTCCGTGGCTCGCTGCCAGCAGCGTTCGTGTTCATCAGGTAGGCTGCCGTGTGGAGTGCGGTAGCGGCGGCGGACCGTCGTGCCGCGTGTGCGCGCGCGTTGGCCAGTTTCTGCGCCCAGTCGGGCCGGATCTTATCGGTGGTCACGACGGACGGATCGGTGGCGGAAAGGGAGGTGGCGCGCCGACGACCCGTAGGCACCGGAGCGTTGATGCCCGACCCCAGCGAGGAGGTAGAGGAGACAGGGGAGGTGATACTCAACGCCACACGAGCATTCGGGTCCGGAGCAAACGACAGGCCCCGACGGAAGGCGGGGGCGGCGTAGGTCACACCGAATTCCGGCTGGACACAAAAGGGGCATGCGGACGGCTCCGAGACGAGCTGGCAATCCGAATGGGATGCGGAATCGTGATCTGCTGCTGCAGGCATCGTGCTTAGTGGATCATCACCACCACCGTTCGTGGCATTGTGGTCGGATTCGCCGTGCTCCGGGGGGTGAGGGTCCGGACGTTTGATCTGCACAAAGCACTCGGAACAGATCGGCTGGTCGCAGCATCGAGTTCGGTTTAGGTAGGGCGGGTAGTAGAGAAAACAGATGGGACACTCGGTGGCGTCCTTGTAAAGATAGGCTTCGATGGGCTGTCCGTTGACAAACGGATCCTTTGGCAGCTGGAGCTCCCGCGGGCCCAGATCGACCTGGGAGTTGTGTTTGGAAGGGGAAGTGAACGAGGCCAGGGTTTTCGCCCGGCTGCGGAAGAGCGGAGAACTCGACGTGCCCGAGGCGACGACTGAGGCCGGGGTCGCCGGAGCAGAGGCACCCGATCCATCCGAGTTGTAGGACTGCGAGCGAGAGGTGATGGGGACGGTCAAGTGTTGGATGGCGTCGAAGGCGGAAGACTCCTTCACGTTGTCGGGCGACTTCTTGGGCGGGTTTTTATAGTCCAGCTCGGGAGGGATCTCGTCGGGGGCGGGAATCGGGAGCCCCCTAGCGGCCGCCATGAGTTGATGCTCTGTCCACGACTCGGAGAAGTCATTGAGACCTCTCCAGAAGGGAGCCAATCGTCGTTCAATCTGTTCAGAGAGAAGTGTTAATAAGAGGGAAGATCATCTTTGAGAAGAAATCCCCCGCGTACCATGAGTTGTCGCACGACGACTTTGTTGAAATCCTCGGTGCCCACGTAGACACCCTGAGTGACTAGATAGCCTCCATCGACATGTTCCTCCTTCATGCTGCGTTCCCGTTCCTTGAGTCGGGCGGTCCTCTCCTTCTCCAAGCGACGGGCCTCGCGCTCCTGCTTCGTCTCCCGCCGATGTTCCAGCGTTGCCGTTGCATCCCGCTCCGAGTGCCCAGTGCCAATGCCGAGGAAAGAAAGGTCCGGTCGGCTCCCTCGAGCAGACCGTGAGCCCTCGGTGTAGGGCGACCGCCCCGTGCCTGAGGGGGACCATTGGTGGCTTCGTCGGTGCGACGGGTCCAGCGAGGTCCGCGCCTCTCTGGTCTGCGTGTTACCCATGACGCTGTGTCGTCCACCACGACCGAGCCTCCAGCTCCAGCTCAAGCCTCAAGTCTCTCACTTCACACACCCAGTCACAACCCAACCGTCCAGTCCGGAACAGACGGATCACAAGTAGATCGTGGCGATCTCTCCACGCTATCTGCCGACCACGCGATAATGAATAATCAACAAAGAATACCTAGTCTGTGGAAACAACCAGCAAAGCGTAAATACAGTCGGTTCACCAGCGTTTTTAGTTGGCAGAGCGGGGGTGAGAACAGTCGGTTGGCAGAAAGGGTGATAGGGGGGAAAGAGTGGGCTCCTGAGCGCAGCGATGAGATCAGATGCCGGTGGGCCGCGGATTAGGCAGAATGACCGGAACCGGCCAGCTGAGGATCAGCGTAGGTAGTAAGGATGTAGTTGGGAATGGGAGAAACGGAAGGAGGAGTCCAGATAAATTGAAGGGAAAGTGGACAGTGTGAACAGTGTGGAGAAGGCAGAGGAGAGGACACGGTGCGAGGCGAGGCGAGGTGAGGTGAGGTGAGGGAGTCCCTGCCTGGGACTGGGAGGCTACAACGAACTGGGCCGGGCTGTGGCGGATTGGCTTCATGGCTGTTCCGGGATTACATCAGCCTGAGTGAGGGGCAAGACTTTACTAGTATTATAGTATTATAGTATAATAATAATTATAATGATTGTTATAATAATTATTATTCCTTAATTTGATATTATTACTATATTTCATATCTACTATTCTATGCTTCCTAGTACTGTGTCTTCTCCGCCTTCTCCGGACCGAGCTACCCAACGGAGATGGAAGAGGCGTCTCGGCCAATTGCCCAGTCAGCTACCTGGCGGATGGATTGGCACATCCTCCAAGAAAACGCTTCATTCCCTCGTGTTCCTAGTGTATACTCTGTGTTATGATGAAAGATCCAGCAGATTTGGTCTCATACCACCATGCATAAGCAAGAAGAACGTCGGAAATCGAGATGATCCAACGGGGTAGTCTTGACCGAGAAGTGGAACGTGGCTAGTGGTGGCTGGGAATAGGCTGCGCCACAGCGGTACTTTTTCCTGGGAAAAAAAGAAATTCTAGTGGAGACTGACTGACTTTAAATTGTTTGGGAAAATAGACAGTTGACTGAGGCTGGACGATTGATCGCTGTCAACCTTGGTCTTCCTTTGCCTGCTGGAGATAGATACCTGCGATGCTGCCATGACCGAAACTGTCCGCCTTCATATCACCCCGTTTACTCCGGATCTGCTGGGCGCCGTGCTGCCTGTGTCTGTTCGAGCTACGGCACAGGACATTTCCTTCCACACCATCCCGACCTTCCCCGAGAACAACTACGGCTACGTGACTCTGCCCGCGATGGAGGCCGAAAAGATCAAGAAGAAGCTGAACGGCTCGATCCTCAAGGGCAAAAAATTCAAAGTCGACAAGGCGCATCCGCCCAAGAGACTTAGAGGCGAAGCCGAAGACGAGGAGCCATCCTCGGAGCAGGCCCCGAGCACGAAAAAACCGAGTAAAAAGCGCAGGGTTGAGGAGGAAACAGAAACCGGGGTTCTGGAAGGCTTCGAGCTGCCGACAGACCGCAAGGTGAAGCGTGGCTGGACAGAGTCCAACAACGACAAGAAGGATAGACGTCGAGCAGATAAGAAGAAGGAAAAGAAAGAAAAGGGCGTCAAAGAGAAGAAAATGCAGGCCAGGTCGAAATACACGGATAAGCCCGAGTTGCTGTTCCGGACCAACCTTCCTCCCAACCGGGTGTCCGACGCCAATGATGAATCCAAAAACTCCACGGGCAAGGACAAGGATAAGAAAAAGAAGGGCTCTGCGCGCGAGACCACCGTCCACGAGTTTGCCAAAACCGTCACCCATCCGAGTTTCTTGCGCTCGGGCGAGGAACAGCAGCCCCCCACGAGTGAATTTGTCGACGGCAAGGGCTGGGTGGACGGCTCGGGGAATGTCAAAGAGCCGGCCAGTGATCGGATCCGCAGCAAGGAATTCCGGCCCGGCCAGGTCCCAGGGGCCAAGGAAAAGCGCAAAGCAAAGAAAATAGAGGTGGCCGTCGAGCCCTCTTCTGAGTCGGACGACTGGACCTCGTCAAGTGGCAGTTCTTCCGACGAGTCGGAGTCGGAGTCGGCGTCTGAGTCTGAGTCGGATAATGACAATAGTGACTCGTCTAGCAAGTCGAGTGAATCGGCCGTCTCTTCGGATAAAGACACACATCCCCCGGTAAAGGCCAGCAAGGCGAGTGCGTCGAACGAGTCCGATCTACCAACCGAGACTGCAAATGTCGATGCCAAAGTCACCGGCGAAAAACAGCCATCACAAGAAGTCCATCCTCTGGAGGCTCTGTTCAAACGCCCAGCCGCTGAAGAGAAAAGCAAGGCTGCTGAGCCGACGAGCAATCAGTTCAGCTTCTTCGGAGCGTCCGAAGACATCGAGTCGGAAGAAGAGACTCAGGAATCTGCCGAGCCGCAAACGCCATTCACTAAGAAGGATCTTCAATTTCGTGGCCTACGAAGTGCTGCGCCAACCCCGGATACTGGCTTGGTAAATCGCAAGATGAAACTGGATGAAGACGAAGACGAAGACGATGATGATGATGATGAGGAGGACGAAGAAGATGATGATGATGATGATGCTGAAATTGCTACGCCGTCTTCAAAGTTCAAACCCCTCCCGGTGAAACAAATACCAGAGACCGAGTTCACCAAGTGGTTCTGGGAGCACCGGGGCGAGAACAATCGCGCGTGGAAGAAGCGGCGTCGTGATGCGGCGAAGGAGCAGCGCCAGCGGGAGAATCGTAAGAAAAACATGAAAGGGAGGTCATAGATATATAATATCACTTCTATGAGTTTTGTAGATATGTGTATCCATCATTGTACTAATAATCAATCATAATATTCAAATAATTTAAAAAAATTAATATTTGATAATAATATACCAGGTAATCACATGACGCCAAGATCCGGGGCGGTACTACGTAAGCTACACCAGCATCGCAGAAAAGACGACAACCATCATCTTCACGCGAGGTTGCAACCATGAGACGAGTAGGGGTGGCTCCCCATTTAATACTGTGCCTTGTGCTTTTGCTAGCATCATTTGCATTAGCTTCTAGTGAGTGCTTCCTCCGGATACAGAAGAACACCCTAGTTCTCCAGACGAGCCCTTTCGCAGCATTTCAGCAAGACTAACGGTGTAGCCCCTACATCATTCTGCAAATGCACGTGTTTCACAAACAGCACGATCATCCCTCTTGACGAGGGAGCCGACGATGTGTCCTCTTCTTTTTCGGGATTCCGGAATCTGATCCGTTTTTACGATGAAGTCGACGCGAACGCGAAGGAGAAGCGAGCAAAGAAATACCACGCCCTGAACTGCAACGACTGTAATCGCAAGTTCTGTCTGGATTATGATCTGCCGATGTGTCAGACCGCGAAGGAGGAGGATGTTTTTACGACGTGTTTTCGTGAGTTCGCCCAAACACACACCCATATATGTATATGTATGTCTATGAATGCTCATTTTCAGAACGGGATTCTCGAAAAGACGAAGCGGTCGTTTTCATCTTCATCTTCGCGACGAGCGGGCTTCTCACCTGGGCGGCTCTTAAGCCATGGGTGGAGAGATACATGGAGGTCAGTTCTTCTTTTATTTGCAGAATGCAGAGAAATACTCGGTAGGCTTATATTTGAACTAACGAGTTTCAGGCGGCTCGAGAACGCAGATCATATATTCCTGTTTCAGCGGGAGACGCACATCAATAGACGAGTGTTTTTCCTCGTCGATCCAGATTATGTATATAGAGTATTACCCGGAATCGACGACCTACGTTGGCATAGAGTAGCTACTAAGTCGCAGACAAAAACAAGTTTTCTATGTACCACCACAACCATTTATGATTTAAATGTGAGTTGATCATGGAGAATAATCATAATTATTCCATCCTGATCTTACCACAGTATATCCTGTGGCAGACTTCAAGGGCGAGGTTGATTTATAAATGGACTAATGTCTAGGCGCTAACCAGATTGTTACTAGTTCAGTGATTGACCGTACTTTAGTCACTTTCGGGACTTTGGGACATCAAGATCTGCTCTACTGCATCCATCCACTACATATTATGCTATGCGATACGTATTCAATTGATCTGCAACCAGAAGTGTACTAGAAAGATAAGAATACTTATTTTTTTTTTCTTTTCTAGAAATCAATTGGTGTGACATTCGGAGAATAACCAGATGATCCTGTATCTCTGGTATGAAGGGGCTGCCCGCCACCCGGAAAACCGCCTCGAAGCGTTTCCGGATTTTCCATGGATGGATTCGTATGAGCATAGATCGGTCTGATAGTATAAGAACGTTTCGCAGTTGGAATTATCTGGTTCTATCCAAATCTATTTCTCTAATTTCGCTTTCTAATTTCCCTCCCTTTTTATCTCATTCAGGTACCGACACTTGTACAATTTTGTACGATTAATTGGCCACTCGATGACCTTCTCCACCCTCCCGTCCGGTTCCTTATCAGCTCAGACGCACCAGGACTTGCAGTTCCAGTTCGGGTTTCGCCTCCGGGCGTCTTTCTTGGACAGCAGCCGTCCCTCCCTCTCTTCCCTTCTTCCCCCCCCTCCTCTCTTTGTCTCTTCTCTCAACTCAAGGCAACGTTTGCCAGGCAGGAAAAAGAAAGAAAACAGCAAAAAAAAAGAAATAAGAGCAAAAGAAAAAAAAAAAAGAAAGAATAAAAGAAAAGAAAAGATAGAGAGATTCCACTAACTGCAGTTTGTTGGAGGACTTCCGTAAGATTCTTGGTTGTTGAAGAAGAAAATGGTATTAACCCATCAGGCAAGACGCACCGGTTCCTACGACAAGTTTCCCACCTCGCAGCTATTTCTCTTGGGTATGTCATGCCTCTGTCTTGTGTGGATTACTGGATGCTGCTGTTGATGCTAATATATATCTAGCAATATGTCGTGTGGCCGAGCCCATTGCCTTGACCTCCATCTTTCCCTACTCGTGGGTGATGGTCAAGGACCTCCATATGGCTGAGGGAGAAGATGCCTCGTTCTACGCCGGGATTCTCATCGCTGCCTTCTCGCTCGCCGAGGCTCTCACTGGGATGTTCTGGGGTGGTCTATCCGACAAGGTCGGCCGCAAGCCTGTCCTCATCTCCGGCTGTCTGGGCACCATGCTCTCCCTGCTGCTTGTCGGTCTGGCACCGAATTTCTGGATCGCTCTGATCGGTCGTGCCCTGGGCGGTGCCTTGAATGGGAACATCGGTGTCATCCAGACCATGGTCGGAGAGCTGGTCAAGAACCCGGACCATGAACGTGAGTATCGTCCTGAACTTGAGATAAAACAAAAATATGATGTACTGACGGATGTAGCTCGGGCTTACGCGGTGATGCCCTTCGTTTGGTCCATTGGAACCATCATTGGACCAGGTAAGAGCTAGTTCGGCTATTCTGTCTTGCGCCCGAATGTAGTGCTAATCTCATCAAGCTATCGGTGGCTTGCTCGCCAAACCAACCGAAACCTTCCCCTCGGTCTTCGCCCCGAGTGGGATCTTTGGCAAGTTTCCCTATCTGCTTCCAAACCTCGTCTGTTCCGGTCTTCTCGTCTTCAGCATTATCGGCAGCTGGTTCTTTCTGGAGGAAACCCATCCAGACATGCAGCCATCCTATTACGGTGAGGACGAAGGTAGAGACGCTGCTCACCCGTCGCAGCAGCCATTGCTGCCCACCGGCGAAAGTACCATCGCCGCCAGCATGGTCGACACCCGGGGCGAGTCTTACGGAACGTTCGCCCATCCTCAGCTGTCACAGAAGTCGCCACCAACCCCTTCCTCCATCTTTACTTGGCGGGTGGTCATGCTCATCACCGCTCTCGGGATCTTCACCTATCACTCCATGACCTACGATCATCTGCTGCCCATCTTCCTCCAGGACGCCAACAGTAGACACAACGGTTCGCTCTGGGACATGGCGGGTGGTATGGGCCTCTCGACTCAAACAGTCGGCTTGATCATGTCCACCGACGGCATCATCGCCCTGGTCATCCAGACCGTGATCTTCCCCGCCTTGGCTCAAGCACTGGGCGTGTGGAAGCTGTTCGTCGTCGTGACTGTCCTCCATCCGCTGACCTACTTCATCGTCCCCTTTCTAATATTCCTCCCGTCATCGCTCACGCTTTACGGCATCTACGCTTGCCTGGTCATCCGCAACATCCTTTCCATCATCGACTACCCGGTCCTGCTGATCCTCATCAAACAGGCTAGTCCCTCCGACTCGGTCATGGGCAAGGTCAACGGTCTTGCAGCCTCCGTCGGGGCGGCCTCGCGCACCGCCGCCCCCCCTGTCGCGGGCTACCTCTACAGCACCGGCTCCAAGCTTCACTGCACCGCAATCGCCTGGTGGGGGAGCACCATCGTTGCCCTGATCGGTGCACTGCAGTTGTGGTTCATCGACCGCAAGAAAGACGCCTCAACAGTCTCGGCTCTCCAGTCCACCGATTGGGCGCTGGCGGAGGCCATGGCTCAGAAGGAGGAGATGCTTTGCCTACTGGACTCGGAGGCTTCCGCCAACACGGAATACCAGTCTTAAGGGATAACTGCTATGTGCAGTTCTCACGTCTTTTTGATGATATGATGAATCTCGGGGTTTTGTTTTTTTTTTTTTTTCGCGAGGTCGACGTATATGATTTAGCGATCAGCTTGGTTTGATTTTCCGTTCTATGCTATAGATTTCTCTTGATTTCTCTTCTATACCCACAGCGCATTGTGGTGTCTGCATTGTTCATTCAGCCAGCAGTTTTTCTATAGAATCATACAATAGATTGTTTATAAGATAATCAATGCAACTGTCTGGTCAACAAATGGACCTATACATAGACTCTATATGTATTATTTCAAATTATATTGAGCTGATCCTCGGTGAAAGTAGAATAGAACTGCCGCTTCTGACCGCCCGTCCCTCAGCAACCGAGTCCCAAAAAGGCTTAGTATTGTTTATCGTCGGATGCAATAATAATATAACTGGAACCTCACTTGACGGAGAACCTCTTCAATCATATCCTCCACTTTGACATTGATGTGCTGTGAGTCGGATTGAACCCCATCAAAGATGTCATATCTTTCGCCCCTCTCGGCCTCACGACAGAACAGGCGCGATTTCTCGTCGCCTTGTTTCACTGGACGGAAGAGCGTCCAGGGCGCGGAGGAGAGCGAGAACCAGAACCAGACGGAGAATATCTTTACGAGTCCTTCGAAGCAGTTCATGAACCATGCAGAAAACGATCATCAACCACCACAGTACGAGAACGATGGCCAGGTCTTCCAGGACGAGGAGGAGTCCGTGTACGAAGCCCCCAGCTCGCCATTCCAGTTTGACGGACGCGACGACACGGTCGATCTACAGAACAAGATGAACTATAGGAGGAAATCTCTGGCTGTTCCTGGTCTAGATACGTCGCGGAAACGATCGTACGATTCCATTCCCGAGGAGGAGGAGCCGGAGGAAGGGCTGGACGCGGGGCGGTTCAAGAGAAGCATGAGTCGGCATGAGGAGGAATCTGAGGAGGCCAATGTTATCCACACTGCTGCTGAGGTGCAACTGGACGTTGAACCCGACACTCAGATTGAGGATGATAACGCTCAGAGGATCGAGGTCCAGGAAGGACTGTTGGCAAATAGCATGGTGGAAGAACAACATAACGAGGGAATGAGTACGGTGCTGCACGGCGATGCGGGCGAAACCAAGGATAACGGCGACTCGAACTGCGGGAATGATGCGATGTTGGATATTGATCCTCGTGAGGTGTGTGAAACGAGCATGGACGACACCTGCCTCAGTACCTTTTCTGCGGTGCCGAATGTCGACATGACGCTCTTTGCAAACCTGCGAGGGGGCCACGATTCTCCAGCAAAATCCGTGCGCGAGCGTCCCATCAGCCCTGTCGAAGATATCACATCTATGACTCCCCAGACTGCCGGCAGGCAATCCCGCAGCCGTGAATTGTTTGAGAGCAATACGCCGCTGGGTTCCCCTACACCCCGGAAGAGACCGATCCGGGATTCGAGTGTCCAACGGGAATCGCTCAACCTGCTCGATCTGACGGGCGATATGAGCTTTACTCCCCGGCCCCGGTACAGCATGCAGAGTAATCGCTACTCCCCGCGGCGCACGCCCATGAGACCGGTTCTCGACCCGAACCGCTCGCCATCCAAGCTGTCCCTGCTAGACTTTGATATTCCGCCTGTTCCAACCCCGCGTTCCATCCCCTCTGTCACCCCTCGCGAGCTGGAGTCTCTCAAATCGGGCTTTCTCTCTGAAATTTCCTCCCTCAAGGCAACGCTAAGCGGCAAGGAGGCCGAGGTGGCAAGTCTCAAGCAAGCTGTGGCTGATGCGGAGCGCCGTGTCGGAGAAGCGCTTGAGGAGGTGAGAAACGAGGCAGCCCGCAAGGAGACCCTGGAGATGGAGCAGGCCGAGTGGGAGCGGAGAGGGCAGGAGATGGAAACCGTGCTCCGCAACGTCAAGGCTGAAATCGAGTCCAACGAGCAGGAGCGAGACCGACTCGCTATCCGAGCCGATGAGGCGGACAAGGCCAGGGAAGAGCTGGAGGGTCGCGTGGTGGAGCTGGAGAGTCAGTTGGCAGCCGCCCGCAAGTCGGCCGCCACGGCTTCTTCTTCTTCCTCCTCTACCTCCGCTTCTGAATCAACAACAGAGTCGTCCAAGTCTGCCGAAGATACTGCAGCAGAGATCCAAGAAGCTGTCGAAAAGGTCGCCCGTGAGCTCCATACGCTGTACAAGGGCAAACACGAAACCAAAGTAGCCGCGCTGAAGAAAAGCTACGAAGCACGGTGGGAGAAGCGCGTGCGGGAAGCTGAGAAGAAGTGGAAGGAGGCGGCGGCCGAGATTGACCGTCTCAAGGCAGATCTCGAGGTTGCCCAGCAGTCTAGCAGTACCAACAAGACCGACAACAACGACACCAGTATGATGATGGCTCATCTCCATGAGGAGCATGAGACGGAGAAGCACGTCCTGCAAGCCCAGATCAAGGGTCTAGAGCAGGAGATGATCGCGCTGAAGAATGACAGCGAGCAACTCCGGTCCGAGCTGAAGATCGAGCGCGCCGAAAAGGGAGAGCTGGTTGCTGCCGTCGATGAATGGCTGGCGATGCAGCAGCCACAGCAACCACAGCTGCAGCAGCAACAGGTACCTCCGCCGCCCCCACAGCATCAATACCTCCCGCAGCAGCAGCAGCAGCAGCAGCAGCGAGGATCCGAATCCCCCCATCCCACCGCCGAGGATGCACGAACATCGCCAGGGCCCGAAGCTGTACGCGGCTACGCCCGCGGGATCCGCCCCCCCAGCACTAGTTCTACGAGCAGTGTCGGAAGCGGTAACGGCACCGGCAGTGGTCCCACCGAGAAGAAGCTTTCCCGCTTCGGCGCCCCGGCTGGGGGACATTCACGCGGCAACAGTGGGGGTCGGTCGGGCATTGCGGTGTTCACGCCTGGCCGGAGCGGGATCATGGGGTCTATCGAGCGGATGGGAAGGGGGAATGGCAATTGATTGACATCCCTTGATCTATTCATGCATATGATGGTGGATTCTGACGCTTGATGTTTCATGTTTCATGTTGATGTTGATGCTGGGTTACTGGGTAGGGCAAGGGTTACTGGGTAGGGTGAAGGGTTGGTTGGTTATGGGCGTCGGTTACGAATCATGACCTTTATGCAATATGTGTACTTATCCATATCTAAGCAATGGTTTCCCATTGCTGGTACATTGCTAGTTAAACTGGTACATTGAACTATTTCGAAAGCACGCTCTCCACTTCTTCGGCAATGTTATAATTGTATAGTTGCTTTTGAGGGCCCGATGAAAAGAGACCTGGATTTGGTTAGATGGGGAATGGACATAAAAGGAAGACGTACCCATGACCCAGATAAAAAAGGAGATGATCAGTTCCGTGAGGAGGCCGATCCCCGCTTCCCTCTGTTTCATCCGCTTGGCTTCCTGACCAACGGCGTGGACGCGAGGAAAGCGCAGATCGGTATATTGCTTCGTAGCTAGCTTTACAGCTTCTCTCTCTGATATTCCGCGTTGTTCGGCACTATCGGTCTGCGGCTGTTGCTGTTGGGGTTGCTGATATGCCGCACGTAAATGATGGGCAAGAAACAAGGCGAGAGCCTCTGCATCCTCGAGGGCCTGCGAGGAACCCTGGCCCGAGTTCGGGGGTAAGGCGTGCGCCGCGTCGCCGAGGAGGATGACTCCCTCGCGGTCCCAGACGGGGAGCTCGGGCGTCGTCCAGATCGGGTACATTGATTCGACGCGTGCGGAGCCGATGATGCGCTGCACGACGGGGTCGGGCCAGGAGGCGTGCCGGGCGCGCAGCTGGGCCGTCACCGAGTCCGAATCAATGCTCTTGTGGTCCGGGCATGTGGGTGTGAAATACGTGGACCACCATAGTAGAGCATCGGGGGATGGCGGCGGGGACGACAAGTAGTAGTTCGCCCCCGTCGGGCTGGAGTAGCTGTAGCCAAAGAAACCCTGGCCGCCAAACGCGATGGTCATGCACTTGGGGGTAATGGTCCTTCTCATGTCTTCGGCTACAGGGAAAAACCCGCCCACGCCGACGAGACCCCTGGTTTGCTTTTTGAGTAATCTGATCTATTATGAAGAAGAGGTGGCTCACTCGTAATGAGGCGGGTATGGATCTTCTGAACTGGGGTCAGAACAGAATAACGCCTTCTTGACGACGCTCTTCAGGCCATCCGCCCCGATCACTAGGTCAGCTTCTTCTGGCGGGCTGTCATCTGCGAAATGGACGACATGTCTCCCATTGGGATTGACAGTCACCCATTTGACTTTCTTGCAGATGAATGCGTCAGTAGGAACCCGGTTTTTCAGGCATGACCATAGAGCGTGTCGGCTCATGGATACCGATTCAATTGGATGATCGGCATCGCCGCCTCTGGCATCAATTTCTTGCAGCGTCCAACCGAACGAGCTCTTGAGCTTAAAGCGCGAATACGGGTATCCTGAACGAACGACATCGTGGAATAGGTCCTCATCCAGACGTCTCAGTACATTCAGGCCATTGGGCGCCAGGCCAATGCCTCCTCCAACCACCAAAGTGGCCGAGTGGGTGTCCTCCGCAGTCCGCTCTTGAAAGGACTTTTGTGAGGTATCGTACGCTTCATAAATTATATACGAGTGGTGGTCCTCCGCCGGAAGATGCTTCTTCAGCAGGAGATATACAGCGCAGCCGCTGATTCCTGCACCGATGATTATAATCTTCATCTTATTCAATTAGTATAACTCGTCAGTAATTACGTCTCGAGAGACCGAGGTCTGAGGATTAGCCACCAGGATATGACTGGTCAAGTGGGAGAACGAATAGTCGGATATATATTCCACTGGCGGGGGTTTCCTGTGATTGTCATTCATCTCTGCCAGTGGGGATTGACTTGGACCCAGCGCTCCATATGACATACACGCTTATTCACTCGTCATAATAATAATAATACAACTATCAGGAGGATAGTCTCAAACGCAGATCATCGGCACGAGCCTCGGATGTGTTCCAGCTTCCCAGATCATCGACACTCGGTAGTAGACACTGGACAGCGAGACACTGATAGTGATACACCCCCTGTGGACCTTGGGAGCCCACTAGCAAGCCAAGACAGGTATTAGGTAGCTATGAGCAGCTTTCTCCTGAAATCGACAGCGGCGGCCTCTAACTAGGCTATAGATTGTACTGAGTTATCAACGGCCATCTAGCCAAGTGCCAAGGAGTACTTTCCACTTACCTAGCTACATTTCCATTAGTTACGTCAAATCATCGCTCGTCAGCATATGTAATAGAGCAGCAGGGGACACACATGTCAGATGCAGGATACCATGCCTGATGCCAAACGCACAGGCGAGTTTTGGTGGCGGTGCGGAATGGAGAAAGTGGATGCTGGAAATGGCTGGACGCGGCGAATGTCCAGATCGGGAAGAGCGGCTGACAAAGCCCATCCCAAAACAGAAGGATGGAGCCTCGTGACCTTGCTCGTTTTTCCTCGTCACATGGCAAGGACGAGGGGGAAGTTGAGAACCTCCAAGACTTCACCAGACTGTTCAACACTCCAGGGGGGGGCGTGTACGGGGGTTGTCTACCGTGTTACACGCTGTGTGTCTCTATCTCAAACCTTGCTACTAGCAACTAGTACTAATAACTACTTGGTTGTTTGTACTTTGACACCCGTGCTTAGCCGATCGTGATTTCCTCCGACTATCGCCCTTGTCGAACGGCGACAAGGGATGCTCGCTAATAACCAACTAATAATGATGCTCAAGCACAGTCAGGGAAGCCTAGGCCCTATGGATTATGAATAATACCAGCGAGTCCAGGGATTGTTGCGTCAGCTGCAGCAGCACAAGCCAGACGCTAAAGGGTCTGACTGCGGTGTTATTCTTGCTTTCCACGCTCGCTATCCTGCAATGTAAACTCCAGAACTTCCGTTGACCGGCACTTTCTAACCCCTAAGTTCTTTCTCATAGGCCACCGCGTGTTTGAGGTTTGGAGCCCAATCATGGCAGAGTAGCCACCATTTCGTGAGTGAAGAATACCGTCCATCTTATTCGATAAACGATGCTCCGTAATGCCGGGTCTCTCCCCACACAGGGCCGAGTGCGGTCCCAATCAAGGAAGCGAACAGGAAACTCAACTGTTGGAAGATCATTTACGGAGCATACGGAGTACATCACTTACGGAGTCCGGCCCCTGGTCCCCTTTCGGGTAGCCTGATCGGCTAGGCCTCATGGCAAAGGAAGCAGCTTGATCGCCGTTGGGCCTGGTGACTCAACGGATAGAAGGGAGGCCAAGTACTGGTACGGAATACTGCGCACTCTATAGGCCTGCGGAACCGACAACGGCATCTCGCTGTAATATTACCCCGTGATAACAGCAACCCTCGAAGCAACCATGATCGATCGCCTTGGGAGGGGTGGATTCAGCAAACAATGGATATACGGAGTAAACTCCCTGATGAATCTCCCACAAATGGCGCTCCCCATAAATATCACTACTATCGAGTAAAACTCCCGATGGCTGAGTCTTGAACCGGCGGGCCTGGCGGAGAATTTTCCGGATGCCAAATTTTGACTCAGCCGGAAAACAACGTCATTGGAGGCGAAATGCCGCGTGAAAGGCCCCTCCGAGTTTTCCCGCATTGGGCTCTAGCGGCTACACGCTTGGTAACGTGATCGGTCCGAAATCTCCAACAAGCCCCCACTGATTGGTCAGCCGTGCAGACAGTGGGCTCCTGCTCGATGGGGAAATGCCTCTCGTGGTGGGGGGCGCGCGCTTTGCTGAGCACGGCTTAGTTCCGCCTGTAGGCCCCACCTCTGACCTTGCCCCGGTTCTTTTCCCCCCACGCTCCCTCATCAATCACCGTCACGTTCCGCGTCAAGGGAACCCCACAACGAGTCCTTTCCGTCTGGGGGAGGCAACCATGGCGAATGGCAAACCCCTGCGTGGTGGAAACTTGGGGTGTCTCGCATCCAGAGCGTCTCCTACTTAAACATCCAGACCGCCGCTTACCCGCACACGCTCCGCTGCTTCTCTCGTCTTTTTGAGGCCGATCCCAGTGGATTGTTTTCCCGAAGATTGTTGTTGCTTGTCTTTTCTGGAATACGGGCTGCTGAATCGATCACCCGCGGACAAGAGATAAGCCGAAAAAAAAAAGAAAAGAACAAAAACAACTGGAACCTCTCCGCTCTTTGGAATCGCTGTCCTGTCGTCGTCTTTTTTTTTGGTTCTCTCGCCCACAATATTTTGACGATAAATGATTCAATTCCTGGTTCAACATGGCGACTACTACAGCGACAGCCACGGCCACCACCGCCGATTCTGATTCTCAGAGCAAGCGTAAGGCGTCCACCGCTGGTCTCTCGGCCAATTCTCGGCCTGTGAAAAGACGTGCGTCAAAGGCCTGCTGCTGCTGCCGAGCACGCAAGGTTCGTTGTGATGTGGTCGAAAATGGTTCTCCTTGCACCAACTGCCGGTTAGACCAGGTGGAATGTGTGGTGACGGAAAGCAAGAGAAGAAAGTTCGTCTGCTCTTACCATCCTGTCATTGACTCTACTCTTTTTTCCCCCCCTTTGATGTTACAGTCAAGTTGACTCCTTGCTCTCTCTCTTTCTCTCTCGCACAGGAAATCGCGCGTTGATGTAGAAAATACCAACAACTCCGCGGATTCGCCGATCGAGGCGCCCGACGAACCGCATGTGCACTTTAGAAGACCGAGTGAGACTCACGGTCTGTTGGAGGGCATTCCTGAATCGCCCTCACAACGTTCGGTAGACTTGGATGCCGGGCATCATATGCCCCATCTGCTTTGTTCGTATCCCGCCCGGGATTTGCTGTGTGTGATGCCTTGGAGTGGTGCTAATCTCAAACTGTGCACCATAGATCAAAAACAAGTCAATCGTATCGGCGCGGAGGATCGGTATCGCAGACGAATGGCTCCTAACCCAGCCGTGCCTGAAACCCTTCCCATGCAAAACATGACTGCGCAGATTCGCCAGTTACTGGAACCTTCGTTCTCTCCCGCGAGTGGATTTCTCCCGGACTACATCAGAGGCCTTCCCCCCCGTCTACAAAAGGAAGATATTGACTATCTGGCCACCAAAGGAGCTCTAACCGTCCCGGACCTGACGCTGCGGAATGAACTACTGAAGAGCTACATCCACTATGTCCACACATATATGCCTCTCTTGGATCTGGAAGAGTTTCTACAAACCATCGCCCGGAATGACGGCATCCATCGCATGAGTCTGCTGCTATTCCAGGCCGTCATGTTTGCCGGGACAGCATTCATTGACCTCAAGCACCTCCTAGCAGCCGGTTATCCCAACCGCAAGGCCGCCCGGAAAGTGTTTTTCCAACGAGCAAGGCTGCTCTACGATTTTGACTATGAAGTCGACCGGATCTCCCTGGTCCAGTCGCTACTGCTGATGACCTACTGGTACGAAACCCCGGATGACCAGAAGGACACTTGGCATTGGATGGGCGTCAGTCTGTCGCTGGCCCACACCATCGGACTTCATCGCGACCCGGGAAATTCTCGTATGGACCTGCGGCGCCAGCGGATGTGGAAGCGTATCTGGTGGAGCACCTACACCCGTGACCGGTTGATTGCCCTGGGAATGAGGCGCCCGATGCGCGTCAAAGACGATGACTGCGACGTACCAATGTTGACGCTGGATGATTTCGAATTCCACCCGTTCCCTCCTGAGATAGTGAGCATGGTCGGCGATTCGGAGATCCTTCAAAACGTGAACCACCAACGGGAGCTGGCTCTCATGTTCATCGAGAAGGCCAAGCTGTGCCTGTGCGTTAGCCATGTCCTGTCGGCCCAGTACTCGGTACTCAGTCACAAGTTTGGCGGCACGATGGAGACAACCATGATGCTTGTCCCGAAGAAATCGGCCGCCGAAACCTTTGAGGTGAGGCGCTGTGATCAAGAGCTCGAGAGTTGGCTGGCAAACCTCCCCGCGGAGATTCAATACTCGCCCTCGATGACGAGGAAGCTGCCCGAGGCGCAAGAAGTTTTGCATTCCCATCGCGCGCTCCTCAAGATGATCTATCTCACCACCTCCAGCGCCTTGCATCGCCCTCAGGTCCTGCCCGCCTCACCCTACCCCTCCACGGATGCAGAGCTACAGGAACTGTCCCGGGGTAAGGTGCGGTTTGCCGCCATTGAGATCACCAATATCGCCCAAGACCTACACGTGCTGGACCTGACCCGGTTCTTCCCGACCACCGGCGTGACGGTCCTGCTCCCCGCGGTCATCATTCACCTGCTGGATATCAAGTCCAGCGACCCCAACGTGCGGATGACCAGTCTGCAACGATTCTACCAGTGCATGCGGATCCTGCAACGGTTGCGTGAGATCTACGCCTCGGCGGACTTTGCAACATCCTTCCTGGAAGCCGCCATCCGCAAGGCAGGCATCCAGCTGACTGTAGCTCCTCAGGAGGTGCAGCGGTTGAACGGCAACAGCAACAGCAGCAGCAGCAGCAGCAACACCGTCAGCGACGGCACCCTTCGCATGCACACCTTGACCCCGCCGCCCGAGTCTCTTGCCCAGAAATTGCCTGATCTAACCTATCCGAAGCCGCCGAGCGCAAGGACCGCCCCGAGATTCATCGGCGGTGATCTCGAGCGCGGCCTGCCGTTCGCCTCCACCCCGCCAGACTCGGACAGCAGTGAGAACGGCAGCACGCAGAACATCAACCCGAACTACATGCCGGACACATTCACCATGCAGAATATGGTGAACCCGGACCACCTCAGCCTGACAGAGCTGATGGACCTCGCCAACGACGCAGAGGTCACCCAGAACGATTTCGACGCCCTGATCAACTTTGACGACGCAGGGGCCGATTTCTTCGCCGCCGACGACGGCCTCAACCTCGACCCTACTCTAGATGCATCTTCGTCATCGTCGTCATCTCTTGAGAAGCCAGCCGCTACCGCTACCGCGTATGGCTTTGACATCGGCGTCGATCTAGGCCTCGACGCTGACAAGACCCTAGATTTCCATGGTCTATCTAAAACTAGCACCAGCACTAACCATCCATCCGCGGAGAAATCCATGGCTCTCATTGCCGAAGTTGAGAAAGAGCTAGCATTCTGATCCGTGGAGTTCAGGTTCGGAACTTTGATTTGACGGCTTTTTGTTCGCCGTGCAGTCGGACTGCATGGTGGAGTCTTTTGCATATTCTGTATCATGATGATTTTGGACGGCCGGAAAAAAGGGTGTACATATGGCGTCGGGCGGTAGTGAGATTTTTTTTCCTTCTTTCCTTTTTTTTTTTCTCATGACCACCAACTTGAATCATGTACATAGATTCTAGAATTGGATAATAATGATTCCTTGATTGCCTACTTTCAAACTAAACTTACGGGTCATATGGAATCTCGAGTGAACTTTATGGTACTACTTCTAGGAGCATATCGATTCTGATCTGATGTAGATATATTTCTCACCAACAGGGTTAGATCGCCGTCGTTTGCTTGACGATCTGGGTATTGTACGTACAGAACTGTCAGTGAGGAAAAGCTACCAGATAAAAGCATGGTTAGATAAGACTGAGAATTAGAAAAGAAAGATTTGTTAAGATTATGACTGGATCTCAGTGATGCTATCACTCGGCGGAAGCCCGTGAGTCTCAGTGGCTGTCGCGGTCTCGCCGACGACATCCTGGGCGGTCTCGTCGGAGAACTTGAGGTCTTCTTCCACGTCGACCGAGTCTTTGATCCGGAAGAAGATGACAGGAGACGCGATCAGAAGGCTGCCGGCTAGGATACCCCAGCACGAGGCGAACTCGACCATGAATGCTGTGTTTTCAGCGTCCAGTCTAGACCCGTTAGCAAATCTCGATTAGGGTTGTGATAAGGAATGTGGGATGTCTTACCGCCACATTCCTGCGGCACCTGCAGATTGGATTCCCTTGTAGAATCCGGCGAAATTGGCCAGTTTGCGACTGTTGTTAGTGAGAGAACCCATGAACCTGTTTTGTTTTGGTCAGACAACATATAAGAACAAAAAAAAAAGTGGTGAGAACCTACCAATAAGCACAGGTCTGGAAAGCAGCATCGTAGAACCCATAGAACATGTACAGGAACATGGGCCCGATGTAGCCGCTATCGGTAAAGTCCATCGTTGGGGTGACCGTGGCCCGGGTGTAGGTCCTCTGGAAAACATAGCCACCTCCCCAGGTTCCCATGGTGATAGCAAAGAGCAGAGCGAAAATAACCCTTGCGCGTATTGAGCGGGAGAAGCCCTTGAAGTCAAGAATCCTTCCAAAGACGAACGCGCCTACCATCTGCATGAGCCAGTACAGAAGACTGTTGAGAGACCGGGTGCGGATGTTGAAGTAGGCGCCGTTGACACTGTTGAAGTGATATGGGTAGAACCAGTTGCTGGCCAGGAACATGGGGAAGAAGAGAACAATGTAGTAGTCGGTGCGGAGAGTCTGCAGCAGGCCCTTGAACTCAGACTGCCATGTGGGATGTTTCATCACAATGACACGGGAGCCGTCCTGACGCTTGATATATTTTGTGTCGAGGAGAGCCCATGCGAGAACAAAGCCAAGCGCCATGAGGACCATAAAGGCGATATAGGTACCATCGTTTACTTTGCCAGAATTGGAGTGAAGGTTCTGAAGAAGTGGAATCTGTCTGCTGTCAATACCTGATCTTCAGTCTGTAAGGACTTGGGCGTCCTTACCAAAGCCCCAATGACTCCACCAAGGTTAAAGATCACCCAAAAGAGGGCGATGAATCTGCCCTTTTCATGCTCATGTGGGTAACTCATCATGACGGCGCCTTGGGCACACCACAAGAGACCACCGCAAACCCCAAGCAAGGCGCCAGAGAAAATCAGGAAGCCCGCATTTCTGTTGTGATTGTAGGAAAGGAGGGAGGCGACGTAAAGAAAGTAGCCAAAGCCACCAAAGGAGAGGCATAGCTTGAGGCCGATACGGTTGGCGATCGAGCCAGCGAAGAAACCAACCACGGCGAAGGCGCTGTATAGGGCTGTATTGGCGTTGTTAACGTCATGCGGATCCAACTGACCGGCTCCTCCCAGGCCACTGATCGCATTGAACATGCCGGGACACAGGAAGCAGACAAAGGAGACGAGGAGCAACTGGGCTTCGGGGGATGCGATGTACGGCAGTTCCAGGAACCAGATCTTCAATGGCCGGTACATCCATCGCTTGCCTGTGATTGAAGGATCGCGGCGACTTGATCCCGACTCGAGATGCACAGCAGCGTCGCCGACTTTTTCGATCGACTGATCATCACTGGTGGTCGAATTCGACATGGTCGAGAGGTTCTTATGGATCAGATGGACACTGGGGAAAGGAAAGCCTAGACGGACTGTATGTACAGGTCCGAACCAAGGCTTAACCAACCACGATGATCTGCTTTGCAAAACTGGTCAGTTTGCGAAGATGGATTGGCAGAAAATGATACGCAACGCAGGCATAGAAGGCATATGATATACGAAGACCCAGCAAGGGCATTCGCAAGGTTTGGAACCCACCTAAAACATCCAGCAGACTGGCAACAAGGGTCGTGCAATCACAGAATGACGTTCACGAGATGACGGACTGAAGGTTTGGTTGGGTATTGCAAGCTGGAGAGAACGACGAACGAGAGGAAGAGAATCGAACCCCAGACCCGAAAAACGACCAAGCACAAGCGGTTCAACCGACCGAGAAGGAGGAGGATCCTGGAGCAGCCGGCGTAAAAGAGGACCTGCGGCGGGCCTTGGTGTGGCCTGCTGGCATGGGAACCACAGGAATCTGCGGATACACAGACGATAACAGCGTCTGCCGAGACCGAGAATCAGACCTGGCGGGGAGCCATCAGGGTCACATCAGGCCGCATGCAGCCACTTTCCACCCGAAGCTCGTCACCACATTCCTTGTGTTCTTCTTCACGATGGCTGGTGATGAACCCGGCTGTCGATGAGGTACTCCCCTCCGGCTTGCGGGACAGTATTCGTCCATGATGTCTCTTCTGCCGGTGCTGCTTCTGGTGCGGCTGTTGTCTTCATCTCCCAATACCGTCCCTTTCGAGATCATGGTACAGATCCAGGGAACCCCCCAGCAATCCTCAGGTGGAAGGAATGCGTTCCATGGAATGTGCCCAGAGCGATGGTAGTTCTGCTGCCTGAAGAGGTTTAGCCCGTGTTTAGTCAGCCCACAGCCCAGCATCGATGACTAATATATAATACGCCGTGTCCCGTAACCATCCGTATCGGGTACAAGCGTTTCATACCGTATCGGTACTCGGCCGTATTGCATACACGCAAGCGGCTTCCTCCTGCGATGGTCTTCACGACGTCACATCCAGCTCAACTGCGGCCTTTTGCTGTCTCTGTCTGTGGCAACACCACGGTGTGAGGTCGCACCCGGACAGGCTGCCATGGCGGTGGGCGATTTTGTCTATATTCTCGGGTCCAGGGGCGTTGTTTTCTCTCCCTGGGTTTGTTCCTGAGATCAGACCTTTTTGTTGTTGACACAGCTACTACCAAGATGCCTGGAAAAACCGCCTCGCCGCCGAAGATCACCAAGTTCACCAACTGCCGTCTCGTCAAGGGAACGGAGCTGGTGGAGCAGGATCTGTGGATCGATGCGGTGTCCGGCAAGATCCTCAAGGACCAGGAGGCGTTTTACGAGCTACACCTGTCGCCCGACGAGGTGATTGACCTGGGCGGCCGTATCCTGGCGCCGGGGCTCATTGACGTGCAGCTCAACGGGGCCCAGGGGTTCGACTTCTCCGTGCCGCAGGAAACCAAGGAGGAATACGATGACGGTCTACGCCTGGTCAACAAAGGCCTTGCGCGGACGGGGGTCACCTCGTACTTGCCGACGGTCGTCAGCTCCACGCCGGAGGTATACTGGAAGGTAGACATCTCAGATTGTATCTCTATCAGGTTGTGCAGAATGACTGACTTTTATTAGGTACTGCCATCTCTCGGACCATCTGGAGCTTCCCACCGCGCAGAGGACGGCGCCGAGTCGCTGGGCGCCCACGTCGAGGGCCCCTTCATCAGCGGCGGGCGCAACGGGATCCACAAGCCAGAGGTGCTGCGGGCAGCGAACACGCTGCGCGACGTGATTGACTGCTACGGCGATGAGAATCTAGCCGAAGACAGTCGCAGCAGCAGCAGCAGCAGCACCCCGATCAAGATGATCACGGCGGCGCCCGAGGTCGGCAACATGATGGCGCACATCCCCGAACTGGTGTCGCGCGGGATCGTGTTCTCGATCGGCCACTCGGACGCGACGTACGAGCAGGGGCTGGTGGCGACGGGCGCCGGGGCGACGATGGTGACGCACCTGTTCAACGCGATGCGGCCCTTTTACCACCGTAACCCGGGGATCTTCGGCCTGCTGGGCCAGAGCGAGCGGCCGCGCCCGTTCTACGGCGTCATCGCCGACGGGATCCACCTGCACCCGACCTCGATCAAGATAGCGTACACGGCGCACCCGACCGGTCTGGTTCTGGTCACGGACGCCATGAAGCTGTGCGGCCTGCCCGACGGCGTGTACGAGTGGACCAACGGCGAGCGCATCGTCAAGACGGGCGCCCGCCTCACCCTCGAGGGTTCCGACAAGATCGCCGGCTCCTCCGCCACCCTGATCGAATGCGTCAACAATTTCCGCCGCTGGACGGGCGCTTCCACCGCCGAGGCCATCGCCGCCGTCACCGCCACCCCAGCCCGCATGCTTGGCCTGCACGGCATCAAGGGGTGTCTTGCCGCCGGGGCGGACGCCGACCTCGTCGTCCTCGGCGAGATGGACGATGCTTTTGCAGGCAAGACCTTGACGGTTGACCAGGTGTGGAAGTTTGGTGTCAAGATCCATGATACAGAGAGACGGAAGTAGTTTTTTTATCTCTTTTTTTATAATAGACAAGGCAGATCAATGAATTTATATATATATATATAAATATATACTCTATATCACTTTTACATCTACAGTCTAGGCTGTTCGCGTTTCCAGCCTGCCTCTTCGGCAATCAGCTCGGCAGCGCGTTCACCAATAGCCAAGACGGTGACCATGGGGTTAATAGTGGGCATTTCCGGAAAGACACCGGCGTCAGCGATACGAACACCCTTGAGGCCACGGATCTTGAGCAAGGGGTCGACGACGGCGAGCGGGTCGCGCGCGACATCGCCCATCTTGGTGGTTCCGGCCGGGTGGTAGACTGTATGTGCGACGCGACGGCCGTACTCGGAGAGCTGGTCGTCTGTTTTCACGGCGGGGCCAGGGGCGACCTCGCGTTTGATCCAGTCCTTGAAGGGGGCTTGCTTTGCGATCTCGCGGGCGGCCTTGAGTCCCGCGACGATGGTGGCGGCGTCGTAGCCCTCTGGGTCGGTGAAGTAGCGGAAGTCCAGGGCTGGTTTGACGGTAGGGTCCGGGGAGGTGAGGTAGATGCGGCCGCGGGAGCGGGGACGGGGGATATTCGGGGTCATGCAGAAGGCGTCGGTGGGGGTGTCGTAGCCTAGCCGTTCGGTGTTGAGGCAGAAGGGGATCTGGTAGCAGTGCATCATGATGTCTGCGGCATGGCCGTCGGAGCCGGCGGCGTTGGGCAGCTCGCGGCGCAGGAAGATGCCGGCGTCGGAGTCCATGGTGGTCTGGTTGGCGGGGACGGGGCGGTTGAGTTCCCAGATGATGATGCTCTCCGGGTGGTCGAGCAGATTCTCGCCGACGCCGGGGATGTCACGGACGAGGGGGATGCCGAGGTCCTGCAGCTGCTGGCGCGGGCCCAAGCCGGACAGCAGCAGCAGGCGCGGGGTGTCGACGGCGCCGGCGCACAGGATGGTCTCCCGGCGGGCACGGAGGGTGTGCTGGACGCCAGACTGCAGGGTGATGTTGACACCGGTGACGGCGTCGCCGTCGACGTTGACGCGAGAGACCCAGGCGTTGGTCAGGATGGTCAGGTTCGGGCGAGACTCGTCGCCGCGCAGGATGGGGTGGATGTAGGCGACGCTGGCAGAGGAGCGGCGGCCATCGTCCGGGTTGTAGGCGACGGAGAAGAAGCCGACGCCCTGCTCGAGACGGCCCTTTTCGCGGATCTCGTGGTTGAAGTCATGGATGACGGGGATGTTCATGGCGGTGGAGCAGGCCTGCACCCAGTCCTTACACAGCTGGTTCCGGTGACGGCTGTGGACGGGCTGGATGGAGTTCCGCAGGTTGTCGATGACCCTGGTGAAGGTCTCAAACGACCAGCCGGTGCAACCCTGCTCCTCCCAGCGGCGGCAGTCATACTCGAAGGGGCGGAAGGAGATGAGGGTATTGTGCGAGGAGCATCCACCCAGGACTTTGGCACGCGAATGACGGATATGGCTGTTGCCTGCGATGATCAGTGTGAATATTATAAATTAAATGATGAAACTATCATCTTCTGTCTTTCAAGCAATTCCTACCCATTGGTTGCTCTGTGGTGGGATAGTCGTAGTCGAGCTCACCACCCAGCAGGCTCAACCATTCCTTGAGCTTGAGCACGCGATCATCCATAAAATCGCTGGGACCAGCCTCGATCATCAGAATACGTTTGTTGGGCAGATACTGGGCCAGCCGACTGGCAATAACGCAGCCTGCGGTGCCTCCACCGACGATAATGTAATCGTAGGCATTGACGTCGGTGGCGGCGATAGTGGTGGTGGTCGCCATATCAGTAGGAGTAAGACACGAGGAGACGTAGAGCCAGAGAGAGGAAAGCAGAGAAGAGAGAGAGAGAAAGAGAAGGGAGAGAGACAGAAAGAAAAGTAGAGAAGGAAGAGAAGCGAAGAGAGGAAGAGGAAGAAGAAGAAGAGAAAAAAGAAGACGGAAAGATCAAGAAAATCCCTGTGGAGACGCGGATTTTCATTTGCCAATTCCAGGGATTTAAACCTATAAGAATGGATAGAAGATGTTTAATTAGATTAATGATCTATTAATTTTATGTTTTGTAGGAATTCTTTTCCTGAACAAGATAATGATGGGATTCTACTAGAGCTTGCAGTTGGGAATAGCTTCTCTTCTATACTCTAATAGTATAATTTTCCCAGTCAATGCAATAGGATTCTTCTGTATTCTCCTCTTATCTTTACTATGGGCTGATCTATGGGTCATTCTGTAACACCCAGTGTTAGACTGTACAGTATATATTATTAATAGATTCGATTTACTAGTTATTTATTATGTAGAATAACTAATTAAATTATGGTAATACTTTCTGTCTTGTTGAATAATTATAAGTGATTGATAGAATATTGTGCTTATTGATCCTGATCGCCACTTGATAATTATTCCATCATCCACAACTCCCTTCTTTTCCTTCTCTCTTCTCCTCTCTTCTTCTCTCCTCTCCTCTCCTCTCTTCTCTTCCTATCTTCTTATCTTCCCCTCTTCTCTCCTCACCATGTCTATCCCCCCCCGTCAGCTCTACTACGAAGGCAAGGTCCAGCCCGCCTCCTCTGGCAAGACCTTCCAGTCCATCGACCCAGCCACTGCCCGCCCGCTGACCGACGTCCATCTCGCCTCGCCCGCCGACGTCGACGCGGCCATCGCCTCGGCAGAGCGAGCGTTTGCTTCCTGGTCGCAGACCCCTGCCATTGTTCGTGCCCGCATCCTGCACAAGGCCGCCCGCCTGCTCCGAGACCGCAACGACGAGATTGCCCGCGTCGAGACCCTCGACTCCGGCAAGGCCTTCTCCGAGACCAGCGTCGTCGACGTCGTCACCGGCGCCGACGTCCTGGAATACTATGCCAACCTGGTCGGTGGGGGGGGGCTCAATGGCGAGACGGTCCAGTTGAGAGACGACGCCTGGGTGTACACCACCAAGGCGCCTTTGGGCGTATGTGTTGGTATTGGGGCTTGGAACTATCCTATCCAGATGTAAGAAAGTATTCAAGATATAAAGATTCATTCAATTCTATATGATAGAACTGATTTATTAATTTTTTTTTTTTTTTAGAGCCCTCTGGAAATCCGCCCCCTGTCTCGCCGCCGGAAACACAATGGTCTACAAGGCCAGCGAGTTCACCCCCCTGCACGCCCAGACGTTGGCAGAGATCTACACCGAGGCAGGCCTCCCTGCGGGCGTGTTCAACGTGGTCAACGGCGCCGGAGACGTCGGGGCATACCTCACCACCCACCCGGGCGTCGCCAAGGTCTCCTTCACGGGCCAGGTCTCCACGGGACAGAAGGTCGCCGGCGCCGCCGCAGGACAGATGAAGTACGTGACGATGGAGCTGGGCGGGAAGAGCCCGTTGATCGTCTGCCCCGACGCGGACCTCGACACCGCCGTCGACGGCGCCATGATGGCCAACTTCTACAGCACAGGCCAGGTGTGCACGAACGGCACGCGCGTGTTCGTGCCCACGGCCCTGAAACAGGCCTTTGAGGACCGGCTCCTCGCCAAAATGCAGTTTGTCCGCCCCGGGCCCGTGTTTGACCCGGCCACCAACTTCGGCCCGCTCTCCTCATCCATCCACCAAAGAAAGGTCCTCGAGTACATCCGCCACGGCATCGAGCTCGACAAGGCTACCTTGCTCTACGGCGGCCCAGGTCTGCCAAAGGACTTACCCGCCCATCTCCACGCCGGGTTCTGGGTCCAACCCACCGTTTTCACAGACTGCACAGACGCCATGCGTATCGTCCAGGAGGAAATCTTCGGCCCCGTCATGTCCATCCTTACCTACGACACCCTCGACGAGGCCGTCGCCCGCGCCAACGCCACCCCGCTCGGCCTCGCCGCAGGGGTCTTCACTTCAGACCTCAACAGTGCGCACCGCATCATCGCCAAGCTCGACGCGGGAATCACCTGGGTCAATTCTTGGGGGGAGTCGCCGGCTGAGATGGCCGTCGGCGGGTGGAAAAAGAGCGGTCTCGGGGTGGAGAATGGTCGCCGTGGTATCGAAGCCTGGGTCCGTAATAAAAGTACCTTGGTTGATATGAGTGGGGGGGTTGCCACGGTTTTTGCAAAATTATAAGTACTTGGTCTACTGAGTTACTGACATAGATAAATATAAGATATAAATCAATGTATTGAAAAGGTGTTCAGTGAGAAACAATCCTCGACCCCATCCGATCTGTAACCAGGTCCCCCTTGAGCGTTGCATCGATCCCCCCAATCGCAGAGTCCACCATGCGCGATGACATGCTATCCGGCGTGAGCTCATCGTCCTCGAGTGCCCGGCGGTGCAGCTCCGTGTCGATGCGGAGATCTTTGGGCACCTTGGGCATGGGAGTCAAGGAGACGAAACACTGCTGCTGCTGCTGCTGTTGCTGCTGCTGCTGTTGCTGCTGCTGCTGTTGCTGTTTCCCCGTCAGGTCCATCGGTGCCGGGACATAAGTGCGCGGCCGGTAGACAAGCGGGGGTCCCTGGGTACGGGCGTCGGTGCCAGCCTGCTCGATGGACTCGAAGTAGCGGACGGTTTTCACTTTCAACTCGAGGGTGGCGTCCCGGTCGCAGACGATGAGCGGGTGACGGTGCATCTGCAGGGCGGAGAGGGTCCACATGTGGTTGATGCCGCCTTCGAGGCCGTGTTGGACGGCAAGGGCCTTGTGGGCACCCGTGGCGACGATGACCACCTCGCGGGCGTCCATGATGGTCTGGATGCCCACCGTGAGCGCCATGCGCGGCACCTGGCCCACGTCGTGGCCGAAGAAGCGCGAGTTGGCCAGGATGGTGTCGTACGCTAGGGTTTTCACCCGCGTGCGGCTGCTCAGCGACGACCCGGGCTCGTTGAAGGCAATGTGCCCGTCCGGGCCCACGCCGCCCAGGAACAGCTCGATCCCGCCGTACCGCGCAATCCGGGCCTCGAACGCCGCACACTCCGCCGCCAGGTCCGCCGCGTTGCCGTCCAGGATGTTGATGTTCTGCGGCGCAATGTCCACGTGCGAGAAAAAGTGCTTGTACATAAAGCTATGGTACGACTCGGGGTGGTCCCGCGGCAGACCGACATATTCATCCTTTCAATTAGTTTTCCCAACTTTAAACCAGAGGGAGAGGGAAATACCATATTGAAGGTCACGACATTTTTGAACGAAATCTCGCCCTGTCGGTGCCGCTGCACCAGAATCTTGTAGATGATCTCCGGACTGCTGCCCGTCGGCAGGCCCAGCACAAACGGCTGCGCTGGAGTGGGCTTGAACGAATTGATGCGGCCTAAAAAAAACGGATCAGACCTGTTCTGCTGCTATTAAAGGGACAACAACAAGAGCACTAAAACATACTGATAATATAGTCAGCAATGTACTCCGACACCGTCTGGAGATCCTCTCGGATGATGACTCTCCTGTGTTTGTTAGCATCAAATACTCAATGTCCGGCAGTGGCGAGCCATACATGTTGACGTCAGAGCAGGAGTATAATAGATTGGTCTTGCTGTCTTCCAAGTCGAACTCAAGTCTCAAAAAGGACAACTCGAGAACTTAGAGTCGAGAGAGAGAGCAATGAGATAGGGGCGACAGATAGACATAGACCCCCTCCCCCTCCCCAGCGTACGACGTCAAGAAACGACCTCACCACCAGGCCTCGCCTCTCTTTGATCGCATCCGTGGGACACTCGGCCCGGAGAGGGGACCAGCCTGTCACCGGGTGTCGGCGTATCTGGCCATCAGCGCTGTTTGCATGGATGACGATGACGCAGGCCCGGGTTCGTCCCAAAGCGACGTTGCAGAGATGGTGGGATACAACGAAAAGGGCCCCTGAGAAGGTGGGAGAGAAACGCTCGCGGTCGGATTGTTTCTTCTTATCGCTCTGTTACATCTTGCAGAGTGTAACGCTAGCGTCGTATACGGTATCGGAACGGAGAGGGTAAGACTGGTTACAGTACGGGATAGGACAGGTGCGGTTCGGTATGGTCATTACGGTATACATACGGCATTGCCTGCCAGGTACGGGGTATCCAGTCCTAGGTGGATCCGGCCAGAAAGTCTTACTACATGCGGAGTAGCCTTGCTACATTATACATAGACTCAGATCACAGGGTCTGGGTATTAGTAATCATTATCACGGGATTCCACGTGACGGCTTCCCGTGCAGCAGCAGGACCCAAGGGCCAAGGAGAATCAACCTCTTAATCTATTCGAAGAGGGAGGGGGAGGGAGAAAACCTGGTAGGCGATACGACACCAGGCGATGGCCGTTTGTGTCTCGCCCTCTTGCTCTTCTTCGTCGCTTTCTCTTCCTGCTGGCTGACTGGAATTGTTTAGGTTCCTCTCAATGTCCGCTCCTAGAACAGAAACGCTGACTCACCCTCCGCTCTCGGCCTGCCCCCCTGGTTGACACTCGACGAACAGAGTATACCCAGTTAGTTGCGACTATTGTTACCTCCTGCGCCCGTTTGCAGGGCCAGTGTCACCCCACCAGACTTCCAGCTTGGTGGTGGTGGTGGTGCTGCTGCTGCTGGTGCTGCGGCTGCTGCCTGTTGTTATTGTTGCTGCTGAGGCATTCCTCGTAGGGACCCGATGGCCCTGAAAGAGGAGATGCTGCCCCCTGGGTGGACGGACCTAGACAGGTAGGCTTGGCGCTCCTGGTTGGCTATAGGAGAGAGATCATGACTGACTCGCAGTAGGCAGATGGGCCAGCTGTTTATGATGGGATTTGATGGCACCTCGGTCAGCCCTCAGATTCGCTCGCTCATCGAGAACTATCATGTGGGCTCAGTGTTGCTAAGTGCGAAGAATTTAAAATGTATGCTCTGTATTTCCATTCTTTTTTTAAAAAAAAAAAAAAAAACAAAGAAAAAGGAGAGAGAAGAAAAGAAGACAAAAGAAAGGAAGAGACAAACCACAATATATGCACAAGTAGACTGATGGTATAGCTGCGGAGGAGACGACCAAGCTGGTGTTGGAGCTGCAGACCATCGCCCGCGATGCTGGCCATCCGGTACCGCTGCTGATCGCTCTCGACCAGGAGAATGGCGGCGTCAACAGCCTGTTTGATGAGATTTATATTCGGCAGTTCCCCAGCGCCATGGGGATTGCCGCGACGGGGTCCAAGACGCTAGCCCGGGAGGTCGCCCTGGCCACCGCGCAGGAGCTGAAAGCCATCGGCGTCAACTTCCTCTTGGGCCCCGTGCTGGACGTCTTGACCAACGTGCGCAGCCAGCCGCTTGGCGTACGCACCTTTGGCGACGATCCCCAGGAGGTCTCCCAGTATGGAATCGAGTTTATGAAGGGCTACCAGGAAGCAGGTTTGACCACCTGTGGCAAGCATTTCCCCTCCTATGGTAACCTGGAGTTTCTCGGCTCTCAGACCGATGTGCCCATCATCACCGAGTCGCTGGAGCAGCTCAGCCTGAGTGCCCTGGTCCCCTTTCGCAACGCCATCGTCCAGGGGCTCGACGCAATGATGGTCGGCGGGGTTTCTCTCTCTTCCGCAGGCGTCAACGTCATGCACGCCTGTCTGAGTGAGCAGGTCGTCGACGACTTGCTGCGCAAGGACCTCAAGTTCAACGGCGTCGTCGTCTCCGAGTGTCTCGAGATGGAGGCCCTGACATACAACATCGGCGTGGGCGGCGGCACCGTCATGGCCAAGAACGCTGGCTGCGACATCATCCTCCTCTGCCGCTCATTCCCTGCCCAACAGGAGGCCATCAACGGGCTCAAGGTCGGCGTCGAGAACGGTATCATCGGCCGCGCCCGCATCGAGCAGTCTCTCCGCCGCGTTCTCCGTCTCAAGGCCAAGTGTACCTCGTGGGAGCAGGCTCTTCACCCACAAGGCCTATCCGCCCTGACGCAGATGCAGCCGTCTCACACGTATCTCTCGACCAAAGCCTATAACAATTCCATCACCGTCATGCGCGACAAGAACGGTCTGCTGCCCTTGTCCAACGTGCTGGAGCCCGAAGAGGAGCTCTTGCTCCTCACCCCGCTAGTGAAGCCGTTACCGGCCTCGGCCGTCTCCCATTCAGCCACCGAGAGCAGTCATCATCATCATCATCATCATCATCATCATCAACAACAACAACAACAACAACAACAACAACTCATCGACCTCGACATTAACCACAGTGGCAGCAGCACAAGTAATACCAACAGTAGTAATAACACCGACGCAAACAACACGCCGCAGTCAATGTCGCTGGAGCACCGCACGGCCTCGGTGCTAAGCGGGGAGAGCGTGTTCAAGGAGCTAGGCCGGTCCCTGGCTCGGCAGCGGGGCGGGCGGGTGCTGCACACATCGTACACGGCGAACGGGGTGCGGCCGATCCACGAGAAGTTGATCGAGCGGGCGAGCGCGGTGGTGGTGGTGACGGCCGACGCGAACCGCAACCTGTACCAACAAGGATTCACGAAGCACGTGTCGATGATCTGCAAGGCGCAGCAGCCCTCCGCCGCGGCGGGGGAGGAGCAGTGCGAGAAACCACTGGTGGCGGTGGCCGTGAGCTCGCCGTACGACTTTGCCATGGACCCGACGATGGGGACATACATCTGCACGTACGACTTCACGGAGACGGCGCTGCAGGCGCTGGTGAAAGTGCTTTACGGCGAGCTGACGCCGACGGGGGCGCTCCCCGGCTCGGTCAACCGCAGCCAGAAGCTGCACCAGTCACGGCAGCACTGGCTGGTGGAGAACTGGAACGAGGAGCGCGACGCGCGGGCGCTGGACGCGCTGCTGGCCGCCGTACGGGCGGACTGCACCAAGCACCAGCAGCGCGGCGAGCTGCTCGGGGTGAGCTCGAGCAGCTTCCTGCTGCGCAACGAGGAGCTGGTACACGAAGCACACTTTGTGGTGCGCAACAGCAGCACACACGCCCTGTACGGGTTCTGCTCGACCTATTTTTTCCCCGCGACGGGCACAGGGACGATCGGCTCCGTCATCGTCGACCCGGCGCGCCGCAAGCTGTCCATCGGCCACTCGCTACACCAGCGCGCCATCCGCACGCTCCTGCAGCGGCCGGGGATGAAGCGCTTCCAGCTGGGGTCTCGGCTTCCGGGTATCTACCTTGGCATTCCCGCGGGGCACCCCGTAGAGCGCAAGCGGCTGCGGCAATGGTTCGCAAACCTAGGATGGAACACCGCGCTGTCGCGGCCCGTGTTTAGTGTCATCCTGCGCAATCTGTCCACATGGACGGCCCCAACGCCTACACCCACATCTACATCAACATCTACATCTACATCTACATCAACATCTGCATCTGCATCTACGTCAATATCAATATCAACATCTACATCCACATCAACATCAACGACAGACATTACGTACGACCTGGTCTCTGGGTGGGAGTACGCCGAGTCGATCCTAGGCCACATCAAGGCCAACTACTCGCGACAAGGGGTGACAGAGATTTACCAGCTCGCGCTGTCGGGCGCCCCAGACTGTGGGATCATCCGGGCGCGCCGGTCGACAGACGGGGTTGTGCTGGGCAGTCTAGTGCTATATAACGAGCGGTCGCGGCTAGCCGAGTACATGCCTGCCATGCGCAGTCAAAACCACACCACCCCCACTACCAAATCTAACCCTAGTATATCCTCGATCGGAGGGATTTCGTCACCGGTTATCTCGCCATTAATCGGCGAGTATGCGACTCTACTGCAGGGGTTGATCATGCTGGGGATCAAGCAGATGCGCAAGGCGGGAGCCGAAGCAGTAGTCATGGATTGTGTATGTTTTTCTTCCTCCTCCTCCTCCTCCTCCTCCTCCTCCTCCTTCTTCTTCTTCTTTTCTGTTAATGCAATTAGGTCGACGGAGACAGCAATTTCGACTGCTTGTCCACGCTGGGATTCCAGATGCTACACAGTTTCGAGGAGGTCAACTGTGATGCAGCGACGTGGATGTCTTGACTTGTAGATAGTTCCTACCATGATTATACTACAACTTTGCTAGTGCTAGTAACTACTAGTACATGCGACTCCCGAGCATAAGTACTAAGTACTACATACGAGTAAGGATAAGCGAGTAACTAGTGAGGAATTAGTAACTACTCCGGAGGAACAGGAGACTAGATCGGATCGGAGAGAGTTAGTCTGGAGGATTGCTCCAGAAGTATAGACAGGCAGGCATATAATCAAGTCTAGTAGAGTACGATATAGTCAAGTAGCACAAATGTCAGATTCTACATAACTACTACATATATATGTACTCCAGAACAAGACTCCAGAACACGCACAGAACAAAGAACAAAGAACAGCAGAACATCATCTTCGGAGTCCTCCGAGCGATCACAACGCTAGGCTAGATAAGGTTAGCGGGGGGCGTGAGCCGTAATCCCTGATTTCCTCCGCCAACCAGTCCGGAGACTTACTCCGAGACACTTACTCATTAACCAATAGTATAATACTCTCTACTCATCTCTACTAACTCTACTAACTCTACTATACTAACTCTACTATCTCTACTCATCTCTACTAACTCTACTAACTCTACTATACTAACTCTACTAACTCTACTATCTCTACTAACTCTACTAACTCTACTATCTCTACTATCTCTACTATCTCTACCTAGGTATCAATACTAGACTCCTAGAAGAGTACTCAGCTGCACGTGCCCGGCGCTAGATCCCCGGGATTGGAAGAGACCCACCGGCTAGCCGCAACGGGGACGGTGGGGTACACGAGGGGGGGCGAATGTATGCGATTGGCCGGATGCAGGTACTTGGGCATTTAGTAGGTACTTAGTCGGTACTTAGCAGGTACTTGTCCATAAGTACCGGGAACTAAGATCCAGAGAGAGAGAAGAATATATATATATATGTACGTATGTATGTATATATATATGTACGTATATAATAAATATATTTAAATACTATTAGTTCCTACAGTATTAGTACGTCTGATAGTAATAAAGTGGTAATTAAAGTATAGTATAGAGGATCGGGAATCCCGCCGGGCAGCCGGTGGGCGGCAAAGGCTATCGACTAGCGGCACTTTCACGCCTGGACAAAGTATGGCAGTCATTCGTAGATTATGATTGTTCTTAATAAGATGCAGGAATACTCTACCGACTGTATTAGTTATAGAGAAGTATCGACTTCCTCTCTGGCCCTCTCCCAATCCGTCGGAGATGCAACCAGCCTCTCCGCTTCAGGACCCCTAAACTAACTCCGGATTCCCTCCACCGCTCGCGATTGTCCCCTTCACTATTAACTGAACCAACTCTCTCCCTCTCTCTCTCTCTCTCTCTCTCTCTCGCTCTCTTTCCCCTCCAACCGCTCTTTTCCCCTCTCCCCCTTCTCACTCTACAGCCATGGACAGTTTCGATACGATGACCATGTCCTACCTGGCCAGCCCCTTGGCTTTGGGCAATATCCCGCCCGGTGACTATCTCAGCGTGATGCCGGGCATGGACTTACCAGACCAACAGTCTACCCTCGAGTCAGAGACATTTGTTAGGTGCGAACCCCCCTGTTTTTATTCTTAGTGTGATTACTGTTATTATTATTTCTAACCGGTATTCCTCAGCGATGAAATGTCATTCCCTTTAAAGCGCTTCTCCTACGACGATGCCTCGTTCTCTGATATGGTCCCCCCCTTCGAGCCCGCGGCGCCCTCGACAGCAGCAGCAGGAGGAGGCGCTGACACCGGCGACTCCTCAACGGCCTCGATCGACCATAACCACAAGCTGTTGAGCTTCTCGTTGCCCGCGTACAACTTCTCGCTGCTCGATTACTCGCTGCGCCGCACCTCGCTCTCGCTCGCCGCCCAGCTGCATGGCATGTTCTTCCTGGCCGAGTCGCCCTGGACCAACGCCCCCGCCGACCACGCCCCGCCCCAGCAGGGCGCAGAGCTGACCTGCTACCGACGAAACCTGTTCCAGATCACCGGCTCCGTGACGTTACCGCGCTCGCTGCGCTATATCATGACCGACCAGGGCGACCGCATCCCCATCCTCGCCCAGGAGCTGACCGTCTCCGCCACCGAGTCCGTCGAGGGCAACCCCGTCAAGATCATCTCCGTGCCCTGGAAGACCCCCAACGGTGCGAACGGGAATGGAGGCGGAGGCGTGGGCGGCGTCGTGGCAGCCGACGAACCCCCGACCACCAGCAACAACCCCAAGTCCGAGAAGGAACCGCCCCCGATCCCCTTGGACATCATGGCCGGCCAGGACCTCGACGCCGACTACGCCACCTTCCCCATCGCCTGGAAACGCCTGCAGTTCCGCGTCGCCACCGCCAACAACGGCCGCCGCAAGGAGCTACAACAACACTTTGTCGTCCGTCTCAAGGTCCTGGCCACCCTCTCCACGGGTGCCAAGATCCCCATCTGCGAGGTCCAGTCCGGCCCCGTCATCGTCCGCGGCCGTAGCCCGCGCAACTTCCAGTCCCGCAAGGACTTGCCTCTCAGCGGCAGCGCCGCTGCCTCGCGCAAGAACGCCGCCGCCCTCAACAGCCGCGCCTCGGCCACTCCCGCAAAGGCTTCGAATAAACAGGCCGCTCCTCCTCCTCCTCCTCCGCCGCCGCCCGCCACCGCAAAGAGCAGCTCCTCCCCGGAAACCACGCACTCGCTTCCGCACGTCTCCCACCCATCGCCCGACTGGTCACAGGTTCCCCCGCACTCCGCCGCCTCCGCCTCCACCTCCGCACTGGCCCACCCGTCTCTCTATCCACACTCCAGCCCGGAATCGATCCACATCCACCCCGTCAATCCCAATGACCCGTCCCACTCGCATTCCCATCCGGTCGGTCTTCCTCCCGGCGCCACGCGCCCTATCAACCTATCCCTCTTGGACGACGATGAAGTCCTGCACTCAGCCGAGACGGTAATGCATGATCTCCCGCGGGCGTCAATATCGGCTTCCGACTCTTCCCAGCAACAACATCAACATCAACACCCGCAACAACATCCGCAACAACCACCCGCCAAAATACGCAAAACCTCTCATCAAGCAAGCACCTCTTCATTAGTATTTAATACCTCGCTCCTACAAGACCACCACCACCACCACCAGCAACCGTCTTTACCACCCTTTGCCTCCTCGTCGTCCCTTTCTACCCTCCCCTTCCCCAGCGAAAGCACAGATTTTCTCTATGAATACTTCCCCCTAGGTCTGGACGACTGGCAATCCCCCGTCGACGCAGTCTACCGCCCCCATGTCGTCCACCATACAACCCTCCCGGAAATGAAATACGTCGCCGCTCGGGGCCGGAATAAACGCTACTTTGCTGCAGAAGATGTGTTCTAACCTTGTCCCCTCACCTTCACCTCCTTCATCTCTCTTCATCTCTCTTCATCTCTCTTCTATTTCTTATCTGTTGATGTGTTTTCTTATGTTGACCAGGGGGTCGGTTATGATTATGCGGAGAAAAGGTTCGGCGTTGGGGTTCCGTTTCACCTAGGGATAGGGATGCATTATTTGTATGAAGATCAATGATATCCACTGTGCTATACTTAAGAGAGTATTACAAGTATTAGAGTCGAAGAGTAACTTTTTTTTTTTTTTTTTTTTTTTTTTTAGATCTATTGGATCCGGTAGGTAGATTACAAATATCCCAATCCGTCCAGACTGGCAAGGTCGAACCGGATCTCCCATTTCTCCCCACCAACCCGGTGCGCAATCTCCTGTTTGCGCTGCTCGCCCAGATCCAGCCACCGCCGCAGCAGGTTCCCGTCTAGCATGCCGCGCCCGACAGTCCCGTCGCTCTCCACGGCGCGGAACACCCGTGGGTTCAGCCCGCACGCGTGCTCCAGCGTCGTCGTCAGCTGTGACTGTAGCGCAGAGAGCCGCCGGTACGATTCCTCTGAGACGGGGGTCACCAGCGCGATCGAGCCCGTCTGTGACGTCACGAGCACCTGGTATGAACTGTCCCTGTCGAGGTCCATGTCCATATCCATGTCCGCGTCGGATTTGGCAGAACCGGATTCGGGCGCTGCGCGGGGGAGCAGCGTCGCGGTTGACGCAAAATGACCCGTGTGGAACTTGCTGCGGTTGAGCAGCCGGTCACCATTAGAGGATTTCGGGTCTGTTATCTCCGTTAGAACCAAACGGAAATTCCTAAGAAAGACAATAAGTGCTTACCTTCCGGGTCGTATTGGAGAATGTGCAGGTTGCACTCCCCGTCAGCAACGAGCATGTACAGCCGTTTGCCGTCCGGCAGAAAGTCGGCGGCCACCACGTCCAAGTAGTCCGAGTCTTTGCCGAATAGAGTTATTTTATATGGCTCCTCCTGTTAAATATTAGAATGCCACTATAGAGTCAAGAGGACAACAGGAAGGTACCGAGTAGCCCGCAAACCAGAGCCCTTTCATAGCGTCTCCAATCATAAACATCCCCGTGCCGCGGAGCTCCTTGACCACGCTCACGTAGCATTGTGTGTCCATAAAGGCAACAGGAAGAAGACTACCATCTTCTTTGAGTCCCCGCACGATACACTTTTGCCCCTGGGCAACAATCAAAAAGCCCTGCCCGCCGATCCCAGATAGTGCCGTCACAGCCCCTTTCACCGGTTCTTTTCCAATAAGCTTCAGCTTCCGGTCGAGGGCTGGATTCTCTGGGTCAGGGACGACTTTGATCGCTTCGAAGACATACAGACAGCCCCGGGCAGGAACGTCTTCGCCCTTGACAATCGAGGTGCCCACGACAATCAAGCCGCGTCGCTCATGAGTGTTTTCTGAGACCTCAAGATCAATGTTTTTGACAGCCATCACTCGTTCTTCAGGTCCGAACGGGTAACTTCATGACCAAGTTAGATTACATAGTACTATATCGATGGTATGTAGCCAAGTGCTTACCTATCAATAACGGACCATGTGTCTGGACTAAGAAGTTTGAGTGAGCCGTGCTCAATTTCAGGAGGAAGCGATATCACTGGCACTGTCAGTACAGCCTCCCTGAATTTCACCAAAAACAGTATGAATACCTTCCCCTCCCCATTCTGGATGTAATTCGTCGTCATCTGGCAGCCGGAATTCCTCCCTCATGCTCGTTCCAAGCACGTATTTCTCTGACGATGAAGAGTAGGTCACGTAGTCCACTTGTTCCTTCAATGGAACTCTTCGGATTGTCCACGAGTAGTTAAAATGCGTTTCGAGTGGCAGATGAGAAATTTGAACAGCGTGCTGTAGCAAATTTGCTTAGTAAATGACTCAAATCTTTTCAGGGTCGCAAGAGACCCTACCTCTGAATCCACGTAAACAAAGGCCCTTTGCCCTCCAGGGAGGACGCTCTGGAATTCACTCATGCTCCGGGTAAAGTCTCCTCGCACCCGGAAAACGTGTGGCGCACTTGACGACATTCGAAATACAAAGCTTGCAGATTCTCCGGGCATGAAGATGGCATTCAGTCCTGATACGTCCTGCAATATTCGTAACGGTCTAGGCCGCAGCTTTCTGTCCTGTAGGACATTGGGGTAATCTGAAGACGATTTTGGCGCGGAATAGTTCCTCTCTTTGAAAAACCGTAGACTTGATGAGCTACCTTCTGTTTTTTTGCATACCACAAACGGTCGGTAAATGACCAGGTCGTCATTCTCGGTTCGTAACTATTTCCCAAATCAAAAATCAGGCCATCAAAATATGATAACTGAGCAACATACCACTAGATAAGGTGATGTGAACTGAGAATCGCCCAGGTTGGCAACAACAAATTCCTTCAGATTCTCCCGCGTGTAAGACCGTCTGGGCGTTTCAGATGATAGAATTGGCTGCAAATGGTCCACGGAATCGATAACATTCAACAGCTTCTGGTCTGCTAGTCTGAATATCTACATAATGCATTGTTAATACAACACTGGTCCCAGCGAATTGGAACATACTTACAAAAAGCTTGCTCTCCTGGCTTAGCATAAACAAAAGCATGCCACCCTCGGGTTGGTTTTCAGAAGACGCTGTGAATACACCCGAATTATCATCATAAAGACAGCAGGATTGCCATTTTGTAGATTTAAAATCATCCGCTAGGTCGACCTCATCGAGGTCTCCGCTTGCATCTGCTTGCAAAAGTAACAAATTGTGGTCGTCCCGAAGAATAGCGATATAGGGGTCGGAAAAGCTCGCACTGACGGCCGTGCATTCTTCGCTTGTATCCTCGTCCCAGATTGGATAGATTTGTGCCAGGCCGAGATCTATATACGAGTCAACCTCAACCACCACTCACTTTGCACAAGAAATTGATCACAGACTCACCGGAATCATAGCTTCGAACCTCGCTCTTCAGGATCTGGACGACTCTGGTTGCATTGGCAATGGTTCCGGCTTCAATTGTTAAATCGGCATTTGGATTGAACTCCGGTGCTTTGAATGGCGACAGATCTTGTCCATCAGCGAGGAAAACTTCAGACTCCTCCTTGTCAAGGCTTTGAGATTTCGAGACGATCACATAACACCGTGATTCTCTCTTATCAGATCGCGCAGGACCGTGAGCCACCTCCAAGGACCAGGCAAACTCGGCTGAGTCGGTTTTAACCGAGCTGATAGGAACCGGGTCGATTTCACGTTTCAAGATAACCAAGCCACCACTTCTGTCAGAGCCTTGAGCAGCTACTAACTCCAAAGTATCGGGGTTATCGACCGGAGCAGGGTCCTCTTCTTGCATGGTAGTCGTATGAGATTTCCCCAGAACCACATCCCTCAAAGGGCCAGTATTAAGAAGCCTGTCATGTACTTGGAAATTGTACAGCCCGGATGATACGCGAGGTATCGAAGCGTGAGGCGTATCATGAGGCACTGCGGGAGCAGAAGAGTAAAGGTCATCTTCATAAGCGTCGTCTTCGATAAGTTCTTCGTCCGAAACGTTGGCCTGTTCATCCGAGAAGTGTTCTAATTGTGTTGACGGTCTTTTGATTCCACTTGACAAAGACCCATTCAAGAGTAACGAGTCTGCATCTTCACTTCCAAGGAAAACCTTCCCATCACCCAAGAAAGCTGAGCAGGACGCACTAGACCCAAGTAAGTTCCCACCGTTCTGAGCCGGTAACAGTAGAACGGAAATGCCAGAAACGGATCGACCATCCAGTTTGAAACGGACCAGAGCTAGGTTTCCAGTGTTCAGGGCCAGGACAAGGTCTCCGTTATCGCTTCCGAGACGCTCGACGGTGCATCCTTCTAGCCGAAGAGCCAAATCAGATTGATCTGTCATCGAAAACCCAGACAATTGCCTCGCGAACTCGTTGACGCCCACTGCGTTTGTCTTCCCCGACTGATCCACATGTACAAGTTCATTGGAGCCGATTAACAAGGCGCCTCCAACAGGGGGAGGAAGAGCTACCACTTTAAATAGATCGCTAGGCAGTCTAGGTATGGAAAGTAGTGTCGTTGAAGCACGTTGTTCGAGATCGAGCGTAAAAACAGCATAGTAGACCACATCTTTCCTTTCATATATGAGGGCATTTGATGTGGCAATTTGCGAATACAAGATGCCAAAGGTTGGCTCTCTATATTCATATAGAAAGGCAAAACTTATTGGGTGAAGAAGGGACGGGTCCAATGCAGTTAGAGGAAGGACAAAAGACGAGGCGTACGGGGTTTGATACGACGCATCATCTTTTGTCATCATATCGGTGTCATTATTCAACTCAGATGCTCGTTCCACATCCTCTTTCTCAATATTGGCTTCATAGTCATCCATGATCAAGTCGTCTCCTGCCTGGTGGAATGGGAGAATCGCAAGGTTTCGAACTCCGAAATTGAAGAGTGCACATCTACTGCTTGGATCAACGCTGAGGATACTACCACAGCTGCTGAAATCCGGTACCCAGGGACTATGGGCCAGTTCATCTCGCTCGTAGTAATGGATAGAGATCGTGGATATCCCATGACGCTCATGGTCCCATTCGATGAGACTCAGCTTCGCATTGCGGAACGCCAGCAATATAGCCTCCCCACCACTCTTAGTATTCATAACACTGACCCGACTCAGGTCAGTCACTATCCCAGGAAGATCGTATTCTCTTTCCAAGACCAGCTTTGTCGTGCTGGATTCCGTGTCTTCGCTCAGATCATCGTGTCGCGCAGGCGTTTCGATTAGGGAAAAAATTTGGAGCAGCGAAGTCCGGGCGACGACGAGATTTCGAGCCGTTGCAGATGTGAATGCAACAGATATTGCATGCGTGACCCCCATTGGGGGTAGAAGCTCCGTATAACACTGCATGGTGAGAGGTCCTATTCAGGCTCGGAGGGAATTGTGATACACCAAATCATTCAACAGTCCAGTAACCTTGATCAAACCATTCTCATATTCTCGTCGATCACCAGGTCACGAATGGAATCCAAAAGGGTGCATAGAGCTTTATTTTTTTCCTCCTCCCCTGTGCTTGTCAAAGCATGGTGTCGAGATGCGGGCCGCGGTACTAAGGTAGAAGGAAACAACACGTGACCGCCCTCAAGCTCCAGAACCAAATGACGACAGCACTGCTTCAGCCTCACAAACTCTTCTATTCTTCAATATTTCTCGACCACATCTAACTACACTCCCAAGAGATTTTGCATATATAACAGTGGATTCTCATATTCTATGTAAAATTATATTCAATTCGATATGGCAACTCTGCATACTGCCCTCATTTGGGTTGTATATGCAGTGGTCATAGCAATCTCAGCTATAACAGCCTCGATCTTGATATACTCTTATCAGACGCCTCGCGATCGCTCAGCAACTGTAACATTTACCTGTATCTTCGCCCTCATTGCACTACTTGCAACTATTCTTTTACTGCCGGTCGATGTGGCTTTGGTATCCTCAACATCGTCTCACTTGGGACAGCGGAAAGGCTGGGCGACCGATGATGAAATCAATAAAATCACATTTGTGCTAAAAATTGTCTACTACTTCTTATACTCCCTGGATGCCATTCTCTGCCTGCTAGTTATTCCGTTCATCTATTTCTGGTATGAGGAATACGATGAAGTAGCTGCTGAAGCAGGGGAGCAGACCACGGCATCGCGATTTGGGGGGGCATTCAAGTATACCCTATCCTTCATCGCAATAACTATTGTTCTATTTCTAGTCGGCTTCTTTGTTCCTATCTCTGTGGCGGAGCCAGGTCAGGACCTGGACTACTTTCGACATCTACTCGCTGAAAACCGTAAGCATCCTGTCACCATGCTGTTCTATCCGGCTCAGAGTTGCCACTAAATCCTGCCTTTCTAGATGGTGAACGAGCGCTCGCCTTCTCAATTGGCTTGCTTATGACCATTGGTGTCTGTGTCTACGTCTTGTACACCTCTTCGGGTCTCGCCTTGCTTCCTATCAGATTGATAAAGACCGCAGCCACGATCGCCAACCCAACATTCAAAACCAGCATTGAACTACAACTGGAAACAAACCGAGAGCGCCAGCACCAGTTAGGGAGCCGCTGTGGTGGCAACCCGGAACTGTTATCATCCAAGGATCGGAGAGAATTCGATGCCCTTGTACGGGAAGAAAGAACTCTAATACGACGACAGCGCCTCGTGGAAGAGACTCAAAGTAGAGACATGGGAAGACTCATGGCTGCATGGTCAAAGATTGAAGCGGTATTCTGGCCTATTAAACTTGTGGCCGGGATCATCCTATTCCTTTCTGGGTTACTGGTGTGGGTTTCTATGCTTCTTACGGTCATTGATAAAGCAAAAAACTCGATCTGCAAGCAAGATTGCGGATACATTATCACGAAAATCAACATCTTTAACCCCTTGGATCGGATTCTTGTTGGATCAGCCAAGATCTTCCCCCTTGACTATGCAATCTTCACGGCTCTTACTCTGCTACTATTCAGCGGCTCGATGGTCAGCCTCTCCGCAATCGGAATCCGAGTCTTCTGGGTCAGGGTCTTCCAGATTAGAAAAGGCCATACATCTCCACAGGCCTTGCTAATAGCCACTGTTCTGCTGATGCTCATAATCCTGGCTCTCAATTATTCCATCCCGATGATTGTTGCTCCTCAATATGCCATTTTCGGGTCTCAGAAATTCTGTGATTTTTCGCCGGGAATTGGTGGGACGCCGCCGAATTGCTCGGATCGCAGAGACCTAGTCAAGCTGTGTTCAGAGCGAGCAGAAAATCCTGCTGCGAAGAATGTATGCACACCAAGTGTCGCCAGTACATTTATCAACCGCATTACTCTAAACTACCCTTTCTTTGGGATTGTCTTCTTCTGGGCTCAGTTCTTCTTTCTCGGTATGTTAATGGAGTCCTAACTTTGAAGATTCGTGTACTAACACAAAATGCTTGGTCAAGGCATCTATCTCATCACCATGGTCGGATCAGCTTTTTCGTCTTCAAAAGTGAATTGGCGCCAGATAGATGAGGACGCCGAAGAAGCCGAGGAAGAAGCACTATTAGCCACTAGTGGAAGACGTTTTGATTCCACATAATAGGATGCCATAAATAGTGTAAAATTATCCCCCTCATTGCTATTAAGAGCCGAATTTTCTGTGCTTATGAAACTCTATGTCTGTTCTTCTCCCCTTATATAACAAAAAGAAAATGAAAGACGTGAAGTTCAATGATAAATATATATATATGCGGTGCTATTATTTCTTGTAGAACATTTATGTGGACAGTAGTAACAGACAAGGTAACCCTATATCTTAATATTTTAGCTCCTTGGCTAATTTTAAAGCATGTCATAGCGGGTGTATAGAATTTCACTCTAGATATTTAACAATAGAAAAGATATCATTCTATATAGTCGGTCTAGATATGTAGATAGGAAAGTATTATATCAGCCTCTATGGGTGGGAAGGAACAAAATGCCATTATATAAGACTTATTCTCACGAGTAGAATCACCGTCATCTGGGAAACTCAATAAGTATAGCTATTCATAATCTATAGAGAGAAAACCCTAAAATACCAGGTACGGGCTCGCTGTGGGCAAATAGGCTAAAATAATGCTTCATGAGAACAAAGAGGAAAACGCAGGACATGGCATTAAAGGCATTATAGATACGGCACCACATATCAACCCTCTTTCAATCCATTATTGGTGGTCAAGTAGAGCGAGAGCACTCTCGAAAGCCTTCACAACCTCAGTGTCTATTAATTCAGAATTAATATTGGACCGTTCCAGGATCGGGGGTAAACCTTGGAAACTCACAATGTTTTTTCTTGGATTCTAAACCGTCCTCTGAGATTCCTACATGTTGCGTTTGGGTTTTGAACCTGTGTCGTTAACTTTATTTTATCTCTCTTTGAGAAAGAAGACACTTGCAGCTCACCTTTTAAAGGCTCGGGTTTCATCTTGCTGGACTGTTACGTGTGACCAGGCCATGAAGATCTGCCCAGAATGGTCAGCCACGAAACTGAAGGGAGCAACGAATATTGGATGATACCTCAAGCAGTTCAGTTACCTGCGAGCGAATACCTGCCTCCGCTTCTCTGTAGTGCTGCATCGTATCTGTATATCTTTTCTCAAGCTGCTCCCAGTCACATCCCTCGAGGTTCTCGAGCAGGCGATGTGTCTGGGGTTGCGGTGTCCCCGTGGTTACTTTGTCATGATCATCACGACATAAGTTCGTCGTCAAAGGCCTGTATCTGTTTAAATCTTCGTCGCTAATCTTGCTTGCAGGGTCCATGGGTCTTGTCATCGCTATCGGAGAGACACTGGCTTCTGGTCCGAACTTTCCAGCGGTTAAGATCTGGTATTTGAATTGGGCCTCAGATGCCAAATTGACTATAAAGAAAAAAAATTGTCTTCTGAAATCTTTCTATTTTCTGCCAAATCCTTTTTTCGTTTGGATATTGGTATATTTTGATCACGAATAGAGAAATTAGCAGATATAGGTATACTAAGTAACTACCTCAACTACATGTGATGGGATCATGTGATATGTCCAATCCAGCCAAAACGGCGGATGATGAGCTAATGCCAGGCACCCCAGCTCAGAGTATTTTATGAATTCCAACTACTTAGGTGAACAAAGCCATTTTTATATTCCTTGAGAGCTCTAAATTAATTTCTATGGACTCCAATCTAAGATCTGCATTTTGAAACCCCCCTTTGGATGGCCATGGGACTAGGACTACCGCTCTTGAAATTGCGATGATAAGAGAGCACCACGACTGCTTGACATGAGCTGTTACATATGTTCACGTCCTCCTTCTAGTCAACAGCCGAAGCTATACTGTCCGACTTGTGCTCGTAATCGACTATACAAGCGCCGAATAGCGTATGCTGAACTGTTACTCGACAAAGAATCCCTAGAAAAACAGATTTCTCATACGGCAGCTGCTCGAACGGACGTCAAGGACCTTCCGGAATGTCGTCAGAGAGAAAGTTTGGGCGACAACCCCTCAAATAACTGGTGTCTAGAGTCTATAAACAGCAGTAAAGCACGGTCGTCGGTGCAGAGGGCAGCTCTTCTTGACCAGATCAGTGAATTGAAGGATGAGATCAAGAACAAGAGAGCTTATATTTCTGGGCGCAAATCGGAACTTGCACAGCGGCAATCTGATGCCGAATCTGCGAGGTATCAGCTCTCGGGACGAGAGTCTGCAATAGCGACTGGTGTCCGGAACAATAGCAAACGAACAGAGCATCTTTGGCACGCGTTGCATAATAAGACAGCCGAAGCTCGAATATATCTCTGCAGAGAGGCTGCTCGCCTCTATGGGTTGCGGCAAAAGGTCAGGAGGAGGAATGGCGAACCTAAAGAAACATATGTCATTGGCGGAGTGCCTATCTTCGATCTTAGAGAAATCAATGGAAAGTCATCACACTGGACCCTTATGAAAAATAGTGCCCTTTATTAACCTGTGTACAGGCGCAACACCGGCCCAAATCTCGACGGTCTTCTCCAACATTGCTCACCTCCTCGTCCTAGTTTCCCATTACCTGTCCCTCAGGCTTCCTGCGGAGATAATACTTCCTCATCGGGACCACCCGACACCCACGATATTTGGGCTTGCTGGATCTTATCTACCCCATGAATCGTCATCTCAGCCCACGCTTTCAAGCTCACAGAATCTGGACTCCAAATCTCATAAACACCGCCCTCGGCCACTGTATATTGATAAAAGTCTTTCAAAATTAGCCAAGGAAGATACTGCAAATTATACCCTTTTTCTAGAGGGTGCCACGCTGCTGGCTTGGAATTTATCTTGGTTATGTCGGACCCAAGGGTTGAGCTTGGCCTCGGACTCTTGGGAAGACGTTTGCGATATTGGGAAGAACATGTGGCAGCTGCTTGTTGCGCCCCCTGCTCCCGAAGCTGCCCTCGCGCGGGCAGTGGCCGGCCGCGATGTCCAAACCAGAGTCTCTTCGACTAGGGAATCCCCGAAAACCACAATTAATCGAACGAAATCCTTTGCTATGCTTGGCCACTATTCCCATGGCACCGTACACTCGTTCCTCGGGGCCCATGAAGGAACAGAGTTTATACGGACCTGGAAGTTGCCGAGTCCCACAAGGGTGATTGATAAGCTAAAGTCAACTCTCCTCGGGGAACTAGCTAGCGCAGAGTGGGAATTGCTGGAAACGAAGGAGTGGAAGGATGAGATCTCGGAACCGCATCAACCTCCCCTCCCACTACAGGTTTCTCCTGAATCACAACCGGCGTCTGACTTGGAACGAGGGTCGGAGCTTCCTGGGTCTCCAGCATCGACACGAGAGATTCGGCCTGAGGCTAAGAATAGGGATCCTAACAGGGCGCTGGGAGATAATAGTACCAGTCGACCGAAAGGCGTCAATGGCTGGACTAAGCTCAAAAGTCGGCAATGACACTACTGTCAGTGTAAAGGGCATATGTCAATTAAATAGAGGAAACAGCCTAACTCTTTAAAACATTCCTACGTCCACTTCCTTACTTTATTTATATAAATATATATATATGTAGCTATGATCGCATGTCCAGTTGAACCATTAGAAATCGAGATAATTAAACAAGGCTCTCTTGTTTCTAATTCTTGTTTCCTAATAGACTTGTCCTTTTCTAGGATTATGGCCTGATATTATACTCCATAATCCATATATCTTCCCGGCTAATTACTCCTACTAACTACCTAGTACTCAACTAGTACTAATCAGGTATAGTTTATATCTCAGGCTGGATCTGGACCCACCTAGTAACACTATGGAACGATTACTAACCCGCCAAGCACTGATTGATAGCGAGATGAGCCACTGGCTATTCTTTACTAGGGAACGTGTTCAGTCGGCCGAAGTGCTAGTTCAAGCCGGTGGTGCCAGAGGGAGGACCTTCGAACCTTCTAATCTGTGCCGATGGTTCTTGCTGATTTCCCGTGTACCTTTCTGCTCGTGTGGCAGAGTTTGTTTGGAAGATCCCTTTCTTCTTCCCGATAAGCATTGGTTTTTGGCGATCTGGTATTAACCACCGCACGAGAGACGTCTACCAACAGAATCCCCCGGCTTTGGGTGTACTTAGCCTCCGGTTTGAAAGCGCTTAGGATCTGTTCCTCTCCGGAGAGAGGATAGAGATGTGATCCGTATCACACCATTGTCTATTATTTCAGCAAAGATGGAGGGCTTTTCAACCTCGCCTGGCGCTGCGGAAGCGACCGGTATGCCTCCTTAAGTGACCTCGTTTGCCTGCCTATGCTAAAACATCTGTCAGGCTGGACGAACAGTATCTCCGCACTATCCGGCATTCCCGTTGCAATTCTAAAAGCAGAGCTTGAACGAAGAAACGAGATTCGAGATTCAGACATGGATGATGATTCCTCAAGTTGTGGTTCGAGGGACCGGGGCGACTACAATCTTCCGTTACACATCTTCGCCCTCTTTTTAATTCTTGTTCTGAGCACATTAGGTATTTGAGGGGGGAGAGGTTTCCTTGGCTACTCGTCTTCTTGACTCGATGGCTAATGTTTTCAATTGCACCAGCTTGCTCTTTTCCTATAATGGCTCGCCTTTTCCCTCGCCTACCGATTCCACGGCACTTCCTCTTTCTCTCTAGACATTTCGGTACCGGGGTCCTCATTGCCACGGCTTTCGTCCATCTGCTACCTACCGCATTTGTTTCTCTGACCGATTCCTGTCTGCCGCGGTTCTGGAATACAACGTTTCCGGCGATGGCCGGATTCTTGGCCATGCTCTCTGTTTTTGTCGTCATTACAGTGGAGATGTTCTTTGCGATGAAGGGAGGTGGACACATACATACGACCGACTATGATAACCTCATGGGAGGTGGCGGGCATGTACCCGGTGGCGACCCTCGAAATAGCCGTACTGACTATATCAGGTTAGAGATGCATGACACGTCCGGATCCATCGATTTGAACACGGTTGGGAAATCCGTCCAAAGGGATTCAGACGAGATTGACTCTCCGTCGCACCGCGTTTCAATCGATGATTTCCAGCCCTCTGCAAACCATGTGAAACCCGGAAACGGGCACAACGGGCTTGGTCTCACTACTTCAGATTCGTATATGGATGGGGATTCGTATTTCCCCAATGAAAACGAAGCTGAGATTCCATTACGTCCCAACAATGATCGTTATCTTCAAGCAAACGAAGGCTTCGAGTCTGGTCGTTCAGTTCTACCACTACAAAACCCGCAGCGTCAGCTTCTACAGTGTCTTTTACTTGAAGCAGGCATTTTATTCCATAGCATTTTCATCGGAATGGCTCTGAGTGTAACAACGGGGACTCCATTTATCGTGCTACTGGTTGCCATCAGCTTCCATCAGACCTTTGAAGGATTTGCTCTTGGGGCGCGCATAGCGTCGCTCATCCCGGATCTTTTTGCACCAGATTCCCCAAGACCATGGCTCATGGCTCTCGCGTATGGGACCACCACACCCATCGGGCAAGCAATCGGTCTTGTCCTGCACAACCTCTATGACCCTGCAAGCACAACGGGTCTCCTCATGGTCGGCATCACCAATGCAATCAGCAGCGGGCTCTTGCTTTTCGCAGGTCTGGTGGAGCTTCTTGCCGAAGACTTCCTCAGCGAGTCGAGCTATGAGACGCTGCAAGGTAGGAGACGCATTGAAGCTTGCATATCAGTCGCGAGCGGCGCGCTTTTAATGGCATTTGTAGGTGCCTTTGCTTAGCGAGCCTTACACGTGCTGTGTTCTTTTCTTTTATTCTAGTGAGATCTAATAGTTGTACGTGTCTTCGTACCTAAAAAGGAAAGCCATGTGCAATATGCAGATGCTGTATAAATTGGCTGTCAAAGAAACTGGGGCTTGGATTGTATTATATAGTAGAGCCATTAGAATAGTTGGTCCTTGATAAGTAATAGGATTTTGGTATAAAAAAAAGCCTTTGCAGCTACATTCTCTAGACATGCTCAATATCAATCAGCTTCGAATGCATCTTTCCCTAATATCCCATAGCTCATTCCATTGAAGGTACTACACAGCATACGAAGCACTGCGGTACAACAACTGGAACAAGCATCTCTCGTACTTGCAGCCTTCCTTCCAATAGAAAGATATATTCGCAGAGGTAAGCATATCTAACATTGAGGATGCTGTACAAGTAAGTAGTGGACATTTAACGTCCTCCAAGATAATATACAATTAGGATCTAGGGCATTGGCAACGAATTCGATCTCTGTAGTCTAAGTATGCCTATATAGCTGTAGCTTCAGTTTAAGGACTCACAGCACCTTCAACACAGAAATGAAGGGTATTATGAATATATATCTATATATATCTATATAATGCTTATATGTTAGGTACATGGTAGGTTAGACGCTGAATTATTAGCATGTTGTAACGCTTCTGCTGCAATCCCTGCCACTGACAGTATATCAACTGTCAGAAAGAAATCCTATCTGTTTTTCTTGCTAGAGTTCGAGAAGGTCCACAAAAAACTGTTTGAAGATCTATTCTATACTTTCACTGATCATTAATCATTAATCATTGAAGGGCTTCAAGCACCAGGGCGCTAGCACCACCGCCGCCATTGCAAATACCAACGCAGCCAATCTTTCCATTCTTCGCCTTCAAAACACCCAGAAGGGTCGTCACAATACGAGCACCGCTGGCACCAAGAGGGTGACCAATGGCGACAGCGCCACCGTGGATGTTGACCTTCTCCTCAGGGAGTTCCAACAACTTCATGTTAGCAAGGGCAACAACGCTGAAAGCCTCGTTGATTTCGAATGCATCAACTGCATCCATAGTTACACCAGCATGCTTGAGAGCCTTAGGGACAGCAAGTGCTGGAGCAGTGGTGAACTTGCTAGGCTGGTGGGCGGCATCACCCCAGCCGAGAATCTTTGCGATGGGCTTCAGCTGGAGCTCTTTCAACTTGGCCTCAGAGACAAGAACAACTGCAGCAGCGCCGTCGTTGAGGGGAGATGAGTTCGGAGCAGTAACGGTGCCAGACCCAGGAATGAAGGCAGGCTTGATAGCACGGAGCTTGTCAGGGTTCAGCTGAAAAGGTTCAGGGGTCAGCTTAATGTTAAGAACACTAAAGAAGAGTAAAGTCCTTACGTTCTTGGGCTCGTCGTCTTGAGACACGGTCACACCCGGTTTACCCCTGAAGCCAGGAAGCTCAATAGGCGCAATCTCATAGTCAAAGAGGCCGGCTTTCTGTGCAGCCTGAGCCTTCTCGTAAGAGCGAATGGCATAGTTGTCCTGCTGTTCTCTGTTGAAGTCATGATCCTGGGCACATTCCTCCGCCGCCAGTCCCATGAGTTCCTGCTTTCCATAGGCGTCCGTCAGTCCATCCTTCATGATGCCGTCCACGAGACTCTGGTGTCCGTATTTGGCCCCAGAACGGAGGTTCGGGAGGTAGTGAGGAGTGTTAGACATGGACTCCGTTCCACCAGCAACGACTACATCGGCATTGCCAGTCATGATGGTCTGGGCACCAAGAATGATAGCCTTCAAGCCAGACGCGCAAACCTTGTTGACTGTTGTGCAGACAGTAGACTCTGAGAGACCGGCGCCAATGGCACATTGTCTGGCAGGATTTTGGCCGACACTGATGTGACACAACCGGATTAGCCATCAACAGTTATGCAAGCCATATGGAGAGACAGGAATGGCAACTAACTTGGCGGAAAGAACATTTCCGAAGAAGACTTCTTCAACATCGGATGCTTGAATCCCATCGGCTCTTTCGACAGCAGCTATATTACACTCCAATCAGTACCGTGTTGAATGATATTATGATATTTTCCCAGGCAATTGCTCTACCTTTGATAGCATGGGATCCCAGCTGGGGAGCGGTGAGGCTCGAGAGAGATCTAGAGGATGGACATCAGTAAGATGGACACAGAACAAAAATTAAGAGGCACAAAAAGGAATCAATGTCATGTCATCTAAAAAGGCTTTACGTACCCGAGGAAAGAGCCCAGAGGGGTACGGGCAGCGGAAACAATGTAGACTGGAGGAAGTGAAGACATTATGTATAGAGAGTTGGAGGAGAACCGATGATGCTCTGGTGGATCAATGAGAGATGGGAAGTTGGTAGCAACGAACTGCTATGGAACGAGAAGAACCTCAAATACTGTGACACGCAACAAAGCTTTGAGACCTCCTTTCAGACGGAGGGGCCAGCGGGGGCAATAAATAACCTACATCGTACCTATAACTACGGAGTAGAAGTAGTCACTGCTCTGAGAGTGTATCCGCACTTCGGCATGCGCTAAAAGCTTGGACCAATTCGAAAATCGTTGGATCACCGCCCGCAAAGGAACCACCAGTACAGTTACCCAGGCCTCTCTTCATGCGCCAAGTGCCTCTGTGCTGACCCAACATATCGAGGAGATCACAGTCCTCGAATTCAATCATGGATGATCTTTACGATGAGTTAGTCTTCTAGTCTATTATTGTTTCTGATTTTGGGTTAACTTTGCCCTCCCCTTTGGCACTTAAAGCTAACGTTTCTCCAGGTTCGGTAATTATATCGGAGACGGCGCAGAGTCAGACGAAGGATCGGAGGTCGAAAATGGCAAGCCCCAGGGCTTCGCGTTTGATGAAGCTTTCGAGGAAGAGGAGGATGAGGACATTAATGGGGCTAACGACCAGCAATTGATGGAGGTTGATGGTAATGCGCGATTCCTGGAAAATTTTTGAAAGCTTTGAGATTAACAGCTGCTCCAGAGACGACTTCAAACGCCGTTGTTCTACATGAAGATAAGCAATACTATCCTACAGCTCAGCAGGTATACGGTGCAGATGTCGAGACTTTGGTCCAAGAAGAAGACGCCCAGCCTTTATCGGAGCCGATTATTGCTCCTGTCGAGCAGAAAAAATTCGCGATCGAAGAATCTGCCTTGCCGCCTGTTCATTTCTCGAGAGAATTTATGACAGATATGCTGAATTTCCCTGAAAACATCCGCAACATTGCAATTGCTGGTCATCTTCACCATGGCAAAACCGCTTTTATGGATATGCTCGTGGTACAAACCCACGACTTGTCAGAGCGTTTGGAGAAGAGATCAGGCAGACGCAAAGAGGAACAATTGCGATACACCGATACGCATTTCTTGGAAAGAGAACGAGGCCTCTCGATCAAGTCCGCGCCTATGAGCTTGGTTCTGCAGGGGACCAAGGGCAAGTCACATCTTTTCAACATTATAGACACTCCAGGACATGTAAACTTCGTGGACGAGGTAGCTTCCTCGCTACGCCTGGCAGACGGTGTTGTGCTGGTCGTCGATGTTGTTGAAGGAGTACAAACAAACACCAAAAAGATCATTGAGCATGCAGTTCTAGAGGATCTTCCCTTGACGTTGGTCGTGAACAAAATGGATCGGCTCATCCTAGAACTCAAACTTCCTCCTAATGATGCATACTTCAAATTAAAACACGTCATTGAGGAAGTGAATACAGTCATTGAGAGCGTGTTGCCTGGTCAGGGCGAGAAGAGGCGGGTAAGCCCAGAATTAGAAAATGTTGCCTTTGCTTGCGCATCAATGGGCTGGTGCTTTACTCTGCAGTCATTCTCCAGAATGTATGCAGATACCTACCCTCAGATCGACACTGCTGAATTTGCACGGCGTCTCTGGGGCGATATCTTCTTCAATCCTCGCAGTCGGAAATTTTCGCGAAAAGGGATGGAAGAAAACTCTCAACGAAGCTTCGTGAAGTTTGTCCTTGAGCCGGTCTACAAGCTTTACTCTCATACTATGAGTGAAAGCCCGCAAGATTTGAAGGAGACCCTAGCTAGTGTGGGCATCAACCTGAAATCGTCAGAGCTCAAGTCAGATGCAAAGACGCTTCTCAATCTCGTCTGTGGACAGTTCTTTGGGACCGCAGCAGGATTTGTTGATATGGTCGTACGACACATCCCTTCTCCAGTGGATGGCGCCCAGAAGAAGCTTGACCATTACTATACCGGACCTCTTGACACTAAAGTGACTGCTGCGATGGCTGCTTGTGATCAAGACGGTCCACTTGTCGTTCAAATCACCAAGCTGTTTAGCACCACAGATGCTACTCGCTTCAATGCATTCGGGAGGATCATGAGCGGAACGGCTCGACCAGGTCAGCAGGTTCGAGTCTTGGGCGAGAACTATTCTCCAGATGATGACGAAGACATGGTCATTGCAACCATTTCCGATACATGGATCGCCGAAACAAGGTACAATATTCCTACCAGCGGCGTTCCGGCGGGGAATTGGGTTCTGCTAGGTGGGATAGATAATTCCATCGTCAAAACCGCAACTATCGTGCCTCTCAAACTCGAGGATAACGAAGATGCTCACATATTCAAGCCCATTCGGCATATCACAGAATCTGTCTTCAAAGTGGCAGTTGAGCCGGTGAATCCATCTGAATTGCCCAAGATGCTGGAAGGCCTGCGCAAAGTCAACAAGAGCTATCCTTTGATCTCCACGAAAGTCGAAGAATCGGGTGAACACGTGGTTCTGGGAACAGGCGAGCTTTATATGGATTGCGTTCTGCATGACCTACGAAAACTGTATTCCGAGATGGAAATCAAGGTGTCGGACCCTGTGACCCGCTTTTGTGAGACTGTGGTCGAGACTTCGGCTATCATGTGTTACTCGATCACACCAAATAAGAAGAACAAGATCACCATGATTGCAGAACCACTGGATGATGGTATTGGCGAAGACATCGAGAGCGGTCGCGTAAGCATCAAGGATCCGATTCGGAAAGTGGCAAAGTTCTTTGAAGAGAAGTACGACTGGGACAAACTCGCCGCGAGAAGCATCTGGGCATTTGGCCCGGATGAGATGGGACCTAATATCTTGCAGGATGATACACTGCCTTCACAGGTTGACAAGAAGCTGTTAAGTACAGTCAGAGACACAATTGCCCAGGGCTTTAGCTGGGGGACAAGGGAAGGGCCTCTTTGCGAAGAACGTAAGTTTTTACTATTCCATTCCCCTTTCATCATATTCGAGATCTATCTTCAGGGACTAGAGGACTGTTCTTTTTGTGTGTTGGACTGACCAAGTCAGCGATCCGGAATGCGAAATTTAAGCTCACGGATATCACCCTTGCCGATCAAGCCATTTATAGAGGAGGCGGTCAGATCATTCCTACGGCTAGACGAGCTGTTTACTCATCTTTCCTCATGGCATCTCCACGTTTGATGGAGCCTATCTATTCTTGCACGATGACAGGGCCTGCGGACGCTGTTGCCTCCGTGTACACCGTTCTATCCCGCAGAAGAGGCCATGTCCTTTCTGATGGACCAATTGCCGGCACTCCCCTCTATTCCGTTCACGGGCTAATTCCAGTGATCGACTCGTTCGGCTTCGAAACTGACCTTCGAATCCACACTCAAGGCCAGGCAACCGTAAGCTTGGTCTTCGACAAATGGAATATTGTTCCAGGCAACCCGCTAGATCGGGACATCAAACTCAAGCCGTTAGAGATGGCACCTGCCATGTCCACTGCTCGGGATTTTGTGTTGAAAACCAGACGGCGAAAGGGTCTTGCGGAAGACATCACCGTGAGTAAATTCCTGGAGCCGGAACTTTGGAAGGGCTTGAACGAAAGCGGAATTTTGGATGTATAACTTGGAAAGGGCAGGAGTGGGGGACAAAGAAAGAAAAGCGCCTGTATGGATGACAATGTGCCCTATCCTCGATGCTATGTATGTATTGTTGTATAGCATTATAAGCCTGCACCCTTCCTGCGACGGGGCCCGCATGTTCGCAAATCCATGGCATAAGAATACTGCTAAATCACTGATTGGATTGATTCATAGCTTAATCAATTTCGTAGATTCGGCCGTGAAGATGGCTGGATATGATTGAGCCTATATTATATGGTACTGATCATTTGCATGTCTCCAGCATTTTGCCGATGACTCCCATCAGTGTGCCGTTCTCGAGAGCTGCGGCCACTCTTTCCTTGTCCGCAAGTTGCTTATTGACTTCATCGGCGGTACTGTGGGTGCCTTCTTTGATGCGCACATCAACCCGGAATCTTGAAGGGAGTGACTGCTCGAGACGAACGCGTACGCCCAGACCTATTACAGTCGCTAGGCTACAGTGAGAGATGGTAGGCGTGATTAAAACTGTAACAGTCCGAAGTGGTGAATCAGGTATGCTTGGAAGCGATGGCTCAATCAAAATATCGGGAAGCGAGACAACGGCCAAAGCCCCCAATGAAATAGGATGTTCTGGGTCGGATATTGTTGATACGAGGTCAGGATTGAAATTAGCAGATGTCAGACTATCATGACTCTAATAGTAGAACCAACCAAAAACTTCTTGTTCATCGATAGGCTCCTCTGTCAACTCATCTAAGCTCTCAATGTCTGAATCGGGATTGTATTTCCCAAAGGAAAACACGTCATCCGTATTGACAAGCGTGGAAAGCGAAGATGATAATAATCCAGTACCGCTGACACTAGATGTCGTGACCGGGGTACGTAGGCGTGTGGGAAGATCAGCAGCACTGAGAATGGTGGGGTTGGAGTTCTGCATGATTAACCTGTCTATGGATATAGAAGTAACTAATACTGTTGTTTGCGAGAGGTAGACTTCCTAGCTTGAGGTGACTAGATGATACTTCCAAGTTTCAACTAAAAGAGTAACTAAAATGAGGGAGGGGCTGCCTTAGGTAGATGGTAGATACCTAGAGACTGCAGCCACCAGTGGATAAGTCATGTCCTATCATAGCTTATATTATATAAGACTAAATCACGTGGCTTATAGAATAATTTATCGATTCTAGAAGAAAAAAGCATTTATGCCTTGATGATCAATGATTAATTGGGCAGGATCAGCCATGAGTGAGGGTAACCCCTTTACTATTAAGGATAAGGATTATTTATAACTTAGAAATGGCTTAGCCCACAATAATTAGACGCGGTATAAAAATCTCATGGAATTACAATACTTTGTTTGAGGAAGAGGTGGAGGCGAATTATTGCATGAAATTTCAAACTTTGACTGCTAGTGAGGGGATGTCTAGGGCGGTGTGACTCGATTCTGCCCACACGTTGGCCTTGCCAGGAAAGCGGCGAGAAAAAAAAAGTCCCGCCCCCCAAAAAAGACACTGAAAAAAAAAGTGGGTTTCGGCCTTCCTAAAATCCAAACCCGCTCCCACCCAATCCATCATCGAGGGTACTTCTGGAAATTTTTCTCTTCCTTCATTCCACCTTCTTTTGTGGGTTCTACCTTTACTCTTCCATCTCCCTCATTTTTATCTTCCACTTCAATCATGTCGGACGAAGTCTACGAGGGTGCCGTCGGCATCGATCTTGGTGAGTTGAAAATTTTTAATTTTGTACATCCACAATAGTTTCAGTGCGATAAGAGCTAACAGCCAGCGCAGGCACGACTTACTCTTGCGTTGCCAACTATGAGGGCACCAATGTCGAAATCAGTGAGTCTTGGTCTGCATGGAGTCAGTTATATGAATATAGTACTAACTTATGATTAAGTTGCCAACGAGCAGGGTAGCTACACCACTCCCTCTTTCGTTTCTTTCACCGACAAGGAGCGTTTGATTGGTGAGGCTGCCAAGAACCAGGCTGCTATGAACCCTCAGAACACTATCTTTGACATCAAGTGAGCATTACAATTGAAATATCCTATCTTGAAATCACTACAAACAGTGAAATCTAACAAACGCCAGGCGTCTGATCGGTCGGCGGTTTGATGACCCCATTGTCAAGAAGGATGTCGAGTCGTGGCCTTTCAAGGTCGTTGACCAGGGTGGAAACCCCGTCGTCGAGGTTGATTACCTTGGCGAGACCAAGACCTTCACTCCCCAGGAGATCTCCTCCATGGTGTTGATGAAGGTAAGCCCTGCTGCCTTTTTTTCTATTCTCTTTTGACATGCAAAAAGTTAATTCCTCTATAGATGAAGGAGGTTGCGGAGGTGAAGCTTGGAAAGAAGGTTGAGAAGGCCGTCATCACTGTCCCGGCCTACTTCAACGACAACCAGCGTCAGGCCACCAAGGACGCTGGTGCCATCGCCGGTCTTAACGTCCTGCGTATCATCAACGAACCCACCGCCGCTGCTATCGCGTATGGTCTTGGTTCCGGAAAGTCTGATAAGGAGCGTAATGTCCTGATCTACGATCTTGGTGGTGGTACTTTCGATGTTTCCCTGCTTAACATCCAGGGCGGTGTTTTCACTGTCAAGGCTACTGCTGGTGATACTCACCTTGGTGGTCAGGATTTCGACACCAACCTTCTTGAGCACTTCAAGAAGGAGTTCCAGCGCAAGACTAAGAAGGATATGTCTGGCGACCCCCGCGCTCTTCGTCGTTTGAGAACCGCTTGCGAGCGTGCCAAGCGTACTCTGTCTAATGCTACTCAGACCACCGTCGAGATTGACTCTCTCTTCGATGGCGAGGACTTCAACTCGAACATCACTCGTGCCCGCTTTGAGGAACTCAACGCTAAGGCTTTCTCCGGTACCCTGGACCCTGTTGAGCAGGTTCTTAAGGATTCCGGCCTTGCCAAGAACAAGGTTGACGAGATTGTCCTGGTTGGTGGTTCGACCCGTATCCCTCGCATTCAGAAGCTCCTCAGTGATTTCTTCGACGGCAAGAAGCTCGAGAAGGTATGATCCCCCCCATTTTGCTTGGTAAGTGAATCAAGTTGACAAAATCTCTTTATAGAGCATCAACCCCGATGAGGCTGTTGCCTACGGTGCTGCCGTCCAGGCTGGTATCCTTTCCGGCAAGGCCACCTCTGCCGAAACTCAGGATCTTCTGCTCCTTGACGTTGTTCCCCTCTCTCTTGGTGTTGCCATGGAGGGTAACATCTTCGCCCCGGTTGTTCCCCGCGGCCAGACCGTTCCGACTATCAAGAAGCGTACCTTCACCACCGTCGTGGACAACCAGACTACTGTGCAGTTCCCCGTCTACCAGGGTGAGCGCACCAACTGTGCCGACAACACCTCCCTGGGAGAGTTCACTCTTGCTCCCATTCCTCCTATGAAGGCTGGCGAGGCTGCTCTTGAGGTTGTCTTTGAGGTTGATGTCAACGGTATCCTCAAGGTTACTGCCACTGAGAAGTCTTCCGGCCGCACTGCCAACATCACCATCTCCAATGCTGTTGGCAAGCTGTCCACCACTGAGATTGACCAGATGGTCGAGGGTATGCTCCCCTGCTTTCCTCTTTGATTTGGGGTTCGTTGCTAATTTTTGTCGTTAGATGCTGCCAAGTTCAAGACTAGCGACGAGGCTTTCACCAAGAGATTCGAGACCCGCCAGCAGCTTGAGTCTTACATTTCCCGGGTTGAGGATATCATTTCTGACCCTACCATGTCCATGAAGCTGAAGCGCGGCAACAAGGAGAAGATTGAGTCTGCTCTGAGCGATGCCATGGCTCAGCTTGAGATCGAGGACTCCACCCCTGAGGACTTGAAGAAGAAGGAGTTGGCCCTCAAGAGACTCATTACCAAGGCTATGGCCACCAGGTAAAGATAAGTGCCGATACCTACACGAATATAGAGTTTGATGTCATTGAATGGCCGATATCTTTTCATTTTGACCATGTTCCCCCGACTTGTTTACGTATCCCTTCTGCATAAAAAATCGAATCATTCATGTCTTTGAAGGCGTATACAAGACTTCTTTGTCTAAGCATGGTCATGTCATGTCTCTAATGCAAATGCTTCCTTTAACATTTTCAATTCTAAAAGTCTCTTTGGAATGAAGTCAAAAGCTTTTTATGATTACACGGGCCTAGGTCCCATATCTTACTTACACATCATCAACTTGCACATCATCGTGCCCCTTACATATATGAATATAACTTGAAATCTTTTTCTTCATAGGTACTACTGGTTCCGTTTACAATATCATTGCCAGGTATTCATGGATTGTTCTCAAATATTCTTGTTTTTATCAGACCATTATTAATCAATAGGGAGAGCGGATCAGGCTGAGGGGTTCGCAGGTGAACAGGGTTATGACAGGTAAGACACCGTAGGTTGGCTGCAGCGCTATCATTACTTAGACGATAGGTATACTCTTTTCTGTTGCCTCGTTCAATTTGGGGCTTCGGCTACATCGATATCATTACCAATTCGTACATCTGGTGGTATCTTGATACTCCTTCCTTCTCTTGGTGTGGTCTGCAGTGGTTTTGCTGCTTGCCCCCGGCTTCTGATCATCCCCAACTTCAATATTATTCTTCTGTATTCATAATCCTGTTGTCTTTTCATATTCCTGTTCTACAGCCCACTATATGGGGCATGTACTTGCTATTATTTGAAGAATTACATCAATATCGTCTCTTTAACTTACAAGATGACCACAACTAGCTATCCTAAGGTTGACAGGCAGTCATCTACACGAGGCATCCTAGCTATAATTGGGTTCATGAGTCTTGGTAATGTCACAGTACAATTATGCTCTAATATATATAGGAGTCTATATTCAGCCGCATATAGTGGTATGTGTAGCTTTTTTTCCCCAACCATTGGCTGAGGGCTATTTTTATAAACCTACACTTCGCAGCCTAATAAGTATTGATGATGAGGGGTTATTTGCTTCAATAATTTCCATAAAATCAATATTACTCTTAGTATAAAGGGAGCTAACTAATAAGGCCCCTTACTACTTAGATATAGAGAAATTAATTTAACAATAGTTATAGTATGCCTGACATATTTGATTAAATAAGCTACAATAAGGCTTCTTAAGGCTTAGCTTGCAGCTTTGATGATACCCACTCTATTCATCTCTAACTAGTAACCAACGGGCATTTATTTATCTTTTGCATGTAAAATTAGCTTCTATTATACAGCACCAGTCCTACAGATTGACACCTTACTCTCTTCTACCAGCATATTATATAGGATACGACCCCAAGAGCACATTCACATAATGTTGGCTTCTCGTCTCTACCGCAATATACTCTTTGGAAGGAATGCTTGCTCCATTACAGCGCTCAGCCAACCTCGAATCGCAAACTACCGATTCCACAATGGCGGGCTGACTTTTAATGGACGACAGACCTTTGCCACTTCTCCTGCCCTATGCAAGAAGAAAGACAGTCCTTCAAAAGCACCTGCTCCTACAGCTAGCGGAACCCCCGAGGATCCCATGGAACTCTCCGAATTGCATGATGGTATAGCAACTGCGCTATCCCGACTTAAAGATGAATTAGCGCAGCTGCGAATGGGTGGACTATCCAACACACAAACAATTGAAAGCTTGCGGGTGCAGCTAGGCAAAGAGTCCAAAGAAATCCTGAAGTTAGGGGATTTGGCGCAAGTCATCCCGAAGGGTAAAAGGATGTTAACCATTCTAGCAGGTGAAGAAGATGTAAGCTAAAATTTATTGCCTATCAACTAGGAGCCCCCCCCCAATTGCTCTTGAGCCTTTGCTAATAATGTCCTTGACTAGCACATCAAACCCATCACATCAGCAATACTTTCCTCCGATATGTCTCTTACACCCCAGCAAGATCCCCACAATCCCCTGCAGCTGAACATTACCATTCCGCCTCCGACAAAAGAGTCCAGAGACAGAATCACACAGAGCGCAAAGGTGGCCATGGAAAAAGCTGTCAACGCGATTCGCGACTCGAGATCGCTCGTACACAAGCGTCTTCAAGACATGCAGAAGAAGAAGATCGCCAGGCCGGATGATGTTCGAAAAGCTCGTGATCAAATGGACAAAGTTACAGAGAAGGGTCAAAAAGAAGCCAAGGCTCTGTTCGAGACGTCGAAGAACGCCCTGCAAAGTGCTTGACCATGCAAGGCTTCTTAGAAGCGTCCCACCTGGTTTGGGTGATGCCTGTTCGTTTCCTGGCCAGACTCAAATCCGTCAAGCAGCTCATTGAAATTACGGGGTTTTCGGGCTGGAATACCATGTATATTAAAGCTGGGCCGCAAAAATATTATGAAAATACATATCTTAATTCCAAACTAATGTACAAAAACCATCCTTGTGTCACCTGTGCCCTGATCATTGTGTTTTCCTGGAAGAAGGTTTGGAACCAATAAGAGATTCAAGCTTGGTGATGAATTGTGAAGTCTTGCCGGCAGTGTTGTATGTCTGGTTATTGCCAAGGTTCTTCAACACTTCAAGAAGAACGGGTGATCTATCAGATTGCAATTGACTCTGCTTCGGGTATTTCCCCGCAACCAAACTTTCAAGCAGACCTTTTCCAGACTCTCCGGATATTTGAGCCAAAGAGATGGCTTCAGCTTCAACGAGTTCACCTTTCCGTTGACTCAGCCGATCCGCCCGTTGCTGCGCTAGCTTGTTGGCTTCGTCCACCGCCTGGTTCTTTTCTTCTTCATTCATGAAGAGAACATTCTGTTTGTGGAAAAGTCGTTTTCCTAATTCCTGAGGTGACACGTATCCATTGGGATAGCGCTCGCTGAGCGACAAGAGCTTCTCAACGACACTGTTCACGCGACCGGTTTCGTCTGTAGGCAAGGAAGGCCACGTTTCCTGCAACTGAGATAAAATGTTTTGCTGAGGAGTATATCGCACAGGCTGCTGCGTTTCTTTTTCTTTCTGTTCAAGAAAGACCTTTTCTATCTGTGCTGCCCTCGCTTCATTCTCTCCTTCCCCCTCTTCCTGTTTCCTTGATGGACGCGAGCGGTTTCCTGCCTTAGTTTTGGGGCTCCGTTTGACAGATTTCGAAACCGGGAGCGCATTGAAAGTGCGGGGACCTCGAGGGGACGATTCGTTCCGGGCACTGCGAGATTTGGGGCCACGGAAAATCTTTGTTGATTGGGCATCAGCCTGCGTGGCCCCAAAGGACCGCGCATCGATGACACGCTTCGAGCGATTGGCGCCAGAGCGGTTTGCCCCAGGCTTGGAGCCAGGCTTCCTAGGCGATGAAGGAGAAGGCTTGGAGACGGCGGTTTTCTGTTCAGACGCAGGACTATCGCGGCCTAGCCAAGTCAGTTTTACATAGTTGGCAAAAGAAAATTTGAAATCTTGCTCTGGTGGGATATGAGAAAAAAGTGAGGTTCAATGGTGTAAGTCCAATAGAAAAAGAAACATTACACAATTACATACCAATCTGTTGATGGCTTTTTGTCGTTTGAGAAAATTGGCGAAGGGGGAGAATGACACACTGGCTTAACTTAGAACGGCCATATCTTGAGGGTAATTGCTGCAATTGCTGCAGCTGCCGTAAAGCCATGCTGATAATAATGGAGTCCCTGCTGTTTTATTTTAGGGGCTCAATGGACAAGACATGGCAATAAAGTCCATCATGAACATTGAAATCTTGTATGCTAGCCACTAGCCAGTAGCCGTGTCACGTGTGACCCACAACTGCCTGGGAAACCTATCTACTACATAAGTCTCCTTCAGCGCCTCGTCCATATTATCAAGCTTGTTTATGCCAATGCCATTCTATTCTTAGCGAGATGCTCCGTCGCAAGCCAACAGCTATAACAATAACCTCCGAAGATCTAGCTATCTTCGAAGATTCACGACTTCACAAACTTTCACCCCAAAATAACAACACTTCTAGCCACTCCAAAACGGCTTCAGGCGGTCTGCTTGACCCGAGCGACGAATTGAAACCCCTTCCAGGCGATAAAGCAAAGATTGTTCGATCTCGAGAGGAGAGAATTGGGATTAATCGACGCACCTAATGTTGACGGGCTCTAATCGGAGAAGCCCGAGGATACCCTGAACCTCAAGAATTTCAGTGAATGAGATTTGAGTGTCAGCGACTAGAAGCTTCAATACTCAGAACGAAGTAATATGTGCTGCCATATACAAGGTCAAGCTCATGAATGAAGACTATTCCATCTCTTTTGTACTGTGAAAAACTCGCACCGGCTGCAAAGATTTCTGACAATGCCAGTTGACCCTGTTCTTTTTGTCCAAAGAATCCCCTTTATGAAGAAATGAACCAGAAATAGAGGGCAAAACAATCATTTGTCTTTTTCAAATCATATATACCCCTGAGACTAGCCAGGTGGGGTCTTTTATAAGTTTGACTATTCTTATTATCTGTCAAGTTTTTTGATTAGCCAAGAAGAGTTGAGTGTGTATGAAGGAGCTAGAGCATGACATTTTAATGGCCTAAACATTTGAGTAGATTGGATATAATTCTGGCAAACTATTCCTGCTGCGTATGTTGGAGGACAACATGGTATATAACTAAGTAATATCTCCAGACCCGATGATTTAGCATCTAGCACTGATGATTTCTGATAATCACGAAACTCAATCCAATGCCGGGCTTTTAGGTTTGATTCACAAAGGGCTTTCTTGGCTCTTAAATGTACTTGTCAGCGTATGTACAGACAGAAAGTATGGTTGCAAGTATTCAAGGCATGATGATGCAAGCCATCGATGGGCATGATATACAAAGGCTTTGTTTGCGAATGGTGAAATTCTATGTACACAGCAGAGATGACCTTGTAGAGAAATGATGTCAACTGACTGCATCAGAGTGAGGATATATTGGTCATTCCACAGCAAGAGCTATTGACGAGACCCTTGCATATTAAAAGTCCAGCGAAAGCGTAGACCATATGTTTCAAGAATGATAGCTTTGGAAGAAGCCATCACCGATGTGAGCAGGCTCACTCCTCTTGTTTCACGGTGTCTGCAGATCCAACGTCAAGGCTTGAGTTCCACCTTCTCTTGAGGCCTTGAGGATCATATACACTGGCAACACTTCGTTGCCAATCTCGCGCTGTTATCATAACGGGTTGGCGGTTAAAGGTAGACTGGACCATGGGAGGAGCAGGCGTGACAGAAACTAATCTTGAGGATGATTCGTACGGAATATGATATTGAGTGGATGCGGCCATCGAGTTCGATACTACTTGGGTGGTATTCGGTATTGGAACAGGAGGTGAACTGGCGCTGATGTTGGATGGAGATACTGAGAATGCCATGTCCCATTGACTAAAGGGAGCGTAAGTGACTTGTCTTCAACCCCAACTTTATGCGAACGGGCAACTTACTTGATAATGCGAGTTGGATCCCAATTACTATCATCAACCAACGAGGCACCACTCGGATGGGTTGAAGGGTGGTTGTGTGGCATCAACTGTATGGACTGCATTCGAGAGGGATCGGACTTGGAGTCTTCAGCACAAATAGACATTGGTGGAGTAACGAGGGCCATGGATGAACGCACGTGATCGTGAATGTCATTTTGGGCTTGGCCTATATGAGGATATTGTGGTTCGAAAGGAGGAGGACTGGGATGGTAAGGCTCTGACGGACTTCCGTAAGGAAACGTTGGCTTAAGGTCAAATGGACGGTTGACATCGGCGGAAAATGCAAGCCTGAGTGAGTCAATCTGCGCTTGAATCTCCGGCATCGGCCAGGCAGCTGAGCATTGCTCTAAGATACGCATATGTCGAGTGAAGTATTCTCTTGCGTCTGTGTTGAAATCAGGATCAGGAGATGTGATTGCAATCTGCAAAAGTAATATTAGCAACATGTGGGACATCAAAGTGGAAAACACGCTTACCAAATGCAACATGGTACATGTTAGTATGCAGTAAATCGCAAAGTTGATGCCCCTTTGCATGAAAAGCAAACCAGATAAGCCAAATTTCCCCAAGATTGCCTCCTGGAGGCGACATAGGTTTTTTGCCGAAGAATAGCATAATGACAGGTGGGCTTTCCAACCACCTCCGGCAGCGAAAGATTTGGACGCAACTATTTGTGGCCTATGCAGCAGGATAATCCCTAGATGACAATGGGAGTGCATATTGGCGACAAAGTGAGATGGAATCCAAGGAGAAGACCCGTCGTGAGGGTAAGTCACCTGTAAGTCAGGGGGAAGATTATGCAACCAGCCGCTGAAGAGCGAATTTTTCTCGGAGAATCTGGGGTCGCCTCCCCAATCTTTCTGTCTCTTGATCTTGTGATAAACGTCGGTGATGATACGGATATGATATGCATTGCGAATGAAGTAGGCGAATTGTCGAGAGCGACTAATCTCGAACTGGTCTAAGCCCTGAATGTTCAAATCCGGATGCATATCAACTGTGTTTGGGTCGACGCCGTAGTCAGAACGGCCTAGGCTTGGTTAGAAGCACTGAAGTTTCACAAATGCCGCTCATCTTCATACCTTGGGGAGCTCCGATCATGACTTCAACCACTAACAACGCCTGCCAAACTCTTGTTTGCACCAAACATTCCGCTGGATCTAACTCGCAAATGCCGCCATCTGTATGGACGTTGTAGTGCTCGTGTAAATCAAGATCTTTGGCCATTGATACGATTGTTTTCACAGTTTGCCAAGAGCGATAGTAGTAACCCTTCTTCGGCGCCGATTCTCTAGCTTTAAGTAGCAGGAGCAATGCTTGGATGGTGCTCAGGCGCGGCACATCCATGAAGCTAGGCTCGTGTCCTGTTGGAAATGGGATGCTGTTAGCATATTATGGATGACGAGGCAGGGATAGTTTTCGTCGAACTCACGATTAGCCAGTGCAAGCCATTGAGCACCTTGAGCAGGATCATCAGATAGTCTGCCTGCACAAGCAAATAAAGCTTCCAATAGAAGAGGGGATATCGCATGACGCTCATTCTGCCATTGGTGATAAAGGCGAGAGCGATGGATAACAGGAACATAAGGGTGAATGTCTTCGAAGTAGACTCTGAAATAACCCATGGCTTCATTTTCAGATGGCATGAGTTCTGGAGGTATGCGTACCGCAGAACCTGCTCCAATATTCAACGGTGGGAGATCTTCTGCTTCATCTTGGATAGGCGCTTCAGGTTCCAATCTGTTCTTTCTTTGTTGCCGAATGTATGGCGCTAAAACCCGTCAATAATAGCTTGAATCCAGAGGTACCAAGGAACCCCCTTACCTATACCCGTCTCATCGATCCTCAGTTCACCAAGCACCCCACTGAGGTTTTCCGCTGTGGACTCATCTTGATCGATGAGAACACCATGCTCTACATTGACTGTTTGTTGTTGAGCTGTCGAGAAATTTTGTAGCGGCGTATATGCATGTGCGATCCCCAGATGACTCTGGGGTTGGGACTGCGTAATATATTGAGGAAGAAAACTCATTCCATCTGTGTATGTTTCAATCCCTCCACCGGAAGATGAATTACCATCTTGGAACCTATGATTCACAGCGAAGGACTGGTGTGGGGTATCTGATGCACCGGGGACATTTGCAAGCTGATCTGCTTCGATCCCCGGATCCATGGTACCAAAGTCACCATCCTGCCCAATTGCCGGAGGTACACATATCAGCTTTAGACGGACACAAGCTGAGCAAGGCCAAGTATTTGTTGTCGCGGCATCACACTTGATCTTGCGTTTTCGACATCCATTGCATGCTCGCATTACTAAATACTCCATTTCAGTACATAAATCAAGAGATCTAGATGGTCAGGATTGCATACCCTTCAGCCTCTTATGTCTATTCTGTTCGTCGACGAAGACATAGTCTGAGTAGAGAAAAAATAGTCAGCTTAGCCACCTAAAATGGGTTCCGGTCTGGGAGAAATCCTGTGCATAGAAAGAGAGCTCTAAGAATGGTTTCCTTACTCTTCTGCCCCTCTCTGGCAGGGCCGGATGGCGGTGCAAAAGCATAACCTTGCATCCTAGAAAGCCGCTGGTCTTAAAGTGACGTAAATATGCAAATGAGATGTCGTAAGGCGTTTGAACTGTAGCAGAAAGCAACCCAGATTCCCAAGGCACACAACCTGATATTGATTGAAAAGGGTTTCAATTGCCCTGCCGCTCCTGAGGTGCAAGAATTGTTGATATAGAAATACTGTACTGTATATTTATTGTGGCAAGAACCCAAAAGTCGCCAGCACTGATGATGAAAAAAATATCATGCACATGTAAGGGCTGACCACATAGGGTATTAAAGTGTGGCAATATAGGACTTCTTCTATAATCAGACAAAGTTAGCATTAATGATCCCAGCAATTGCAATAGAAAGTTCAGAAAAATCATCATATATCAAGGCATTATAAAGGAGATCTTTGGTATAAGCTACAGTCAACTGATATTATAAATAAAACATTAATTCAATGAATTTTGAAACATTTTGTCAGCGAATCAAGGCATGGGTATATATGAAAGGGAAGGTTTATGCATGCCCTGGTATGCAAGATACCAGCACATCCAGTATGTAGGGTTGGTTCTGGGGGTACTTGCTGCATAAGTATATGCGAATTTCTCCCCAGTAATCCCAAGGATTCAGTGATATATATGCGGTGACTCATATGTCGATTCTGGTCATAGAAGCAGAGGACAGGATGTCTATCGAGAAATCATACATGAGGGTGCAAACATCTCGACTAGCGCAGGTCAAAGGAGAGGACAGAACTACCTCGGGCTATATATACGTAGCTCGGTATCTTCCAGTCTGTAGTGTAGTTCAGGTTTATTAGCAAGCTGGAGGATGAAAATGAAAACATAGTGACTTCAATGGCAGAGTGGTATAGTCGCAAGAGCACTTGGGGGGGGGGGGTAGAAGTCAAAAGGTATAGCAATGCCTTCAATCCGAGCGCAGAGTACCTAGCGAGCAGTATACTATTGCGCATGAAGGAGAATATTGTGAAATTATACCAAATATCATGGGATAGGCGCCTTACTTTCACAGCACTCTCTTAACAGCAGTCATATGGTCAATCATATATGCGCCTGGCTCAGGCATGCAAGCACCAAAGGTAGCGATGGCTTTCTAGGCCATGTCCAATTGGGTGTTGGTCTCACAATAGAATAATATGTCGCAGCGCTATGTTGGCATTGAAGGGAAGCGCTAGGCATGCTTTATTGTATGAACATATTCCATAGGTATGCAAACCACGCGAAGGTTGCTGGGAGAGATGATCGGTCAAATGAGTGTGGCGGGCGGGCTGATCGCTGTGGCGTGGGGCAAAAAGAAGTACCTAGGTTAGATAGGCTCAAGGCAAGTCCGCATCGAGGAACCTTGTATCAGTGCTACTCCGTACACGTAATGGAAGTTTCAATTTGAGCCGTCTTTGAAAATCCCAAGTAGAAAAATTGGGGGGAGGGGGTTAAATGGATTATTCGATTAATCGAAGCTTTTGAATAATTTATCAAAGTCTTGTTTCAAGCTAAGTACATATCAACAGCTCGCGAAAAGAGGACCTAATGTATCTGGGTCTATAGTTACAGTAAGTGTATCCAAAAGTCAATGACCGAGGCAAGCTTGAGAAACCAGCAAGAAGGCGTTGCCTACCTGGGAGCCGTAGATACCCCCAGGTATTCTGTAATCATGAGCTCTAAATATCAATATCCATTTCATCCTGGTCTGAATCATTAGACATCACGTTGGATTTGACAGAATCGGGCTGCGCGGTCGCGTCCCCGCTTGCGGCTGCTTGGTTTGATTCACTGCGCTCGCTTTGCTTTGCTCTGGCTCGTGCCCTGGACTCGATGATCGCTCGTCGCACGTTGTCGTGTTCCTGAGGGACGGTTAAAGAGGCCGGTTCTCGGTATAAAACAAGCTCGTTGTTTTTCTTGGAACTGTTGGTAAGGATCGACTTCGGCACTGAAGCAACATCTTTAATATTTGGCAGGCAGAAGGTAATGTACTGCTCTTGAGCCTCAATATCTCTTATCTCCTGTTCTAGGTCGTGTATATATATCGTGTCCTTGGTATCATCCAGCAGCATCCTCTCATTACTTTCTATGAGGGATGCCTTGGAGGGGTGATCATTTCGTGGGGGGGGGCGTTTAGAATCTACTGCACCATGCGAATTATCAAGGCTGTTAATGCGACGAATAAAATATATTTCAACAATACGAGACAAAGGGTGTCCATATTTTACCTAGTTGTAGATGTCCAAATTTCTTCGCAAGTGGTTGATCCCCCTCAAGGTCATACTCGGCAGAGCGTTTTTTGCCGTTTCCCACTGCAGGACACACCATCCCCGTGGAATATGGTTTGGGAAGCTTGCTTTGCGTTTAGTTTACATGAAAAACATTCATTCTGCTTCCATCGATCCTTTTTGTGCAAAAAACAGATGACCATTAGCGTTTAATTATTCTTATGCATGTCCCTTCATGCGAGTTCCAGAGCTTTCGAGGGTTGGGGGTTTGGTTTTGAGTCACAGTTTTTCGCTTTTTAGGTCCAACCCCAGAAACTTTTCTCATCACCAATTCAGTCTAACCCCACCACGATCTGTCACTACCATCTTGATTAAAGGCTTCAGAACGATGTCTCGTCTCGAAGGTGGTCCGGAATGGACTGCTCCTTATGTTCGAGAGACCTTTTTGGATTATTTCCAAAAGAAAGGTCATACATTCGGTAAGATTTCACTTGGAGCCACCCACGCTTTGCGACATGCTACCCCTCCAACTATTTTCTTACTAGGAATTGATCTTAACTATAATTACAGTGCCTTCTTCGTCCGTTGTTCCACTATCGGATCCAACCCTGCTCTTCACAAATGCAGGAATGAACCAATATAAGTCCATATTTCTTGGAACTGTTGACCCTCAGTCCGACTTTGCCCAACTGAAACGCGCCGTGAACTCTCAGAAGGTGATTCATTATAAATACTGGATATATTATTCTGGGCTAACTTGCTTTATCTAGTGCATACGCGCTGGCGGTAAGCATAATGTAAGAGGATTCTGGAAGCCCATGAAACTCTTTTCGATATATCGCAACTGACTCTTTCACATAGGACCTGGACGATGTGGGAAAGGACAGCTATCACCATGTATGCATGCCGGATTGGAAACGCTTGATATGACCTGGCTAACTCGACCTTAGACTTTCTTTGAAATGCTCGGTAACTGGAGCTTTGGTGATTACTTCAAGGAAGAGGCTATCAAGTATTCCTGGGAACTTTTAACGACCGTCTATGGCTTGGAACCAGAGCGCTTGTATGTGACCTACTTTGAAGGAGATGTGGCCGGCGGCCTTGAACCAGACCTTGAGGCCAAAGATTTATGGCGCGCAGTCGGGGTCCCAGAAGATCATATCCTCCCCGGAAACATGAAAGACAACTTCTGGGAGATGGGTGATCAGGGCCCTTGTGGACCATGCAGCGAGGTTCACTATGATCGCATCGGTGGCCGGAATGCCTCCTATCTTGTGAACCAAGATGACCCGAACGTCATTGAGATCTGGAATAACGTTTTCATTCAATACAATCGCGAGCCGGATAGGTCGCTGCGACCTTTGCCCAATAAGCACGTGGACACTGGCATGGGATTCGAAAGACTTGTCTCGATCCTCCAAAATAAATCGTCTAATTACGACACTGATGTGTTCACACCCCTTTTCCAGAAAATCCAAGAAATCACTGGAGCCTGCGAGTATCGCGGAAGGTTCGGTGCCGATGACTCCGATGGCATTGATACTGCTTATCGAGTGATTGCGGATCATGTTCGCACTCTGACATTCGCGATCTCCGACGGTGCTATTCCTAACAACGAAGGCCGCGGCTATGTCGTCCGTCGGGTTCTTCGGAGAGGAGCTCGCTTTGCTCGGAAGTATTTCGAGGTTGAGATTGGAAGCTTCTTCTCCAAGCTCGTGCCCGCTCTCGTTGATCAGATGGGAGACATGTTCCCTGAAATAAAGAAGAAGCAACAGGATGTCATTGAGATTCTCAATGAAGAGGAAATTTCTTTCGCAAAAACCCTAGACCGGGGAGAAAGACAGTTTGAACACTACGCACAGCAGGCTAAACTCAAAAGTCTTAACAAATTGCACGGTGCTGATGTGTGGAGGCTCTATGACACCTTCGGCTTTCCGGTGGATCTGACCCGTATCATGGCAGAAGAACGGCAGCTGTCTATTGACGATGCGGAGTTCGAAGAGGCACGTCTGAAAGCAAAGGAGGCCAGTAAAGGGCAAAAGAAAGCCGCAGTGGATACCGTCAAGCTTGATGTTCATGACCTGGGCAAACTTGAGAAGATGAATGATGTTCGCAAGACCGACGATGCGGCTAAATTCGAAAAGGGAAACATCACCGCTCAAATTAAAGCGATCTATCACGGGAAATTGTTTCATACATCGACCGCAGACATCCCAGAGGGTGAACAATTGGGCATTATTCTTGATCGGACCAACTTCTACGCTGAACAAGGCGGGCAGGAAAATGATACGGGCAGGATCATTATTGATGGTCAAGCAGAACTTGAAGTCGGTGATGTCCAGCTCTATGCTGGCTACGTACTTCACACAGGGTTCATGAAATATGGGTCGTTCAGCCTGGATGATACCGTCATTTGTGAGTATGACGAACTTCGTCGCTGGCCTATCAGGAACAATCATACAGGGACGCACATTCTTAACTTTGCTTTACGCGAAGTCCTTGGTGACGGGGTTGAGCAGAAAGGCTCCCTGGTGGCTCCCGAAAAACTAAGATTCGATTTCTCCAGCAAAGCGGGTCTATCAGAACAAGAACTTGCAGAAGTTGAAGCAAAGTCTGTTGAGTACATACGCCAAAATTGCGCCGTATACTCCAGAGAAGTTCCTTTGGCAACCGCCCGGGAAATAATGGGAGTTCGTGCTGTTTTCGGCGAAACTTATCCGGATCCTGTACGGGTCGTGTCTGTTGGAGTAGAGCTCGATGAGATTATGAAAGACGTCCATAATCCCCGCTGGAAGGAGGTCAGTCTTGAGTTTTGCGGTGGGACGCATGTTCAGAAGACTGGCGACATCAAGGAGCTGGTGATTCTGGAAGAAAGTGGTATTGCGAAGGGTATCCGCAGAATCATTGCCGTTACAGGAGAAGAAGCCATTGAGGTGCAGCGGGTGGCAAAGGAATTTGGAGAACGCCTAAACCGCCTAGATGCACTCAAACTAGGCCCTGAAAAAGAGCAAGAGGCTAAGCAGATCCAGACTGAGCTCAACCAGCTCACCATATCTGCCATCGAGAAAGCTAAACTTCGTCAGCACTTCACAAAGATCAACAAAGAGGTCATCGATGGGCAAAAGGCCCAGCAAAAACTCGAGTCTAAGAAGGCTCTCGATACGATAGTCTCATATTTTAGCAATTCCGAGAATGAGGGCAAATCGTCGCTCGTCGTACAATTGCCTATTTCTGCTAACTCCAAGGCTGTCAGCGAAGCTCTCAACCACGTCAAGTCAAAAATGCAGGACAAGTCGGTCTACATTTTTGCAGCAGACCCCGCACAGGGCAGAGTTGCCCATGGTTGCCATGTCTCGCAGGTCAGTTGACTAGAATCATACTTTCTCGTGGACTTTACTAACATGTATTAAAAGACCTTAGTCGAACAAGGGGCCTCGGCAAGTGAGTGGGCCGGTGTCGTCTCTAGTATGATCGGAGGTAAAGCTGGAGGCAAAGGCTCAACATCTATCGGGAATGGTATCAACCCCGATAAAGTCGACGATGCGATTGCACAGGCTACCGATTATCTCAATCGATTCAAGTTGTAATCTAGCAGCAGCTGTTGGTGTTATATATGATCGATTATGGCATATCGGCCTCGTCATGCAATTGTTTCTATTCAAACTACAAATTGTCCCTGTCCTACTTTTTTCAAGTCTTGAAAAGATGGCAACTATCGATTTTGCAGGTCAGATAGTTTCGACGTTTGACGTTCGATATTTATTTAAATGGGTGACAATCCTTTTTAAGTATCATATGTCTGGATGTCTGTATGTCTGTAGGAATATCAAATACCCCACTCTACATCTCTCCACACTGGGCAATAACCACATCCTGATTAGGCTTTTCTCGAGTAGTGCGAGTATGCTCAATCATGTGGACGATATCCATGCCATCGATGACTTGGCCAAAAACAACGTGTTTATTGTTGAGAAATGGCGTTGCGGTTGTAGTGATGAAAAACTGACAGCCATTTGTATTCGGACCAGCATTCTGCAACAAATCAGCTTCCATGCCTCAGCAAGTAAGGTTAGCAACAATATCGATGGCCAACAGACCGCCATGCTCAGTAAGCCAGCACGATCGTGCTTCAGAGCGAAGTTCTCATCCGCAAACCTCGAGGTCCCGTAGATAGAAAGACTGCCTGTGCCATCGCCATTAATGAAATCTCCACCTTGGATCATGAAGTCTTTGATCTACATAAAGACGGTCAGCAAGTCATGGATCCAAGGACCGGGGCCTATATAGACACACCACCCGGTGGAATTTACACCCTTTATAGCCCTGGGGACGTCCTTGTGGGTTTTTGCTTTCTCCAGTACAGAACTGTCGGAAATTCTCTGCTGTTTTCGGGGTGACATCTGCAAAGAGTTCTATTTTGATCCGGCCCAGAGGCTCCCCTATACGAATTCGAGTTTTGGTCTTAGCTTGCAATGCCAGCACATCTGTGATTCATGTTTTTCTTTTCCTGGAAAGATTCACTCTTTCTCGTTATATCAATGCTGTGACATTGCTTTTCTTCTTTGAAGACTTCAAGCACAGAAAAAAAAAAGCCCAACGCCATAATATAGGCTGAGAAACAGCTTGCGGTTGCTATAGTATATAAATCCACTTACCAGCAAGGTTTATATCGAAAAAAACAATAGGATTGGCTTGCGAGGTCATCTTGGTCATGTGCTTTTATCTGCTACAATGAAGTGGCTGATCTGCAAGGAAGTTAACTGGTTTGAAGAGAGTTATGTCCCAGGAAGTATCTGAGAACTAGTGATTCAAGTGTGTATGGAGTAAAGGAATGAACTTTATTTTCGCCTTGGATGCTCCATACTCGAGCAGTCCATCCAATTTCTATTTAAATGATGCAGAGTCGTAAGATTTGTATTTACTACCTATACTCTGTTTGTACACGACAGAGTAGGTTTTTTTTTTTTTCATTTACCTGAGAGACTCTTTGATTGGCAGGGTCTAAGAACTTCAACTTGTAATAAAATCTCTCTTTACATTTATTTGAAGTTCGATTGATTTCGCCTTTACAATCAAAGATACCTGACTTGTTTTTATTTAACCCATATGGCTGGTTTTTATCTAGCCAAGTTATAATAGAGTAAAACTTAGTATATATATAGGTTAGGTAGTCTGCCTGATTACAGTTTTACCTAGTGCCTTGAAGTACCTACTAGTTACTAGCTCGCCAAGTTCCTATCTACTGCAGAGCTGTGGACCTCAGTGAGCTGCGCAGGCCTGTGTCCCTTACAAAAAATATGAACTTAATAAAACTTCATAATCTTAGATTTGGTCTATCATATTACTTATAGATCTTTCTGTATATTATAGGCACTGGGGACTATCCTTCTATATATTAATAGTTTAGTAACCCTTGTAACTATTTACCCGTAATTAGATGATCTCGATTATTAAAAAATATATATTCTATAATATTTAGAAATGCAACAGGGATTTACGTGAACTAACTAGTGCTATTAAATTAGTCTAGTGTCGGCATTTGGGTAGCCCTATATACACAAGGTAGGTAGCTAATTGGGTACCTTCACTTCGGGTCTGCTCCCAAAATCTAACATCAAATCTATATTTTCTCTGTTCAACTACAGCGTGCTGCTGGTCTCTAGATAGTCAGGTTCACTATCTGACCAGCTTCTAAGTATTACTAAATTCACTAACCAGGATTTTATGTGGACTTCTAAGCAGGACAAGTTGGGTACTTCAAAGCGCTGTTCTTTTGTGGAAGCTAGTTTACCTGAACTGACCGTTTTGAGGCAAGATCATAAAATACCGTGTCCCTGTTCTAAAATATAAAGAGTGATATCTCTATTCAAGGGCATATTGCGCCTTCTGACAGGTGTACATTCTTTTCGGAATGGGCTCCCCGCAGCCCAGTACAACCACTGGCCTTGGTTCCAATGCCAATCCATCTTCAGTCGTACCGATCAGTGGAAGGGACCCAAAGCCATGCCTCGGTCAAGATGCAGGTTTCACACCCCAAAGTGAAGATGACATAGATGCCGCAGACCACAATAACCATGATTTGACTCCGGGAACCAACTCTCCTGGAAGTCTTCTAGCCAGGGATATGCAGCAGAAAACTCCCACATACAATTATGCTTACGAAAAATTTATAAGCCACGCCGAAGCCAAGATGTTTTATCAACATCACCAGCTGGCAAATCGACAGGGTGACACGGAAATTCCGCGAAGCTCAATGCCAACCTCGGCTGCTGGTAGCTCACCTGAAGACGATGCGTCAAACAGGGAATCAGACACCCCCAGGACTGTTGGCAAGACAGGCGAGGCGCCGCGACTTTCTAATACGCCCTCTATGATGGCGAATCATTCTGATCAAGAAAACAATGTTCGTTCCCCAGGGCCAGAGGAGAGTATGCTGGTCGTTGATCAACCCGACGAGGATCATGCATACAATCTGGGGTTGCCGAATGAGCATGAACTTTACTCCTCAGTCAGCGACGCTACAGTTGCAAGTAATATTGGTCTCGCCACTTCTCAAACCTTTGGGGGCATTGCATCTAGCAACAATGCGGTCGCTTCTGAATTGAGCATGATATACCACAAGATCAAAGGGCTTCTCGACAGGCGCTCTAGGTATATAAAGCTGTCACTGCAAGGGCCCGGAGATAATCCTATGGATCAGTCGGACTGGAAAATCGAGCCACCTCCTCCAGAACCCGCCTGGGATAATGAAAAGGAATCTTACCTATCTGGCTCAGGAGAACGAGTATACGATGAGCGGAAACGGAGAAAAATGGGCCAAGATATTGGCGAAGATTTCGATATGTCGAAGTTCATGCCTCTTCCTGAGAAGTCGAGTTGGGTATTCGAGTTGGACGGAAACAGTGTGTATCAGGTCTATAAAACACAGGCGGCCGCACACTCTCACAACCCTGTTGTTCAGGTTCCTTCTTTGAGAGATTTTTACATGGATCTCGATTCTATCATAGATGTTTCATCTGACGGACCCGCAAAAAGTTTCGCTTTCAGACGACTCTCATATTTGGAAGGCAAATTCCAGTTGTATAAGCTGTTGAATGAATATCAGGAAATAGCCGATAGCAAAAAGGTTCCTCATAGAGATTTCTATAATGTCCGAAAGGTTGACACCCATGTTCACCATTCGGCTTGTATGAATCAGAAGCATTTGTTACGATTCATCAAAAGCAAAATGAAGAAGTCTCCAGACGAGGTTGTTCTTTTCCGCGATGGAAAACATCTGACTCTGGCGGAAGTTTTCGAGAGTATCAACTTAACGGCCTATGATTTGAGTATTGATACTCTGGATATGCATGTATGTTCCACCCGGTTTTCGAATGATGTCCATTTCTAACTGGTCTCCTAAAGGCACACACAGACTCATTCCACCGATTTGATAAATTCAATCTCAAGTACAACCCAGTCGGAGAGTCTCGTCTTCGTGAAATTTTCCTGAAGACTGACAATTTTATCAACGGGCGCTACTTGGCAGAAATCACAAAGGAGGTTATGTCCGATCTGGAATCTAGCAAGTACCAGATGGCAGAATGGCGGATCTCAATCTATGGAAGATCAATCCAAGAATGGGACAAACTCGCAGCCTGGGTGGTGGACAATAAGCTGTTTTCGCCAAATATTCGCTGGCTCATACAGGTGCCCCGTCTCTACGATGTTTACAGATCAAGTGGCATGATGGAGAATTTTGAACAGGTCATAGCAAACGTATTTCGGCCCTTATTTGAGGTAACGCAGGATCCTTCCAGCCACCCCAAACTCCACATCTTTTTGCAGCGTGTCGTGGGGTTCGACAGTGTCGATGATGAAAGTAAGGCAGAACGTCGGCTTTATCGAAAATATCCGATTCCTAGAGAGTGGAGCACCAAGCAAAACCCCCCTTATAGTTACTGGGTTTACTTCATGTTCGCCAACTTGGCATCTTTGAATACATGGCGAAAGGAGCGTGGTTTCAACACCTTTGTTCTACGACCACACTGTGGAGAAGCCGGTGATCCTGATCATCTTGCAGTGGGTTTCTTATGCTGCCACAGTATCAGCCATGGAATCTTGCTCCGGAAGGTCCCTCTTTTGCAGTATTTGTTTTACCTGGATCAAATCGGCATTGCGATGTCACCTCTCAGCAATAATGCCCTTTTCCTCACATATGACAAGAATCCATTTGCAAATTTCTTCAAGAGGGGCTTGAATGTGTCGTTATCAACAGATGATCCTCTCCAATTTGCTTTTACTAAGGAGCCATTGATTGAAGAATATTCTGTGGCAGCGCAGATATACAAGTTCAGCGCTGTTGATATGTGTGAACTTGCCAAGAACTCGGTCAATCAAAGTGGATTCGAGCTGTCATTGAAGAAGAGATGGCTTGGTATAAATTGCCATCTCTCTGGGGTTTCCGGAAACAATGTTGCAAAGAGCAATGTTCCTGACATTCGGGAAGCCTTCAGATACAAAACTCTCCAAGAAGAGCATGCTTTGTAAGTGTTGGTTCATTCCCCAAATCTATGAGTTGGCACATGCCCTCGACAAAGACTAGAGCCGGCATGAGCGAGGACTAATCGGCTGATTTCCACCAAGGATTGAACACTACGCAACATTGTCGGATTAAATAGCACCTAGTGCATCCTAGAGGGCATCGCCATTCTACAGATTCCTCTTATACCTTCATGTTTTGACATCACTCTCATGTAGTACATGATCATGCTTCTTTTCCTTTTCTGCAGATTTGATACTCATTTTTGGGTTTAAAGAGAAGTCAGTGTTGATATCAACATTTATAATAACATTATTATTGATAGTTAATATCTAGGTTTATGTGAGAATTGGCTAAAATATGCATCTTATACCTGCTTTTGCTACTCTAATAAGTAGGTTTAGATTATATAAAGAGATCTTTTAATGACTTGTCCTTTTGATAATAATCGTCACTCTAAGTGATAATGGGACTATTAACCCTATTTTGTTATCATTCCTAGCAAGACTTGAAATTTGCTTAATGGAGAAGAACACCACTTAGAATTGTGGATACTTTCATGTCATTTTATTGAAAATCCTAGGCAAAGGGTCCCATGATGTGTAAAGATTACTCTTAATACTACTTTGCCCATTTATAGTTTTATATTTCAGTAATAATTGTAACAAACTACCAAAGAAAGAGAAGATCTTGATTCATTATAGACTCTTAAATGGCCCAGCTTCCTCTTCTTTCTCTCACTCCCCAGGTTTCAAGGCTAGAATCAGCATTAACCATCCTGGGTTGCTGTCTAGCCCACTCATGTATATACAGTTGCAATGCCACCCAACGTACGCATCTACCACCAGGGGTTTCTTTATCCAGAAAGATACGCTCCCCAATCCCGACATGACCTTGAGCCACTGAACTCAAATCATCTCGCCGGAGCGCGTCTATAGAGATGCCCGAAATCTTGCTAAGCTCATGGTCATAATAACGTGCCACTGAAGGATAACCGAGAGAGAGGTAGTTGTAGATTTGAGTGACAAATGTATCATTAAACTCTTCGTTAATCTCTCCTTTGGTAAGAAAGTCCGTGTTGTCGCCTTCCTTACAGAGGCCATCTTCCAAAGTACAAGTGGACGGACGCTTGCCATTCTGTATTGTTGGCGTTGTCAACGGGATATCAAGATCCACAATCACATCGTCAACAGGTGGTATTGGCGTAATGATACCAGACAAAACCGACTCTCTGGGATGATACCCGAGTTCGCCCGCCTTGAGACATGTTCCCTTCCACAAGCCGCCTCCACCACAATCATTGTGTACGTGAGCACTCGCGCACCAAAGACCGCAATGCTCACATGTTTCCTCCTGGGTCCCTTGCTGATACGTGCTTGCGTGTCCATGCTCGGCATCACAAAGGGTCGACCTGGGAGACAAACTTTGAGGGAAAACCAAATCATCGCCAAGCATGGGCGGACTGGCGCCGTGTCGCATTAATGTTATATTCGGGTCTCTCTGCCATGCCTCAAGCGTATTCGTTGGGGGGAATGACTGTAAGCGGCCAAAGGCCTGCCCTTTCATAGCCTCTGCGGGTGTGTACGCTGGTTTCTGACGGCCGATCATTGCTCTGTCTCTCATCTCGGCCTCTTCTTTATGTTGGCGCATACATTCAAGTTCCCATGATAGATCCGCAGACGACTGGCGCCTGAGACTAAGCTCGTTGCTAGTATCGAAAAACGCAGAATCTTCACCTTCCGAATCAGCGTCTTCTTTGTCGATAGCAAAATGTGCTACAGGTTGGTAAACCTGCTCATTAGGGAAAGCCGCAAGAGCCTGTTCCTTCAACTGCTTTTCAGTGGAACTAGCAGCAAGTGAGAGCAGGTAGCCAGAAAACCGCTCATCGCAACTCTCTCGAAATTGTTTGCGTTTTTGATGACGTTTCATGGACTCATCGGATGATGCAAATGGTGATGTAGACAGGGATGGGGCTGAGGTATCAGAATCCTCGCTGCTGCTAGATGGAATAACTGGCAAGTCAGGGACTCGGAAAGAATGGGTTCTCTTCTCTTGACGTCGCACGAGGCTTGCATAAGAGAAAGGTGACTCGGAACCTTCATAGGCATTCGTGCTCAAGGGTGGAAATACTGTGGAATCAAAAAGGCGAGAGCAAATAACTTTGTCGTTCAGAGCTTTAAGTGGAGTTCCCGGATTATTTAAACATTGGCTTCCTCTCCGGAAGGAGCGTTTGGCGGTCTCTATAAGCTGCGGTGCGAATTTTCTTGGTCCAATCTGTTGGCTACATGAAGTTAACGGCGTTGCAATGGAATTCGACGACCACGCTTGTTCTTTTTCTCGACGACTGCTGAAGGTATATGTATCGACAGGTTCCACCAAAAACTTCCTAGGCGGCTTTTGCCCCCGCTTTCCCTTTGCAATATCGCCGGATGACACATCAGAAAGGCTGTTGTCTAGACAAATATTAGGTTGGGAGGATATTGCCGAAATGGCTTCATCAGGTGGCTGCGGCACTTGACAGGTGGTTTTAGACTGGCGTGTGTAAGCTTCAAGTGTAGGCTGCTCCTGCGTTGGACTCAATCTCCGTTGGTCTTTTGAGCTATAGGTGGACATCTCAAGAGGCTGGGCAAGAAATCTCCTTGGTCTGCGAGGCTGCTCTGGAGATAGGGGCCGGGAAGACATGTTGACCTCTGGCTTTTTCGCCAATTTGGATGTCATTCAAATCGAAATTGCTAGGGTCTAGGTGTTTATTTTCCATAGAATTACTTGAAGTATAGGGAGTTTGTTGAGAAAGGTAATATGAAAGAACAGGCGACCGCGAGGGAAACCGAAAGAACAGGCGACCGCGAGGGAAACGGCTGAGCCTGCTAACTTGGAGAAGTTATTTGTGATGGGAAATCATTATTCAACCCAATTTATGTGGCTTTATGGGGTTAACAAAGTAGATATGTTAGGCGGCCTTGTAATGGACCTTGACATCGAGAGAGATAGGTAGATAAGGCAGGGAGGTAATAGCTATATGTAGTAGTGTGGAACCATGGGCAGCAATAGGGTAGAGTATAGTGCTCTTTTAAATATTTAGGCACCTAGTAGTTATTTACCTTTCACTACCTGTGCTATTTATTTGTTCTTTTCCTAATACCCACATATTTTTGATAAATCGGTCTCCCTTCCTAGTCAAGCCATCAAGTTCTGCGCGTAGCGCGGCTCAGACAACTGCTCAAGGGTCAAAATGTTTAGATAATAAATTTACTAGTTATTTTGTGAATTTTTATGTCAATTTTTTATTGTCTATAGTATTGACTTGTTTTAAGCATTTATAAAGTTGGTGATGGTTAGAGTATGCTAACTAGGGCTATATACCTTAGTAGAAATATCTTCCAGGCCTGTGCGCCACGGGCCTGCTGAGGCCCATCCCTTTATCTATCAGATCAGTGACTTTTTAGTGCCTTGGCATAGAATTTAGCTTATAATATTATTTAAGCTTATTACTAAGAGGTTTTACTGTTTAACTAATTTATTGGTAATCTCTAAAAGATAAAGCACTTGATATATTAAATTTGAGATGATAAGAATAATAACAATAATAAGAAGCCTTGAACCTCGCAATCATGTGGGGGAGGCTTGACGGAGACGACAGAGGCCAGGAAAAACTGACTGGGGAAGCATGGGAACTAAAAACGGCAGAATCTTCCAACCCCAGTTAAACCGTGCAATAGTGCATGGCTATATGTATATATATATATATATGGTATTATAATGCATATTATTAAAAAACTTGTTTATAAAGGTTACAATAAGTCTTCACTATAAGTATATAAAAAAAATTTAATATAATAATCTTTAATATATAACACTGGCTAAACCCAACCTGCGGGTTGGGTTTAGGGCGCTAGATTCCTAACCTGCTAGGTTTCTGGGTATGCCTAATATAAACCTATATCCACCCATAGGTATAGTGGGTTTTAATTAGGAAACTTATAGGTACCTAGCATATAATATTAAGCCTATAGTTATTATCTTAATAAATTAGTATAGATTAGGTTTAATCTATACCTATACTTACCTAACTTATAATAATTTACTATAATATTATAAATATACATAGAAAATATTAATATATTATATATTATATAATAATTTATATTATATAATATATCTTATTTAATATATATAAATAAAATTCGGTTGGACTTTAGTACTCTTTATTCAATACAATATAGTAATTTAATATATCTATAGGTTTACTTATACTTAATAGGTGAGTATAATACCTGATGAGTATAGCTATAGGTTCTAATTAGTAAACCTATACCTGACCTGGGCGCAGGTTAGGTCAGGTTGGGTCAGGTTCACCAGGTCAGGTATAGCCAGTCTAAATTATATATTTATTAATTATGTACAGTATTAAAGATATATAATATATATTAGATATAAGATAGTTAATATTATTCTGGTATTGTAGTACTATATTAGGCTTATATGACCTTGATTATAGAATTATCTAGCTAAAACTAATTATCAGTAGGGTATAGATAATAGCGCTAGCCTCACCACATGACTGCCTTCATCTTAATAGTCATAGTCATCTCCTAATAATTAATCCACTATCATTATTATTAGTTATTATATCCTATTTAATAAATTATGTTGGCCCAGCAGGCCTAAAGAGGGAAGATATAGCTAATAGTTACTATTACTACTATAGCTTAAATATAAAATAGGTGATTATATAGTAAAGCTATATTAAATAAAATACTATAAAGCCCAATGAAGTATATATCTTTAATATACCCCTTATTATTGAGTATTTATCTAGACTAATTAATCTCTTTATTTAATATCAATTAAAGTATATAATAATAGAAAAAGAGATTATTTACTTATTACTTATTACTTATTAATTATTTCTTATTTAATTTATTTTTAATATAGATTAATATAGCTACTTTCTAAAGATCTATTAATTTTTTAAAAATAATATACTTTATCTAGTTTAAAGACTTTATTAAGCTATCAATAAAGTTTATATAATTATTTATTTGTTTAATCTTAATTAATCTCTTATTAATTATATTATAAAAAAAGTTTTGATGTATTTAATTATTATATTAAATTTATTCTTTTTAAGAATATCTATAATATAAAATAAGTTAATATAAATAAGACTAAGGTTTTTTTTTAATATTTATAATAATAATTAACTTTTTAAATTATACAGTCTCTTTAATTATTTATAATAAAGTATAGAATTTAATAATAATATTTGATATAATAATAAATATTTATCTATATAAAGTCTATAGGATTTATAAAGATTGTAATATATATTTTTATTAACTTATTATTATTATTATTATTTATATAATTAATATTAATATAAATGGCTAGGCATTTATATAATCTATATTTTGAAATCATATTATTATTCTTATAATACTTTAAATATTTTAGAAGATATTTAATAATTATAATATTAATTTATATTTTTAATAAAAACTAGTATTAGAAATAATTAATTATATATATAATATTCATAAAACCCTTTATAGTTAATTAATTAATTTTATTTATAATTTTTAAATATTAAAAGAGATTTAGAAAAGGGGATTAGCTATTAAAAAGCTTTAAATATTATAAATTTATTAATATATTAATTAATATATAATTAAATATACTTTAATTTTAATAACTATTATTTAATATAAGATACTTATAAGATCTCAATTATTCTATTAATATAATTATATATTAAATAATATTTTAAGAAGTTTTAATAATTTATTAATAATCTTAAGAAAAAAGGTTTTATTTAATTAATTTTTAATATTATTAATTTCTTTTTAATAAATAAAGTAATTAATATATTATTAATATATATTAAAATTATTATTAAAGTATTTTATTTATAGATATAAATATAAGGATTATTAATAATCAATATAAATTTAAGTTTTATAAGTTTTAAATTAATTATTTTATTTTGTAATATTATTAATTACTATAATACTTATTAAAAAGGATACATTATATTATTTATTGGTTTAATTAAATTTTATTAAGAATTATATGAAAATGTATTAATTAATTAATTTAATAATTTAATATATTAGAATAGAGTTGATCTATTTTATTAATATATTAAGTATTATAATTATTAAGAGTAGAATATTAATTATAATTTTTAATATAATAAAGATATGAGTCTTATTAAAATTATAATCCTATTATTAATAATTATTATGATAATTGAATAAGCTTTATATATAATAATATTTATTATTAATATTTATTTTAAATAAAAGGATCTATTTATTAAATATTAAGAATATATTTATAAATTCATTAATTATTATTTAAATATTTTTAATTTTTATAACTTAATCTTTAGTAATTGTCAGGCACGGATGGCCTGGAGAAAGCGGAAGAGATGTGTGGATAGATGATAGTGGTGGTGATCTAGGATGCGCGCAGGTGAGAGAGAAAAGGCAAGTAGGATGGTGCTAAGCCTAATTAGGCAGACACCTCTAATATACCCCCCTTTACTAAAGCGCTCTACCTGATGCTAAATACATAAAAAAAAAAATCATGATCTTAATCCTCCTCTTAGCCCTTAGATATCGCCTTTCCTTATATCACTATCACTATTCGCTATCTTATAGTTGCCATATAGGATACGCCATTTCTTATAGTTATCCTATGATCCCTATCTGTGGTCGTTTCTAGTCGCGATTTGAAGGTTTTGGTCGTAATAGGAGGGGGGGGTTATTGGCGCATGCCCCTAGGGTTGGTGATGCTATTCTTATTAAATCATAATAAAAAAAATGTTAATGTTGAATTGTCGACGTTAAATTGTTGATGTTGAATCTTGATGGTGACCTAGAGGCCCCTGCCTGTAGGCCTTGCCCATAGGCATTAATTTCTGAATTTTTCTTATATTGACGCGACGCGTTGGGCCTGGAGGCTTTATGGCCCCCAGGCCTGGCCTGTAGGCCCTAATTCTTAATAGGAATAAATTAATATGAAAAAGATAAATATGATGCTGGACCTAGAAGGAAATGTGATATGCTATTATGTTAGGCAACGGATGGCCTGGAGAAAGCGGAAGAGATGTGTGGATAGATGATAGTGGTGGTGATCTAGGATGCGCGCAGGCGAGAGAGAAAAGGCAAGCAGGATGGTGCTAAGCCTAACTAGG